GTGTGCAGGGGTGAGGTGGGGAGCCCCTCTCCTGCAGGCTGTGTGCAGGGGTGAGGTGGGGAGCCCCTCTCCTGCAGGCTGTGTGCAGGGGTGAGGTGGGGAGCCCCTCTCCTGCAGGCTGTGTGCAGGGGTGGGCTCTGGGCCCGCCCAGCTGCAGCACGACCACCCAGGAGGCAGGAAGCCGGCTCCTCCGAGCACCCTTCCCCTGCTCCTGCCTTTGTGCCAAGCTCGGGGCAGCAGCCACTGTCATCCCATCACCCGGGCGAGGACAGCGACCTCATTGGTGGGTGAGGGGCCGTCTGGCTTCCCTGCTTCGCCGCCCCCAGCGTCGTGCCGGGAGAAGACCACGGGGCCCAGGTGTGGGGGCCGCCACTTGCCCCGCCGCGCCTCGGCCCTCCCTGGGTCTCCCTGGGTCTGAGCCCTGCCGGGAGGAGGGCTGGCACCCTCGGTCCCCCCAGCGGGGCTCAGACTCAACACTTCCCGCGGGAGGTTCTTGTTCTGTTCCCGCTCAGCAGCCCCCAGAGCTGCCCCGGACCCCCCTGGCCTGGTTCTCCGGCTTCCTGCTGATCCAGGAGCCCCAGCATCCTTCCAGTAAATTCTCACCGGTCTGGGTGGCCCAGGGCTGCTGCCCGTCTCCCCCAGACCGGCTCTGTCAGGTCCCTGGCACTGCTCTCGGCCCCCAGACCTCTGCCCCCGGGGGAGGAGAAGCAGTCTCCAGGCCTCCACCCTGCTGACCACACAGGGAGCCCAAACTGTGCTGACGATGTCAAGGGCCCCCTGACCCCCTGAGAGAGCCCCAGGAAGCCCCAGCAGGAGCTGGGAGGGGGGAGGCCAGATCCCCTCTAGGGTCACAGGGGGCTCACCTACACAGTTCACCTCGACCTTCTAGAACCGGTCCTTCCCTCCACCCTTTGACGTGGGTGGGTCAGCTCTGCTGCTCGGAGCTCCACCCACGGGTGCAGCCTCTGGGTAAACACCCTGCCCACTTTCTCCGAATCTGCGTGTGCCCCCCGTGTGCCTCCAGGAAATGGGTCAGGGCTGGGCACCTCTGCCGTGGGCTTCAGGAGGGGCTCCTGCCCCCACCCTCACCTGGAATCCACACCAGGCAGCCGCCCCCAGTGCCCCTGCCCCCTAGTTACCTTCACCACCCCGACCTCAGGCTGCAGGCCACCGCCACCCCGCCGCCACCCTGCCCCAGCTCCGGTGCGCAGGGCAGTCAGGACGGGGGCTCTGCGGCCTGGGGCGCCCCAGCCCCCACTGCTCAGCAGCAGGCCGTGCCCCCTCCTCTTGCCGAACCTGGGGTCGTGTGTCGCACGCCTACCGCAGGCCTGAGAGCACCTGCGGGCTGGGCGGTGACCTGGCCCACTGGCGGCCGCCCTACTCAGGGTTTGGGGACCCTCCTATTTGCGGGGCCTCCGGTTTTGTTGGGGCAGCCACACTATGGGAATGAGAAGACGAAGGTGGAAGAGGAGGGAAGGGGGAGAGAAGGGGGGAGGGGGGAGGGAGACGGAGGGGAAGGGAGGGGAGGAGGGAAGAGGAGGGGGAGGGGAGAGGGGAGGGGATGAGGGATGGAAAGGAGGAGGAGAGGAGGGAACAGGGGAGGCGAGGGGAGAGGGGGAAGCTCAGTGGTGGGAGGGGGGAAGCAGAGGGGAGGAGGAAGGGGATGGTGTCCTCCAGTCCAGAACAGGGCGCAAGAGGCAGGAGAGTGCTGACCCCACCTCATTACTGAGGGGCCACTGGGGGGAACCCCCAGGAGCCAGGGAGCAGCACTCACAGAGAAACGGGGTGGCCTGCCCTCTGGACCCTAGTGTCTCGCCTCTTCCCCTTCAGGGCCCGGGGCCAGGAGGGAGGCCCCCGTCCACGAAAGAGGGGCTTGCTTGCACGGGCATGTCAGCTCACACACGTGCACAGGCACACGCACACCCTCTAGGAGTGGGCACGTGGGAGGCAGGCGGTGGGAGGGGCAGAAGCAGCTCATCCCGGCAAATGAAGTGTGGACGGCACACGATGGCCTCCCTGGGGTGCCGGGGAAGGGGTGGTGGCACCAGCCTGCACCCCACCCTCCCCTGTTGTGTGCACAAGTGAAGGTAGTGGGTGTCGGGGCTCAGGACAGGGCCACCGTCCTCCAAGCCGTTGCTGGCTTTCCCCGCCTGCAGGGGGAGCCGCACCACGCAGTGCCAATTACGGGGAAAATCACGAGCTCCCGGCCCCAGGGGGAGGGACCTACTCTGTCCTTCCTGCGAGAAATCCAGGCCTCCTGCGACACAGCCTGTGAAAAGCCTCCATTTCGCTGAAGCCTTGCTTCACTCTGGTGGCCTTTGGTTCGGGACAGCCCCTCCCATTTCCTTCTTCTCCATAAAATAATGTTTCTCTCCGTTGTTAGACTTGTCTGTGGTTTTGCTGTTAGCTTGCATGTCCCAAATTATAATTCTCTGCTATTCCCCAATAAACCCATATTTGCTGGTAAAATAACTTTTATTCTTTTTTTTTAATGTTTTATTTATTTCTAGAAGAGAGAGAGAGAGAGACAGCATGAGCAGAGGAGGGTCAGAGAGAGAGGGAGACACAGACTGAAACAGGCTCCAGGCTCTGAGCTGGCAGTCAGCACAGAGCTCGACGCGGGGCTCGAACCCACGAACCGCGAGATCATGACCTAAGCGAAAGTCGGACGCTTAACCGACTGAGCCACCCAGGCGCCCCATAACTTTTATTCTTAAAGCCAACGTTACCATTAAGTGAGGGGCCAAAGCCTCAAAGGAGGGGTCCTGCCCCACCCAGAATGCCCAACCTTGACCACTGGACAGGCACTGCCCCCCCCTCAGGAAAACAGCCCAGGCCCGGCCTCCTCCTCAGGCCAGGAGGCAGCTCTGTGTCTCCACTGTGGCTGGGGCGTACAGGTGAGCTAGACCCTCCCACGGTCCCACAGGATCCAGTGGCCCAGGGACCGTATCCCTGAATCCATGTCCATTCTGTGCCAGCTGGGACCTCAATGTTCTGACCAGCGACCTAAATTGATGGTCAGTCTCCCCCAGGAGACCTGGCCAGGACCCAGCCCCACTCCCCTTCTATTTCAATGGCCACCTGAGTCCCATCGCCCACATTATCCGCCATCACGAAGACCCTCGGGCCTTTCCCACCTTCTCGCAGGACCCTAGCCCCGCCTCACCCCTTCTGCCTGCTCTCCCCGCCACCAGCCCTTCCGGCGCAGGCTCCGCCCCTCTAATCGCCCCGCCGCCTCTGCCCTGTCCTGCGCAAGCCCGCCCCTCTGTTCGGCCCCGCCCCTCCGCCGTGTCCGGCGCAGGCCCCGCCCCTCTGCTCGGCCCCGCCCCTCCGCAGTGTCCTGCGCGGGCCCCTCCCCTCTGTTCGGCCCCGCCCCGCCGCCGTGTACTGCGCGGGCCCCTCTCCTCTGTTCGGCCCCGCCCCTCCGCCGTGTCCGGCGCAGGCCCCGCCCCTCTTTTCGGCCCCGCCCCTCCGCCGTGTCCGGCGCAGGCCCCGCCCCTCTGTTCGGCCCCGCCCCGCCGCCGTGTCCGGCGCAGGCCCCGCCCCTCTGCTCGACCCGCCCCCGCCGCCGTGTCCTGCCCAGGCCCGCCCGCAGGCTCGCGGTGACCCGCCAGCCATGGTAAACCTGGGCCTGTCCCGGGTGGACGACGCCGTAGCCGCGAAGCACCCGGTGAGAAGACCAGCCTGGGACGCGGGCCCCGGACCTCAGAAGCTGACCTGAGCGGGGCGGGCAGAGGCTCGGGGAGGGGGTGCCCTCGTCAGGGAAGAGCCACAGAGAGAAGGGGGACCCTCCTGCTATGGGGACTGGGGAAACCTGGGTGGACACGCAGGCAGGTGGGATGTGTCCCAGCCCCCAGGGCCTCACGATGGGTGGATCCCTTCCTTACGGGCAGAATGTGCCCGAAGGAGGGACAGGTGGGATGTACAAGGGGGGGAACTGAGCCCTCAACCCCCCCGCCGCAGGGACTGGAGGAGTATGCCGCGTGCCAGTCGAGCGCATTCATGAAGGGCATCTTCACCTTTGTCACAGGTAGGCTGGGTCCCCGGGCCCTGGGCTGTGGAGAGACCTCGCCCTCCTGTCTCACGCTGCTCCCCAGCAGGCGGCGTCAGGGGCTGGGAGCCTGACAGGTGCGGGGGGCCCTCAGCCCCTCGTGGACAGGCCGGCTGACGGGGGGGACCTGGCTCTTGGCAGGAACCGGCGCAACCCTCGGCCTGCAGATGTTCATTCAAAGGAAGTTCCCGTACCCCTTCCAGTGGAACGTGCTGGTGGCCGTGGGTGGGTACTCCGGGGCCTGTGCCCATGGCCTTGGAAATGCACCTGATTGCCAGAGGGCATGGCTGGCTCTTCAGCGGGGGTGGGGAGGCTGTGACTGGGCATCCCTGCCTCCTGGGAGGGGGTCCCGGGTCTCAGTGGGCGTCCTGCGGAGTCCGCCACCACCATCTGCCCAGGTCCCCTTTCCCTGAGAAGTGCAGAGGCCCAGGCCCACTGGCCCCTGCCCCCTGTCCCCAGTCACAGGCTCAGTGGCCAGCTACTGGGTGACCCGAGTGGAGTCACACAGATGCCGCAACCTCTGGCTCTTCCTGGAGACGGGACAGCTCCCTAAAGACCTGGGCACAGGTAAGAGGCAGGGGGCAGGGGGCGGTGGGAAGCAGAACCTGAGGGCCAGTGCCAGGGGCTGAGGCAGGCGAGCCTGGGCCCCGCGTACTGGCTGCACAGGGCCTCTCCCTGCTGGCCTGTCCCTCGTGCAGGGGCAGGAGGGGGAGGCACGCCAGCCCTCCCCGAGCCCCTTGTGCTGAAGGGGCCGGGGGCCCGGGCTGGGGGGGTGCAGAATGAGGAGTGTGGGCACCCCAAGAAGAGTAGCCACACCCCAGCTGACTGGTCTCCGGCCTGGCAAGCAGCTCAGGGTGTGGTTCTAGCCGCTCCCTTTGCCTTCTACAGATGGGCGCAGCTAAGAGGGCTCCAGCTGGGGCGCAGAAGACCCGGCCGGAGACTTCTAGAACACAGCCCTCAGGGCCTCCTCACCCCAGGCTGGCCCTCCCCCCTCACAAAGGCCCTCCCCACACCCTGAAGTGACCCAGCGGTGTCCCCTGCACACATGCATGGCCAGATCTGCCAAACCTGTGCAGACCGCTCCCGCCCCTGCCCAGGGGGTCAGACCAGAGGGGGCCGTCCCCGTGGGGGTTGGCCTCCTACAGGGCAGCCTGCTGAGAACTGCAGGGGATCAGAGAGGCTCTGGTGCTCAGCGGGAGGGCCATCTGCAGGCTCCGGTGCTCTGACCTCCCTGTCCCGCCCTGGCATCCCCCACAGTCCGAGGTGACAGCTGCTGCGGGGGGGGCGGGTATTGGACGAATAAATGCCTTGCCCTCTTCCCACCTGAGTTCTGCAATAATCAGGAGGCGTGTCAAAGCAGCAAGAAGTTGAGAGACAAATGTCACCTTAGCAGCATACACCTGAGGACCTGCCAGGGCATTTCCTAACGCTGAGCCCCAGAACCGGGCCCTGCGGGCGCTGGAAGGCCACCACCGCCACCGCCACCACCGCAGCTCTGCCTGCCTGCCTGCCCCCCCCCCCCCCCCCCCCCCCCCCCCGTTCCAAACACGCCTATCAGATTAAGTCGCTTCTCTCCAGGGGAGGAGGAAGTGAGGGGTGGGGGGAGGCCAGAACTAGCTTGCCGAAGCGCCATCCCCACAGAAGGAAAGTTCTGGAGTGGGCAAGACTACACACCCCACCCACCCCAGCAGAGGAAGATGCAGAGATGACATAAAACCTGGGCAAATCCACCTCCCCAGCGAGGCTGAAGACACAGCACAGGCCCCGCTCCCGCACCAGCTCAGCGCCTGGGCGCCTTGGCCCCCGCTGTGCAGCAGGCAATCTGTTAGCCGGGAGCCGGGGGGCCGGGAGCCGGGGAGCCGGGGGCCGGGGAGCCGGGGGCCGGGGGGCCGGGGAGCCGGGGAGAACTGGGCTTTGAGTTTTCTTTCACGTCCTAGTGGGTGGTCTGGGGCTGGTAGGCAGTCAGGGCCCAGGCTCCACTTAGTCTGCCCCCTGCTGTGATGGCCTCTATTCCAGGTCCCCCTCGTGGTCCCAGGCAGCTTCATCCTAGTCACTGGGGAGGGGACACTGTGCTTACACGTTGACCAAAACGAAGTCACGTGATACACCTAGTCCCAAGGTGCCTCGGAAGACAGCCTTGCTCTGGGCACGTGGCGCCCCACTAAAATTCGGGGGTCGTACATCTGCAGAAGAAGGTAGAAGCAATACTGAAGGACGAAGAGCAGCCTTGCCTCGGGCCCTGGGACAACAGCGAGGAGGGTTTGCTGCAGGGAGCAGACCAGGCCCGTGACCGGGCCTCCCAACCCTCTGGGGTCTCACAGGGCAGAAGGTGAACTTGGAATTGTGAATGGATCTGGACTCACCTTTAAAAAAAATTTTTTTCAGGGGCGCCTGGGTGGCATAGTCGGTTAAGCGTCCGACTTTCGCTTAGGTCATGATCTCGCGGTTCGTGGGTTCGAGCCCCGCGTCGGGCTCTGTGCTGACTGCCAGCTCGGAGCCTGGAGCCTGTGTCGGAGTCTGTGTCTCCCTCTCTCTCTGACCCTCCCCTGCTCACGCTGTCTCTCTCTCTCTCTCTCTCTCTCTCTCTCCTAGAGATAAATAAAAATTTCAAAAAAAATTTTTTACAGCATTTATTTATTTTTGAAAGAGAGCACTCATGAATGGGGAAGGGGCAGAGAGAGAGGGAGACACAGAATCCAAAGCAAGCTCCAGGCTCCAAGCCGTCAGCACAGAGCCTGACTCAGGGCTCAAACTCACAAACCGAGCTCATGACCTGAGCTGAAGTCACATACTCAACCGACTGTGCCACCCAGGCACCCCTGGACTCACCTTTTAAAGACTGGCAATGACCGGGGCGCCTGGGTGGCTTAGTCGGTTAAGCGTCTGACTTTCGCTTAGGTCATGATTTCGCGGTTCATGGGTTCGAGCCCCGCGTCGGGCTCTGTGCTGACTGCCAGCTCAGAGCCTGGAGCCTGTTTCAGTCTGTGACTCCCTCTCTCTCTGACCCTCCCCTGCTCACCCTGTCTCTCTCTCTCTCTCCTAGAAATAAATAAAACATTTAAAAAAATAAAGACTGGCAATGACCAAAAAGTCAAAAAGGTCTGTGAGATTGTGGAGGACCTGCCTGTGACAGCGTCTGGGTGAAGGCCATTGTTATGAGTGGTGTCCCCAAATTTACATTTGCATCCCCAACACCCAGGACCTCAGAATGAGACTGCATTTGGAGATAAGGCCTTTAAAGAAATGATTGTGTGAGGTGGGCCCTGCCTGATCCCCTCTGGCCTGTGTCCCCGTTAGGACGCACAGAGGGATGGCCATCTATAAGCTCAGGAGGAGCCAGCTCTGCGAACACGCAGCCTCCAGGATACGAGACAAGCAATTGTCATTGTGTCAGCCACCTGGTCCGTGGCATTTTGCTACGGCAGCCCCAGCAAATCCATGCAGCACGGCTGGGGGAAGTGACCTATCCCAGGCGCGTCCTTGGAATCCCGGCTGTCAGGCACTGGGGACCCGTAACCCTAAGGGAAGCTTCGGCTGTGCGCGACCCCGCCTGGGGGAAGCGGCAACTAAACTGGACCCAGGAATTGCCCCAGGAAAGTGGAGGCGGAGCAGGGCAGGCTCCAGGCAGCAGGTGAAGGTCAGGGAGAGATGGGGTAGTGAGGGCTGAGGCAGGGGTGTCATGAGCCAGGTCGCCCTGGGTGTGGGATCTGAGCTTGGGGTGGCATGAGGGAATGGAGATCCCATAAGGCAGAGACTGGAAGTTTTAGGAGGCTGAGGACAGCCTTGGGGTGTGGAGGGGACGAGGAGGGTACAGGGGGCTGGTGTGCGGTGCAGTGTCAAATCACCATCAATCATTTCCCTATGGAAAGTGCCTTGTCCCCGGCACTGCTCCTGAGCAGACAACAGCTGTGACTCAAGCACGCAGGGGACAACCCCGAGGCTGGCTGGGGGAGAGAGTGGGGGCGGGGGGGCCGGGGTCTCCGGGGCTCCGTGGCGGAGAACCCCGGCCCCCATCACAATGGGTCGAGATTCCGGGGACAATCAGCCACGTGCGGTTCTGCTGAGCGGGCCCAGCACAGGGAGGGTGGGAGGTGCACAGGGGCCTGGAGGACCCTGACGGCCACCATGAAGGCGTGCAGTGAGGCAGATGTTGAGGGGCAGATCCAGGAGCTGAAGACAATCACTCGGCTCCAGGGTGAGCGCACCCCCCAGGGGACCAGCTTTCAGATTTAGCCCCGGGGCCAGTCCAGGGCAAACAAGGGCTAGCAGTCACCCACCCCCAAATGGACCTGAGAGTAGGGACCAAAGGGGTCTGCCATGCGGGGGGCTTCAAGGAGATCTATGAGCACAGTGAACCCCAAAGCCAGAGGGGACAGGAAAGGACCCACCTGCTTCTCTGGCCATCGGGTGTGGAAGGGACCATGGGGTGTGCCCACCTCACCCTCCCCACTGCCCAGCCACGGCCATCCCTGAGAGCCACCCAGATGAGCACTGCTGAGCAGTGAAGCCCGTGGCCCCCAAGCGGGGGCAGGACGGAGCACAGCTGTGGTGGCAGCAGCCTTGCGCCCGCCCCTCCCCTCCCCCAGAGCAATGCCGGGCACTGCAGATCCAGGCGGTAAAGGAGAAGACGGCCAAGAACAAAGCCACGCTGGCTCTCCTCCGCAGCAACATCCGCCAAGGGGCCCAGGACTGGGCTTTGGCCAAGAAGGTGAGGGGCCCTGTTCCCCCCGCCCTGCTGACCACCGGCTGGGGGTGGGGACGGGGGCAGATGTCCTGAAACAGGCCCCCACACAGCAGGACAGCAAGGACGTCCTCCTCTGCCCGCTCTTACCTTTCAGGAGCCAGGGGCCATCCTGGGGAGGGGGTCCCCAGGACCTGTTCCCCTGGCTCGGGTCACTCCAGCAAGCCTGATGGGCAGGTTCCCCACCACCCACCCCAGAGGGCAGGGTGGGCCTGACTGGGGTCCTTTCTCCGGGCTCCCCCTACAGCAGGGGCCTCTCTGGCTCTCTGGCCACGTAGGGAGACCTGGGCCGTCTTCTCCAGACTCCCATCACTTCTGAGCTGGGAGGGCCTGCATGCGCCCTCGCTGCCGGGCTAGCACCGGGTAGAGAGGTCGGGGAGAATGCCCGCAGGGAGGGAACGGGGGCCCAGCTCAGCCGCCACCGCTCCGCAGTATGACCAGCGGACCATCTCCAAGGCCTGCGGGAAGGACACGACCATGAGGCTGGGGCACTGTCGCTGCTCCATGGAGGTAAGGCGGCCCAGGAGGGGCCCCCCAGCCTCGCCCGGCCGGCGCACCCCACCCCAGCACCGCCACCAAGCAGCGCTGCGGAGCCGGGGCAGAGCTTCGCGACCCCAGGGGTCCCTCCCCAGCAGCCCCGCGGCGCACCCACGCGCTGGCCGCGCCCTCCCCGACGCAGGTGGCGCGCGAGAAGCTGCGAAAGTACGTCTTCGACCGCGTGAACGTGCACAACGTGCTGATCCACCTGGTGCGGCGGCGGGGTGAGAAGCTGCAGAGCATGCGGCTGCAGCTGGCCGGTTTGCAGCGCCAGCCCGACGCCACCAAGGAGGAGCAGCGCCAGCGGCAGGTGGCGGGCGGGGCGGGGCTTCTCCGGGAGGCGGGGCCTCGGGGAGGGGAGGGGCTTCTCGGGGGCGGGGCTTCTCCGGGAGGCGGGGCCTCGGGGAGGGGCGGGGCTTTTCCGAGAGGCGGGGCCTCGGGGAGGGGAGGGGCTTCTCGGGAGGGGAGGGGCTTCTCCGGGAGGCGGGGCCTCGGGGGAGCGGGTGGGACTCCACTGGGGGGCGGGGCTAGGAGAAAGCGATGCACACCGACCCCTCCCTGGAAGAAAGCTCAGCCTCGGGGTCAGCCTCCAGGTGGGCGTCCACGGGGCCTGTCCGGAAGCACTGTGCGCCCTTGGGCTGTCCCCAGGTCATCCGCCAGCTGGAGAACAACATTGAAAAGACCATGGTCAAGATCACCACGAGTCAGAACATCTACCTGCTGTACGTGGACCTGCTGGATTATCTGAAGAAAGTGAGCCCCTCACCCCACACCGCAGCCCAGGGAAGCCGTCTGGCCGGGAGAGCGGGAGCGGCAGGCCCCAGCCTCCCTGCTGGCCTAGGGTCTCAGCGGCTGGACGCTCCAGCCCCGCGGGGAGGGAGCTGTGACTCTCCTCCGTGCCCGGTTGCCCCGGGACAGAGCCCTGCTCTGGGCCCCAGCTGAGCAGGGCAGGTGCACCCCTAGGTGGAAAACATTGTCAAGAACTTGTAATTTGCTGCTTCAAACCGGCATCTTACGGGATACATCAGAATTGTTTGGGTTTTCTTGCACGTATTTGATGGTTCGGTGTTTTTATCTTGTCCTATCCTTTATCGTTGTGTGGCCTCCGAGGGCAAAAGATGGCCCCTGAGCCTTCAGAAAGTCCCTCATCATAGAGAGACTTCATAGAGGGCAGGTCACCTCTGAGCAGGCGGGTAACCTGGAGCTTGCTGCCCAGCTCTTCCCAGCCAGCCGCCCTGCCCCCAGCAGGAGAGGCCTGGAGGAGGCCCCCAGGGGCCCCGAAGGCCTCTTCTTGGGGAGCAAGAAGACCAAATGACGGGCGGGTGGACAGTGGGGGCCCTGGGGCTGAGAGGAGGCGGCGGACGGGGAGAGTGAGGAAGTCGTCCACACTCCCTCACCCCCAGGCTGGGGCAGGGGGAGTCCTGGAGGGCAGCCCAGCCGGCCAGGTGACAGGTGGAGATGTCTGGAGATGTCGTGGGACGGGCAGACACTGCCGCTCTTCCTGGCTGGGGCCACAGCCCCCCAGGCTCTGCCCAGAGCCGCACAGGCAGGTGTCTCGCTCCTCTGGCCTGTCCCTCAGCCCCTGTTCCTAGGCTCAGCCGAACACCTGCGCCCCTCACCTTCCTGGACCCACCACCCGGCTCCGGCTGTTACCTGGGTCCAGCCCTCCTCCATTTGGACAATTATGTGTCCCCAGGGGCATGTTCTTTTCAGAACATATGCATTTTTAAAAAATAACTCCCAGGGTCATCTGTATTTTTTTAAAAAACTAGTGAAAATCTACATTGTAGTTACTAACCACAAACAACTAAGGGGTCAAGATATATTAGTTATTTATGAGCCTGGCTCTGAGCCTAATACCTCATTACATATAGATTCTGCCCGCAGCCTTGTGAAAGACCCAATATGAACACATGGGCAACACTCTCCCAAATTCCCCTAGCCCGCTGGTCAGGGCAGCCTTGGCCTTAAGCCCTGGTCTCTGACCCCACGTCCCTGTTTCGAGCCCCTCTGCTACACTTCAGACAGCAGCCACTCCCCGGGGTGGGGCACGGTTCAGTTCGACGCCCCCGTGACAGCCTCCTTGGCAGTATGCCTGAGGGTCTGGTCCCGGGCAGCGGGAGGGTCCACCAGGAAAATGCTGTCTGCCCTCCTGAAACAGTGCTTTTCCCTGCTCTGCGCCTGGTGGGGGCTGGGGCCACAGGCCGGACCCTCCAGTGTCCTCAGGGCTCCAGCCGTCTGGGGTAAGACGTGAGGGGCAGCATCTGGTTGGCCCGGAGCCCCTGGGCGGACAGTTTCCGTGCCCACCTGCTCTCGCCCCTTTTGATACAGAAACTGGCAGGCTACCCCATGGGGCTGGACAAGCTGCAGAATCTCGTGGGTGACTACTGCTCGGAACTGTCAGACATGACAGTCATGTCCCAGGACGCCATGATGATTACGGACGAGGTCAAGGTGAGCTCCAGTCCCAGGCCAGGGAGCCCGCAGGTCCCTGTCTCAGACCTGTCTGGCCTAGGGTCCATAGGGACACTCCCGGCACCGCCTGCAGTCACTGGAAGGATCCAGCAGCCACCTCACCGGCCTGCCCTGCTCACACACTAGGCCCCTGGACAGAAAGAGTGGCCCCTGGGCATGGAAGCCGAGAGGTAGATGCAGGAGGGAGAGAGTTAGCCTGGTGCGGGCAGGGGCCATCCATTCACGCGGCCCATGCCAAGGCCGCCTCAAAGCCCATGCAAGTCAGGCACGCATCATCCTCATGATGGGGGCAGTGAGTCCACGACGAAGCGTCACACAGCCACTGGCCTATACTGCAGAGACGAGTGGGCGACATGGGGCTACTCGGGGCACTTAGCTGCTCAGAGAGGCAGTGCTGGGGAGTGGTCCCAACCCTGGAGGCCGGCGGACAACCAAGGTCCTGGGCCATAATGGGGCCACAGGAGGTGTGGGTGGCGGGAAGAGAGCAGGTGTGGAGGAAGGGAGCCTTTGGGCCAGTGGAGGCAGCAGGGAGCCAGGGGGGTGGGGTGGCCGGGGGGGGCACTTAGATGCTGGGCCCTCCACCCAGCCCGGAGCTCTGGGAGGAGAAATTTGCCTTTTAAAACGTCTGTGCTCTGGCTGCAGAGACTAAGGGTACAGAGTCCAGATGCTGGTGACACGGAACAGACCAGTGGTGGAGCTAGGGGCCTGATGGTCACTGGGGCCCAGAAGTCACCCGATGAGCTGTGGGGCCAAGTCAGATGTGGACGGGGGTGGAGAGGGCAGCATGCAGGACGCATGGGCAGGCATGGACAGATGATAGATTTAGCTGCCAAAGCAGGACACGCGGGAAGAGCCTGGGCTTGGGGGGCGATGCTGAGTCCTTTTTAGGCCCGTGGAATCACTCCAGGGAGTTGTCGTCAGTGGAGACAGCTGAGGCAGCAGGGAGCCCAGGCTATGGAGAGAAACGGGGTCCCTGAGCCGAGGGTGCAGCTGGGGAAGGCGGCACCCCCAGGGGCCAGGTGGGGGTGTCCAGAGAGGAGAATGGAGGGCCGGAGGGACTGTGAAAGCCGCAGGCGCAAGCCTGTTAGGACGAAGGGCACAGCCAAGGGCTTCCAGCGCTATTCCCAAATCTAGAAGATGGGGACTGAAACTGATGGCCAGGCTTGGCACCATGGGAAGCCGTGGTGAGACACGCCTGCCCCACCTCCTGCGTCCCCAGATGAACATGAGGCAAGGGGAGGCGACTTTCATCGAGGAACGCAGGGCACGGGAGAACCGGCTCAATCAGCAGAAGAAGCTGATCGACAAGATCCACACGAAGGAGACCAATGAGAAGTACCGCAGGGTGAGTCCCCGAGGGACCCCACAGCAATGGGAGGCAAGCCAGGCGGCTCCCTCCCCAGCAGAAGACACCGCTCACCACCTCCTCCCCTCCTCCCAGGGCCGGCGGGACTTGGACTTCTCCTCCAATATGATGACTACAGAAACCGTGAAAGGTACGCACTCGGCTCTCTGCCCGCGTCCAGCAAGGGTCTGAAAAGACCGGCACAGACTCAGGTCTCTGTGAGGCCAGCCACGGCCAGGGTGAGGGAAACAGCCGAGCCCCCGCCTCTCCCTGCTCTCCCTGCAGAGGCTGAGTGCCAACAGCCACAGCCCACACTGCAAGGCACTGCTCCCAACCTTGGGCTCACTGCCAAGTGTGGTCGCGCCCCCCCGCTCCTCCGCTGTACTTGTACTTGACGGTGCTGTCCCCTGGCATCCCAAGGCTCGATCGCCCAGTGATTCCTCAGAAGAGTTGGGTCAAGCCCCAGACCCCTGTGCTGCCTCTGAGAAGTGCCAGGAATCACCCATGCCGGGCACCCGCTGGATGGAGCTGCCTTGGGGTGTCCCTGAAGGGTCAGCTGAGGGAGGAGCAGGGTAAAATGCAGGTAACTCTCACAGGTACCTGCCCAGCTCTCTGGTAGCCTCCCCGGAGGCCCTCGGCATGCGTGGAGGTGTCTGATGGCCTCGGGCAGAGTTCCCGTGACCCTCCGGCATGCTGGCCACCCTTCCCCTCTGCTATGCCCAGTGAGGAGAAGAGAGGCCTCCAAGTCTGATATCGAATACGAGACAGACGTGACTGCTTCAGTGGAGAAAGTGAAGACGGCTGTGCGATGCTCCTATCTCTGGGTACTGCCCCCTGGCACTCCTGGGGTGTGAGTGGCAGGCAGGGGGCCCTCGCCCCAGCCCAAAGCCTACTGCGGGTACCTTTTGAATGAATGTGGGCACACAGCTGCAGCTTCACGGCTGAGAGTAGAGCGCACTCTGGGACACAGCCGGCATGTCCGAGTCACGTTCCAGGGGCCACACAGAGCCTGCAGGGATTCAAGGATCCAAATGCTGAGACCTTCACCTACAGCTCTGTCCCTCCCTAAACCGCCAGGACCATAATGAGAGGCTGCCACTGCCTGGTCCTTCAGTTTAATCCGATCTGGCTTTATTATTAGTAAGCTTAGCTCCCATCCTTAGACGAGTGGCTCAAAGCCCCTGGCAGTTTCTCAGGGGTGATGATCTTGTCGTGGCTGCCCGCTCTGCTTGCGGTGTGAGCAACACGTGGGGCCGTGCATGAAGGGCTTCACCCAGGACCTGGCCGCAAGTCAGCATCGTTGCTGACCGCTGGGGGGACCCCAGAAGAAGCCTGTTCTGTGCGGCCCATGCCTACCGGGCCCACACCCGCTTCTCTCCCCACTGGCCTGGCCAGGACATCGCTGGCCGCCTCCTGGCACAGAGGAACACGGAGGAGAACCTGGGGCTGCAGATGGAGGACTGTGAGCAGCGGCGGGCGCAGCTCGAGGCCCTGATGAAGAAGCTGGAAACGGAGGAGGCAGTGCTCAAGTTCCGCCAGGCGCCCGGCTCCGTCAGGTACCCTGGGAGGCCCCTGTCTCCCACCAGGGCCGCCCAGGGGGGCCCTTGTGACCCGCCCACGTGGGCCGGGGCCCGGCGCGGAGCCCGGCGTGGACACTGGTGGCCAGACGGGTGGGCCACGAAGGCCCAGCCAGGAGACACCACGTGCTCACAGCTGAGCTCTTGAGCCCCTGAATTTAGCATGACGCCCACCTCAGGACTGTGGCCGCCTCGCCCTTGACTCTGTGCCACCTCCCTCCCCATCGTCCTCAACAGCTTCAAGTCTGTTGAGAAGAAGATGAAGGACATGCTGAGAGAGGAGGAAGAAAGGCTCCGGCTGGCCTACTCCAACATGACCAAGAGCCAGAAGCTGCTGCTGACCATCCAGACGGGCATTGACAACCTCTATGTCCGGCTGATTGGCATTGCCCTGCCCACGGCCCAGGTACCAGCCGCAGTGGGCGGAGCCACCCGCACGCAGGGCCCCTGGGAGAGGCCAGGGGAGAGATGAGACCTTCTGCCGGCCTACAGAGAGAAGTGGTGCTCTCCGAGCCCCCTGACGCGCTCAGCAAGCTGGCCGACTGCGAGGGGAAGCTCGTGTACCTGGCCGACAGTCTGCGGATGCTGTCCAGGACTGAGGAGGTAGCCGGCGGCTGGGGCTGCCGCTTTGTCCCCTGTACCCTTGGAGCTGACAGGCCCGTGTGCTCTGCAGGTGAACACAAAGCTGAGGGATACTCTGGAGTCCTCGACTCTGAAGGAGAAGCAGAACACGCGGATCAGCTTTGAGGAGCTGGAGGATGATGTGATAGGTACAGGCTCCGGGCTGGGGGCCAGGCCGCCCGGCAACGCGCAGCGGGCGTGCGGCAGACGGCAGCGTCTGAGCAGGGCCACCTGCAGGCGCAGTGGGGGCTCCAGGGACAGACGGGGGGTGTCACTTGTACCCACGCTCTTTTAACTTACGGAAGTGACTTAGTGAGGACATGGAGAAGGTAATGCCGTCGAAAGGAGAACGTATTGACTTTCCAGACGCACGGGAGCATCACTGCCGGCCAGGAGGCGGAGAGGAGCAAGGGGAAGGCCGAGCCCAGAGCCCTTCTTGGGGTTTCCGTGGGAGAGGCAGGGGAGGGCAGGGCAAACCGCTTCAGGTGGGCTTTTGGAAGAATCCCAGTGGGTGGCGGTGCCGGGCCCCCGGTTGATTTAGGCGAGGATTATTGGCTTGGTGTGAGGGTGTATCTGATAAAGAAGGGGTGGGGAGGGGGGCTCTGGATCGCTTGGTTCGCACGAGAGACGCTCCCAGCGGGCGAGGCTTCTGCTGTCCCCAGGGACTGGCCAGCCCTGCCAGGGGGCAGCCTCTCCCCGGGTGTGTAAGAGCCCACAGGCCAGGGCATCGGGAAGACAGAAAATAAGACAAAGTAGCTAACAGCTGGCCCCTGATGACTGCACGCCCACGAAGCCCGGACTGTCCGCGAGCTCGCTGCGGCAGGGGCTCCAGAGTGCAGCTGCCCTCCTCCTCGACCTTTCTAGAAACCTTCCAGTTCGCAGACGTGGACCACAGCTACGTCCCCTCGCGGGCCGAGATCAAGGGGCAGGCCCAGCGGCTGATCGAGGGGAGGCTCAAGGTGGCCAAGAAAAAGAAGAAGTAAGCTGGAGGAGGAGCCCCGCCCCGGCCCCGAGCCGGCGCTTTGTTACGCAAATAAACATTTTTCCAGGACTGCCGGGGGCCGTGGGACAGGAGTCTCAGAAATGAACTCCGGGAGACCTAGACGTGGGGGGATCACGTTGAGAAGCTGCGGAAGCGTGGGGCACTGGGGGCGGGGCCAGAGTTAGCGGGTGAGTGGGGACGGGTCCCGCAAGGAAGCGGACAGGTGCCAAGCCTCATCCGAGAGCCCGAGGACCGCCCCGAAGGCCGGACGGCTGACGTGGCTCCGCGCGCCCCGCCGGCCCGCCGTGCGGCACATGCGCACACCGCCGCACCGCCAGGGCGCTCGCGGCGCGCCGGACCCAGGCCGCTTCCGCTCCCGCCCCACCGCGCACGCGCGCACCCTCTTGGCCCTCGCGGCACCCGTAGCCGCGCGCCCCGCCGAGCCAACGCCAAGATGGCGGTTCTGACAGACGGAGGGCTGCCGCGCCGGGGGTCCCCGGGGCTGGAGCGGAACCGCCGCGGCTGAGCCCCTGCTCTGCCCTCGAAGCAGGCGCCCGGCCGCCGGGACCCGGGACATGGTGCGATCCGCGCCGGGTCGCCGCCGTCGCCGCCGCCGCTGAGCTCGCGGGCCGCTCCGGGCTCGGACGTGGGAGCGGGAAGATGTTTTCCGCGCTCAAGAAGCTGGTGGGGTCGGAGCAGGCTCCCGGCCGCGACAAGAACATCCCCGCCGGGCTGCAATCCATGAACCAGGCGCTGCAGAGGCGCTTCGCCAAAGGGGTGCAGTACAACAGTGAGTGCAGGCCGGGCGCGCAGGGTTCCTGCCCGAGGAAAGTGGGGTCGGGGGCACGGGTGGAAGAGGGCGCTGCCCCGCACGGTCCGCAGGCCTGGGCCCCGGCGACTGGGACTTGGCAGAGACCAGGTCGCGCCCCGGCCCAGGAAGCACTCGCGCCCCCAGGGCCTGGCGGTCTGCGGGGAGATGTGGCCGGTCCTGTTCCTCTCTGTTGAAGATGTGCTGAGCCCTTACCTGTGGCAGGTACCCTAGGGGCGTTCACCTAGGATCAGGAGATGATGTCGGGAGGTGATGCCGGGCCGGAGACGAGGTCCTGGAGGACCCCAGGGCCGGAGTGGGGGCGCCTGGGCCCGCGGTGTTCCCCTCTGACCGCTGGGTCATTCCCGAGGAACCCTGGCACGTTAAGAAATCTGTGCGTTTCGTTTGCACGGTAAAATTCGTCCCGGCGGTTCCTGGTGCGCTCTGCGGTGCCCTGATTGGCCCGGATAACCTCGTCCTAGAGTGATTCTTACATAAGGTGGGGAGAGCTCTGTGGTCTGTGACGCTTGAAGGGGTGGTGGGGCTCCCCGTCAGTGAGCCACGTGACAGCCTGCCCAGGGGCGCCGAGATCCAGCCGGCCGTGGTGGTTTGAGCTCTGGGATTTTGTGGGCTTCATATTCAGTTAGAGGGGAATATCGTCTACGCCACACATTCCTGCCCCCCTCTTCCTTTTTTTAAGAAGCATTTGTAAGGGATATATTTGGAAAAAGCTCCAGAAGGCACAGAGACTTACTGTAGGAGACTTCTCTTCCCCAAGGGAAGCAGGAGTTATTTTCAGATGCCCTCCGAGCCCAGGATGTTTCCAGGCCTGTCATAAATTATGTAAATTGCGTAGCTCCTAGAGGCTGCCCGTCCTCTTGACCTCTTTAAGGTTTTCCATCTCACTGTGCTTTTCCTGGTGTTATTTAAAGCCCTTTTATGTTCTCTGTTTTTAAATTGTTTTCCTTTCAAGGATTTTCATATACTGCTGCTACAAGGTTTTGGGTTCCTCCCTACCCCCGCCCCCTCTACTACTTTAAGAGAACTTTCTGGTCTCTCTGATGACATATTGAGGTGGTCACATGCAATATTAAACTAATCGGAAAGATGTTTGTGCAGGTTTAATTACTTTTTGTGCTTATTTATATTTGAGAGAGAGAGAGGATGATGGGGGGGCCACAGAGAGGGAGGGAGACAGGGAATCCGAAGCAGGCTCCAGGCTCCAAGCTGTCAGCACAGAGCCTGACACGGGGCTCCACGTTGTGAACTGTGAGATCATGACCTGAGCCGAAGTCGGATGCTTCACCGACTGAGCCCCCCAGGCGCCCCTGAAGACCTCTGTGCAGGCTTAAAAGAGAGGTATTTTAGATACAGATGTATTCAACTCTCAATTTTGTATGTATTTGTTACATTCAGAGAAGAGAGTAGTAAGTCAAATTACTCATTTGTACAAAGCTGAGATTCTTCATTCGGCTCCCTTATTTACTTCTATTACTTAAAGTATTATTTTAAGCTTAATTCTAGTTGTGTGGAAATCAGAGCTGGAAACTGGAAACTTTTCACCTTCTGAAAAGCACCCCTGACGGGCAGAGACCAGGGGTGGGTAGGGCAGGGGCAGGCATGGCAGGGATGTCCCAGAGAAGGGAACCCAGCCTGCGGCAGGTGCGGGACAGGCTGTGACTCCCGAGAACCGCAGCAAAGGTGGAAATTGAGAGAAATCCCTTTGAGAGGGAGGCTGGCCTGCTAGTTGAACAAGGTGCAACTTGGAAACTTTTTGATTTCCTTTATTTGAACAGGTGCAACTTTGAAACTTTTTGATTTCCTTTATTTATTTTCCAAAAAACTTTAATTAGGGGATAGAAGCCAGCCAGCTGATGGTTATAGATTCAGGGTTTATGGGCAAGGGTGGGTGGCTTCCAAGCTCATGTGTTGTCTCTTACCGAGCCTTGTCCTCTTAGGGCAAAGTTTTCTTTTAAATTGCAATGATAATAGAAGTGACTCATGTCACTTATGCAAGAGCCCCAGCGCACACATCAAATTTAGACTCAAAACCTGAATGAGACATTGGACCATAATTATAGTTTGAAAGTTACTTGCATTCAAAGTGGCAGAAAGGATGTTGCCTTACCTGGTCTATCTTTCTACTCGGACACAAGTTCCCAGCGGTGTTGTGAAGAAGCGTGGACTGGGGCACCTTCCCAAGTCAGGAAACGCCAGTCATGATGAGGCTTGGCCGGTTCGCCCTTGCCCAGGACTGCGCTCCCGGCAAAGCCGGCGCCCGGACGCCGGGGCAGCCAGGGTCCCGGCCCGTCAGGTCTCGGTGCTAGAACTTAGAAATGGACTTAAACACTTCTCTTGCTAAAAAACCTCTGAAAGGTTGATTTCAGGGTAAGAAGGAAACAGCTTTAAGATTATATCAAGATTATGAGCTGACACGTCATGTTTGGAAAAGAACCAAAGAGAACCGCCAGGAATGAGAAATACGGCCATTAAAACCAAGAAGCCAGCAGGCAGGTGAATCAGCGCAGGGACCACACTGAGGACAGGGCTCGGCCTGGGGGAGAGATGCGCAGCGGGGACGGGGCACACGCGGGGTACGAGTCTCACACAAGAATAGCAGGCGCCGGGAGGCAGTAGTATTTGAGGGAATGAAGGCAGGGTTTTCCAGAATTCGGGAAGTACGGGAAACCCCACAAAGGGTCCAGGGTTTTAAAAACACAGTAACTACACCGGCCACGCGAGCATTTCCACCCCCGGGCCGGAGACGCAGCGGCACCTGCCCACACGCTGCGCAGGCAGCGGTCACGGTTGTGGCCTGTGGGGGCCTCACCCGAGGAGGCGGTTACTCACGAGGGCGCGTGGGTCAGCTCATTTCCGGTCTGAGGCCACTGTCGGCGGCGCACAGGCTCTCGCTGAAAGAATATGGAGGGTGGGCGCCAGATCGATGGGGATGGCGATCGGGTCACGGGCGTGGGGCCTAGAAGACAAAGGTGAGCACGGAGACGGGTGACTCTATGGGCTGAGATCCAAGCAGGCGCTGGTCACGGCCATCGCTGTGACAGTGGCTCACATGGTCCAGGTGGAAGGAGGGACTGAGCCCCTGGCAAGCCTCCGGGAGCCGGGACCGAGCCGATCCAAGTTTCGGCTTTGGAGAGGCCTTTCGCTGTTTAAGAGGAAGATAAAGAGATTAATTCACTTGAGATGAATCACAGCAAATGTGAATGAATGTTAAAAACTTAAGTTACTAGGGGCGCCTGGGGGGCTCAGTCAGCTGCGCGCTCCGCGCTCGGTTTCACCTCAGATCCCAGGGATCCAGCCCCATGTCAGGCTCCGAGCTGGGCGTGGAGTCTCTCTCTCCCCCGTGCCCACTTTCTCTCTCTGTCTCTGCCTCTCACTCTCTCAATGGATGAATGAGTGAACAAAAATGAATTAAAAAAATACACAGTTCAGTGATAATGAACAGCCCACGTCCTTGTGGTCACTGACCTAAGAATACAGTTTGAAAACTTAGCAAAAGAACAACAAAATAAATTTTTTTTTAAAATATTTTTATTTCTAGGAGAGAGAGAGAGAGAGAGAGAGCGTAAGCAGGGGAGGGTCAGAGAGAGAGGGAGACACAGACTCCGAAACAGGCTCCAGGCTCTGAGCCGGCAGTCAGCACAGAGCCCGACGCGGGGCTCGAACCCACGAACCGCGAGATCATGACCTAAGCGAAAGTCGGACGCTTAACCGACTAAGCCACCCAGGCGCCCCAAAGAACAACAAAATAAACCCCAAGAAAGTAGAAGGAAGGAAACGACAAAGGAAAAAGCAGAAAGCAGTGACTTTTTTAAAAGAATCAGTTGAGGTGTTCAACAAAACATATCGTGGCGCGTGCCTGGGAAAGTAGGCTCTGGGAAGGTTAGCAAAGAAAAAAGACAGATGTCACGAATATCAAGAGTACAGGACTATAACTACAAGGTTTTAAGATACAAAACGTTCTGAATAATCTTGTGCGGGTGAATGGAAAACTTAGAGAGGGCAGTGGCCTAGAGAAAGGCCCCTGAGGCTGCCCCCGAGAAATCCCGACTCTGAGTCTGGAGAGCCCGGCCTCACCGTGATGGAGAAGACGCGCGTGACAGACGGGCGCCCAGCCTGCTTGCTGCCGCCAGGACACAGGAGGACGGACACAGAGGGTAACCGTCCAGTCCTGTCCGTGAGCACAGATGGCGTAACCTAGCGAGAGGCCAGGAAATCCGATCTAGAAAATCATCAAAATATTCGTAACAAACCATTGCGTTGAGACCAAATAGGACGACTCCGGGAATGCACACATTAGTAGAAAAGATATTTACACTTTACCAGTGGGTTAAAGGAGAAGCAGCATTATAATCTCAGTAGGTGCAAAGAAAAGATCAGATAAAAGTCAACACCCATTCGTGGTTTGTAGAAAATAAAAAGAGAAAACCCACTTCTTTTTTTTTTTTTTTAAGATTTTTATTTTTAAGTAATCTCTCCACCCAACATGGAATGCGACCCCACGACACCAAGATCAAGAGTCACCCGCTCCATGTAGAAACTAATTTGACAATAAACTATTTGTAAAAAAAAAAAAAAAAAAGAGTCACCCGCTCCAGCAACTGAGCCAGCCAGGCGCCCTGAGAAAACCCACATCTTAGCAAACCAGGAGCAGAAGGAACGCCTTTCGCCTGGTCAGGAATATTTACCAAAACCTGTATCCGTATATACTAACGAGACATAGTAAGCTTGTCTTTTAAAATCAGGAGCGAGGCATAGACTCCCCGCTTTCATTGAGCTCTCCATGGAGATATAGAATTCCACCCAGCACAAGAGAAAATGAAAGTATGGGGCAGGGGCAGATACAGGCCCTTCTAAAGGGAAAATATTAACATAGAAATAAAAATATTAATTTTTCCCAGGGTGCCTGGGGGGCTCAGTCAGTTAAGTGTCTGACTCTTGATCTCAGCTCGGGTCTTGATCTCAGGGTCCTGAGTTTAAGCCCCGCATTGGGCTCAGTGCTGGGCATGGAGCCTACTTAAAAGTGTGTGTGTGTGTGTGTGTGTGTGTGTGTGTGTGTGTGTGTGTGTGTGAGGGGGGGGTTCCCTTTGTTGGGACGCTGTTTCATGTAGGACGTGGACCACCCACACCGTCTCAGCACAGCACCCAGCGTGTTTCTGGCAGCGTGAGAAAGCCGGGAAGCTGGACAGCCCTTCCCTTTAACAACATTGTAAACGTCTGAGTAAAACGTTTAGGAATACATCGGTGCATCACTCAGTTCTGAACTCGAATGAGGCTTGTGCGGTTGTTCGCTGCACGTTTCCCAAGAGCAGAGGGAGTGATGGTGGGAGGGGCGGCAGCTCTGAAGCTGAGGCGCCTGCCTGCCCCTGGCGGGGTGTGGCCCCCGTGGGCCGGGGGGGGGACCCTGAACTCACGCTAGAAGTGGCCTCTCCCAGGAAAGCCCTGCCCAAAGCCAGGTCTGTGTCAGCCCGCGTGGGTGACCTCCACGTGGGTTTGCCTCTGAATCATCACTGTGGTCCCAAAGTCTCAAATGGAGAATTCACTTTAGGCCTTCCCAGGTCATTAGCTAGCGTTCCAGAAATATCACAGGGACCTTCTGACAAAGTGGCTTCAGCTCAGACCTTAGAGAGGCCCCGTGGACACCGTTCACGAGACCTGGAGCTGCTGGTAGATCAGGACACCCAGCAGCAGAGGCCGGACCCGCGGACCCGGCGCCTCGGGGCTCGGGCTCCACGCGTATCAGGGCGCACACGGCCCTCGTCCCGCAACGGCTCTGCGCTTACGGCGGGAGCACCTCGTGGTGTAGACGGTGTCAGGCCCGCCGTACACCTGGGACTGACGTCATACCGTGGGTCAGCCGCACCTCAGTGACCACGTCAGTGCACAGATCTGTTTAAAGAAATAAAAGAGGCCTGAGAAAACAAGCAGGAATCTGAGAGCAGAGAAAGAGGCAGAGTAGGTTGAAGAGGACCCTGCCCGGGGAAGCCAGGACAGGGTGAGGGAGCACACGGAGCGCGGCCACCATGAGCAGCGCTGTCTGGGGCGCGAAGGGCCGCGCAGCTCCCCGCCCGCCCTCAGCCGCTCTGGGGGCTCTGCGTTTGCGTCCCCGCCCTCGGGGCTGGGCTGCTCGTGGCCGCTGACCGTGAGTCTCGTGTGGGTCCCTCCCACGGGAGGCGGGCTCCCCTAAAGCGACACGCTTCCTGCAGCGTGTTCAGGCCCGTGACAGGGACCCGGGGCACCGCCAGAGCTGCGCCGACAGCGCACACGTGTTCTGGCGGCGCTCTCAGGTGTTTGGCTTCTGGATGGAATCGTGTCTAGACCGCCTGCCCCTGGACCTTGAGGCCCATGGCTTGTGTCCCATCTGGAGACAGGATGGAGCGCGAGCAAGAGCGCCCCTGAGGTCTGACAGGAGGCGCTTCAAGTTGAGAACAGCTAACGTGTCCTGATGACGGCCGGGGGGGGGGGGGGGGTGGGGGGGGGGGGGGGGACCATGGAGGGGGAGCCGACGTCGTGACCCAGCTGCACGGGAGGAGTAGTGAGTGTCCGAGAACAGAGGGTGGGTGCCAGGAGGAAAAAGCCAGGAGGCTGGGGGGCCGGGCCAGGGCTCGGGGCTGCCCGTGTCCCTGCGCCGCGTCCTGTGGGCTCGCTCACTGCCGCGTGCACACCTGGCACACAGGCCGCCACGTAAACACGTGTTGGGCGAGCAAAATAGCATATAGGCTGTAAGCCCACACGTGCGGCCTTGAAAATGCTGGCGCTCTCCTAAATCGCGTGCTAAAAATACCAGGGCTGCGAGAAAGTAGGTTAAGAGCGAACTTCCGAAATCTAGGGAGCTGCCTGAGAACATCAGCTGCCCCACCCCCTCCAGCAGCCTGACCCTGACCCTGTGAGTCAGGGGTCCCCGGGACATCCGGCTCTGGGGGAAGACCACTCCCCTGCAGGTGCAGGGTCCCAGCGCGGTTCACTCCTTCGGGGGTGGGGCGGGGCGAGCAGAGCGGAGGGCCCTGGGGGCTGGGGGGGGGCCGGCCAGGAAGCCCTGCTGTCCTCCCCTCAAGGGTCTCCAGCCAGGCTGCTCCCCAGCACCAGGGCTCCTCCCTGCTCGCCAGCCACTCAGGCCACGCTCTGTGTGGAAGAAACTTGTGTGGCAAGTGAACTGTTGGTGAAGTTACAGTTTGCCGTTGGTTTGATTTGTTTACCTGATCTGTCCCCCCCCCAGTGAAGATTGTGATCCGAGGTGACAGGAACACGGGAAAGACGGCGCTGTGGCAGCGGCTGCAGGGCAAGCAGTTTGTGGAGGAGTACATCCCCACGCAGGAGATCCAGGTCACCAGCATCCACTGGAACTACAAAAGTGAGGGCGGCCGGCGGGGGCGGGCGGGGCCTGGTGCGGTGGGGACTTCCTCCCCGGCCGCGGTGCCCTCACAGAGCCCTGTAGACCTGAGCGAGCCCCTTGAACTCGGAGGTGCCGGCGTCGGGGCACCCGTCACAGCGGTTCTCGGGTGCTCGGAAATCAGGAAACCCAAGTCCTTTGAACCATTTTAAACATCTCTTGTTATTGAAAAAAAGAAAATGTCGTTGTCACCAGTGGGGCACACGGGTCTTTGTAGAAGTTCCCAGTCCCCGCCCACCCTGGGGCAGCTGTGTGGGCCGGCGCCACCATAGTCATCAGCTGGACTGATGGGGCCCAGGGAACCCCCCACGGCACCCCTTCCCAGCTGGGGGGAAGCTGGCTGTGGTGGGTGTTCCTGTGGCCCTCGGCCTGGGGCAGGCATGCGCAGTTCCCCACCTCGCCCTTCCCCCTCCCCCAGAGCCCGGGGTGGAGCGGTGAGCCCACTACCAGCAGACACGGGTCCCCACACCCCTCCCTCCCGACTAGCAAACGACTAGCAAACCGACTAGCAAACCTAGCAAACCGACTAGCAAACCGCTAAGGAGGGTCTAAGAGTCCCCTCCCTGTGAAAAAAAGACCAGTCATTCAGAGCAAGCTTGCATGAGGCCCCGCCTCCCCCTCGGGGGCCTGTCCTGGGCCAAATCCACCAAAGGCTTTGGTAGAAACTTGGCACCAGGCAGCCAGCCAGACCCAGCCCGACGTCCCGGGGAACGAAGTTGAGGCTGGTCGCTGGGCAAGAATCGAGCCAGAGTGACATCGGGCCCACTGAGGCCTGACCCAGCACCCACAGCCTGCTGCCTGGGCGCACCTGCAGAGAGCACCTGGCCATGTGGACCTGGGCCAGGGACAAGCCCACCCCAGGGACACCTGCCGGAAATGGGCGGCATGTCAGCTGAGGGTGTGCCAAGATGGCTCGCTGCACCTTGAGCAGGAGCCTGAAGGAGCGATGAGTCTCACTGCCATCCGGGGAGGGGCTGCAGCTCCTCGGCGGGGGGGCCGGGTGCTTGAAGAAGGTGCTGAGGGAGGAGCGCGGTGTTTCCTGGCTGGGGACCCAGCCTTGAAGTGTGGGAGCAAACCGCGACACTCAGACAGCCCCTAAAAGCCCCTCCGCCCAGAAGGCCGACAATCACAGCGGGCACTAATCTTTGTACCCCCCCTATTTTAGCCACTGACGACATCGTGAAAGTTGAGGTCTGGGACGTAGTTGACAAAGGTGAGTCCCGTCTCTTTATTACCCATACTTTTTCCTGCCGCTTCGTCCGTTCTGCGGAGCAGAAGCCCTCCCTGCCCCGTGCGCACTCTGTGGGTGTGCCCTGTGTGAGTCACGCGACCCTCTGGGTTCTCAGCAGACGCAGGGTGAACGCTGAGCGTGTGACCAGAAGGTCTGTCCCCAGGAGCAGCCAGGGGCTGTAGGAGGTCTGGCCTTGTGCCGTTCCCCTGAGTTTCTGGATCTTTGGCCACTCCCTCCTGGCGCCTAGAGTGGCTGGGCAGACGCACGGCAGTGACCGGTCAGGACCGTGGCCTTTGCTGCTTAATGTGCGTTTCACGCACTGGGACAGAGCACGTGGCCGTGGGGCAGACACAGGCCAGCAGCAGTGAGAGAGCACGCGTGAGTGGGAAAGGGGCGGCAGGAGAGGGAGACACAGTCTCCCTGTCACAGTCACCCACGTGACTGGTGCCTCACAGTCGCTGCTGGCTCTGGTGTCTCTGCTGTCACACTGAGGTGCTCGAGCTGCTGGGGACCCCCAAGACGGGGACTGCACCCCTGTGCGCCTGTTGAGGGGGGCGGGCACGCTTCTCCTCCGGCACCCTCTCATTCCCTCCGCTGTGACTCTGGGCAAGAGCCGCCATTCCTCCCTGGTGCCGGTGCCCCATGTGTGCCCTGAGCTGCCAGGCACGGGGTGCCCTGGGCTGGAGGGCCTGCCGTGCCGCACGTGTCCTCGGTGAGAAGGGACAGCCTGTCCTCCATGGGCTCTGGTTTCTGGTGCCGACACTGCACGCCCCCGTCCCCTCACCACCCCCCTTCGGAGGCGGGTTTAGGTTCCCGGGCCCGATCCAGCTCCTGTAGGGCCACCTGAGGGTGAACGGGACGCCTTAAGCCGCGGGGCCCCTCGTGACGCCCAGCATCCCTGGCAGCCCCGTGTCGCCTGGTCCCCTGCACCCCAGCTGGTTGCCTGTCGGGCAGGGTGTGAGCACCACACACAGCAGCGGAGGGCATCGGGCTTGAGAGGTGGTGGGCGGCGCGGAGGTAGCAAGGAGATGAGGCCCTGCGAGGCCCAGGGCGCCCAAGGAAGGAGGGCATCTGGGAGCACCCCTGGGCAGCGGCAGCTCACGAGATTCTCGGTGGTACCGGGGACGCGGCCCTGGGGCCCGGGAGCAGCTGCTGGGAGGGTGTGGCGTGGCCAGCTGCCATGGGACTGGGGCTGCCCGCTGCGCCCGCTGGGCCCCCGAGGCAGTGAGAGGGTCAGAAAGCAGCTGTGGAGGCAGGCAGCTGCTGGTGTAAACGCGTCCGCCCTGTAACGGCGATGGCTGGGGCTCTTTATTACGTTGGAGCCACTGGTTGGCGTTCGCTCAGGCCCAGGCCCACCTCGGCCAGCACCGGCACCAGCTCAGGGAGCCTCTCTGGCCTCCGGCGCAGCGCCTCCGAGGCTGGGCTGGGCCAGCCCGCGCCAGCCCACGGCGCCCTGTCAGGATTGGGACCTCTGTCGGCCCGGGAAGCAAGTGCCAAGTTTGAAGCAGGGCCCGGTGGGGGTCTTCGGGCGACCTTGCTGCGCGGTCCTGAGCCCTGGTGGCTGTCCTCCAGTTGAAGCCAAGCTGTCGGAGCCCATCAGGGCCTCCTGGCGAGGCCGGGCGGCCACAGCTGCCGAGGAGGTCTCCATGGAGTTGTGGCCACTTCCTGCCGCCGGCCGGTTTGCCCCAGTGCCCGCTGTGGGGGCCGCGGCTCCCCGGGGTGCCTGCTGGAGGCGGGGGCAGCCGCGGGGGGGACATAGGGAGACGCGCTCCTCCCAGGGCCACAGTTCCCTCCGTGACTGTTGTCTGTCTTCTGACCAGGGAAGTGCAGACGGCGAGGGGACGGTCTGAAGGTGGAGAATGACCCCCAGGAGGTGGGTACGTGGGTCGGGCCGTGGGGCCCACCGCTGAGGTGGGGGTTGGGCCCCTCCCCGGGACTCCGGGGGAGCCCCCACTCCTCGTGCGGCCCCCGCTGCCCGTGGCTGTTCTGGGGCTGCTGGGCCTGCCTCAGCTGCGGGCCTGTGGGGGCTTGAGCGGAGAGTGACTTAGGGGCACTGGTCAAACCGTGTGGCCCCAGGCGCACGTGCGTGTGAGCATGGCCCTGAATGGACTCTGTGGCCACCACCCTACACAGAGAAGCCAGGGGCAAACGGGCACCCCTTCCACTCGCGGAAAGCCCTCTCGCGGTTCCCAGGCTGCCACTCTGTGTCGTCCTGCCTGTAGACGGTCGTGCGCTGGCCCGTCGCCTCCTCCCTCCCCTTCTAGACAGGAGGGCTGTGTGACTGCCTGGCGCGGGTCCATCTGGCCTTTGTGTGACACTTTGCCCCTGCTCCCAGCACTGCAGCTGCCCCTGTGTATGTGCTCTAGAAGGTTCTCTGCAAGTGTCCTCCTCGGTTCTCGAAGGTGCACCTTGCAGTCGGGCGCTGGCTGCCCCAGCCCCCTTGGCCGTCCACGAGGCCCGCGGATGGGATGCTGCTGGCTGCCGAAGGGCCCTGAACCGGGCAGAGCTGCTGGGGCCCCAAAGTCGTCCCGCCCCCCCACTCTAGATAATCCTGTTTATGTGGTTTTGTTCCAAAACAAAAACAGCTGTTGTCTCTTCAGACTGGGAAAGCCCTGTTCAGCCATTTCCGGGAGGCTGGGCTCTCGGCTTGGGACTCCGCCCGGACCACTTCTCTGATGCCGCGTCTCTCCCGTCCCTAGGCGGAGTCCGAGATGGCCCTGGACGCTGAGTTCCTGGACGTGTACAAGAACTGTAATGGGGTGGTCATGATGTTCGACATCACCAAGCAGTGGTAAGGGGGGCACTGGCTGGCGGCAGCCTTCGGGGCTCCTGCCACCTCGCCACCTGGAGGGCCCCCTGCGAGGCAGCAGGTGGCCCTTCCGCCCATGCCACTGCTGGCGCCAAACGATCGGAGCCTCTCCGTGGGCACCGTGCGCTCCAGCGGTCCTGCCACACGGAGGCGGAGGCCCAGGCATCTCTGGGCATCTCCGGGGGCGGGGGGGACGGCCCTGGGGGAGGCGCACCTTCCACAGCCCACAGCCCTTCCTGAAAGTACCACGCAGCCTCTGGCAGAATCAAGCGGCCGCTTGTCGGGGGCTCCGCAAGGACACCCCCTCACAGTCTTTGACTCATGAAGGGGATGCATAGCTAACATCCTGGCAGGAGACCAGAGCAGGGTGCAGGCAGGAGTGTGGGAGTGGCTCCCACAGGCGACCGGAGGGCACCCCCGGTCCCGCCTCCGCAGCAGCGCCGGGTGGGCCGGGGGGTCTGCCCCGACCCTGCGGGCTGTGATACTGCAAGCCAGGGGTCCCGACACCAGCCCGTGGCGCCGTCCTGCGTGCTGAAGGGGCCACTGCCAGAAATGGCCTGTGGGGTCTTCACCCTGCCTTTAAATGATCATCACCACGTGTCGGTCGCTTCCCGGGGCACCGTCTGGGAGCGGGAGCCGCGGGCCCTGGACCAGGGGAGAGAGCCCCGCAGGGGGTGCCACTCACCAGAGGGGCTCCCACCGTGCTCCGGGTCCTCGGCCTGACATGCACGAGGTGGCGGGCTGGGGTTGCACGGCGGATGCTGAGGAGGTCTCTGCTCACCTGTGCTCCCTAAGGACCTTCAACTACATTCTCCGGGAGCTTCCCAAGGTGCCGACCCACGTGCCAGTGTGCGTGCTGGGCAACTACCGTGACATGGGCGAGCACCGAGTCATCCTGCCCGACGACGTGCGCGACTTCATCGACAACCTGGACAGGTGGGCGGGTGGCTGGGGCCTGGGATGCTCGCGTCCCAAGGAGCTCAGGCTCCTCCCCTTGTCCGGGTCCCAGCTTCGGCAGGGGCCCCGCTACGGGCAGTGAGGGGCAGAGCGAGTGGCAGAGGGTCTCTGCACAGGGCAGAGTGGCTTCCTGGCACCAGGCAGGCATGGGGTGGGGCAGCCAGGTCAGGGCGGCGGGGGTGATGCAGCGAAGCCCCCACCTTGGGGACATCGGGCGTGGCCTGGCCCAGGAGTGGTCTGTGACCCAGGGGGGCTGCCCCCCCCCAGAACCATCTGTTCTTCCTGCACACAGGCCCCCGGGCTCCTCCTACTTCCGCTACGCCGAGTCCTCCATGAAGAACAGCTTTGGCCTGAAGTACCTTCACAAATTCTTTAATATTCCTTTCCTGCAGCTCCAGGTGAGCCCGCCCCGCAAGGCAGGGGGGAGGGGCAGAGCTTCCCCCGCAGGTGCCGTCCGGGGTAGGGGTAGGGCCACCCGCCCAGCATGTTGCCTGGACTGCAGCTGCCCGGAGGGCTCACCGTGCCCGTGCTTTTGGCCCGGGGGTGCCTGCTCCCATCCCCTTCCATCCCCTCCCTCTGCTGCTAGCCGGAGACCTGGGCCTTCACAGATTCAGCTGCAGGAAACTGTAGAGATCCTTAAGACGTTCTTCTCAGGCTGTTTCTGACCAATAATCCAGGAACTAGAGGTTTGGGCCAGCGGGCGCCTCAGCCCCTCCCCTTAGACCCACCTTGACCCCTGCCGTGTGCTTCACCAGGCCTGTGCGGTCCCTCTTCCCCGTGTGAGCACACATGGGCTCCAAAGGCCCACAGCACGGTCTGCTCCCTGGCTCCCGACCCCCTGCCTGGTGGCACGGTGGCCCCACCGTGTCCCACCCCCCCACACTGCCAGCGCAGTGCCTGGTTTGCAGCCTGCTAAGCCCGGGTCACACGCCTGCTCTGCCTTGTTCCCTCCCCTCCTTCCTCCACAGAGAGAGCGAGCAGGGGAGAGGGAGAGAGACTCCCAAGCAGGCTCCACACTGAGCACAGAGCCTGACACGGAGCTCTGTCCATGACACTGGGATCCCGACCTGAGCTTAAATCAAGAGTCAGACACTTGAAGCGCCTGGGGGCTCAGTTGGTTAAAGTGTCCAACTTCAGCTCAAGTCATGATTTCACAGTTCATGAGTTCAAGCCCCGTCTCGGGCTCTGCGCTGACAGCTCGGAGCCTGGAGCCTGCTTCAGATTATCTCTTTCTCTCTCTTTCAAAAATAAAACCGTTTTAAAAAATTAAAAATAAGTAAATAAAACACAGAGAGAGATGCTCAACCTACTGAGCCACTTGGGTGTTTTCTTAATGTTTTACTCTGGAGTGACTTGGGGTTTACAGAGAGGTGGCAGGGAGGGTGCGAGGGCTCCTGCACGGCCCCCTTAGCTTCCCCGGGGCTTCTCTCCAAGCCACAGGCATCAAGGGTCCACCGCCCGCCCGCCGTATGGCTGCCCCTGGGCGTTCCCCTCAGGCCTGGCCACACCTCCCGTGTGGTCCTTCGGAGCCTGCTCTGGGCTGTGTGCATCTCCGGAGCCCTGTTCCGGAGCCAGGCGACTGCCATTCCCGTCACACCACGGCGGGGCACACGACCTCCAGTCAGTGGGATGCTGGCCGCTGGCCCCTCTGCAGCCACCGTGGCTTCTGTTCTTTGTCCACAAAGGTGCGGGCTCGCCCGGGGGAGTGGTGGTCTTTCCTCTCCTGTCCTGTCTCTGGAAGGACAGCCGGACCCTGCAGACAGGCGGCTGCTGTTTTCGGCCGGAGGGAAGGCTGGCGTGGGCCGACTTCACATTGGTGTCCGCTGCCACTGTACCCTGCGCTTCCCCCGGGGGCCCTGGGTGTCCCGAGTCGCCGTTATAGATCCCTGTAGCTACAACGCGCACACAGGTGCTGGGAGCGTTTCCTGTCCCTGGCAGTCTCCGCACTGCGTGTTGCTGGAGAAAGCGAGAGAAGGTTCTGCAGGCGGCCGCTGGGGCTGATGCACGTGTGAGGGCCGAGCTCCTGCCCCAGGGGTGGCGCGGGCCCAGGGCCCAGTCTTCCCCGGGCGTTGCTCGTGTCTCCGACTTCATCCCCGGAGCCACGCGCGCAGCTTGGGCGCTGCACCAGCCACCCCGGACAGGCCGGTGGACCTGGTGACCCCCGTGCTCGGCTGCAGCTTCATTCCTGGAAGGCTGGCCAAGCAGGGACTCGGGGCTGAAGGGTCCACTTCCTCCCGTAGAGGGAGACGCTGCTCCGGCAGCTGGAGACCAACCAGCTGGACGTGGACGCCACGCTGGAGGAACTGTCTGTGCAGCAGGAGACGGAGGACCAGAACTATGACATGTACGTCACCCCGGGGGCCACCACGGGGGCCAGACCTGCAGGTGGGGGGCCGCCCGGCGACAGGGCAGTGGGAGAGCCCCCACCTTGGGCAGACCCGGCAGCTCGGCCGCTCGTGTTGCTCAAAAACACCGAGTCTCTTCCTCCTCAGGTGTGGCTGTGCACAGACCGGAGTGTGGGCGGGGCGGGGGGGGGGAATCCAGGGCCCCCAGGGGAGGGAGGGAGGGTGGCCCTCACCACGAGATCGGTGCTGCAGCCCTCCCTGTTCCCTGGACCCAGGTTCTTTGTCGTACCCGCACAGCGGGATCTGGGCTTCTCTAGAACAGGCAGCTTCAGTGTCAAGTGGAGCCCACCTCACCCCGGAAGCAGACACTTGCCGAGGACGGACACCCTGAGGCCCTGGCCCCTGCGCCCGAGAGAGTGGGGCCAGGCCTTCCGTGACTGACCTGAAGGGACCCCAGGGGCCCCCCCGCTGACAGGGGTGACTGGGGTACAGTGACTGTTGGCTTGCCAGACGCAGTCGCCATGTCTGGTGCCACTGCCCTGGGCCACGGGTCCACCTGAGCCCCAGGAGAGACCTGATGCCTTGAGGTCTCTGGCTGAGGCTGCTGTGGCTTGGAGTTGCAGAGTAGGGTCCTCAGAGCTTGACTTTGGGAGGCTTGTGGGAAAGGAGTGGGGGCACCGTGCAGAGCAGCAAGGCTGACCAGGGCCCAGCACCCCTCGGGCTGGCCCGCTGCCCACCCGGGGTCCCGTCTGCCCTCCACAGCTCTGGGGGGTACGCACGTGCTCTTTCAGGCAAGTGTGACCTGAGCTGCCCCAAAACAGGTGCTTGCGTTCTCTTTGGTGCACAGAGAAGGCACGTAAACCTCAGAGCTGAGGGAGGGCGTGCGGAGGGCGCGCTGCTTCCCCGCCTGGGCTCCTGTCCTGGGAACGCCCGCCCCCCAGCACGTGTCTTGTCCCCACGGGGACTCAAAAGGGCCTTAGGGTCTCCCTGGAGCCAGATCCGTGTGTTGGTTCTGGAACCGGCCCCAGCGGTTCTCGGGGAGTGAGTTTTCACACTCTTTGGCCGCTTGGTGGGTCCCAAGGGAGGCCCACCCCTGGGAGCAGCTGCCCTCACCAAGGAAGCCATCCCGGGGTTGACCCACTTCTGGCAGCCCCCTTGACCCAGAGCGTGGGCACTGGCACCACCCAGCAACCTGCCCCCTAGGGGGATGGTGGCAGGCGCAGCCCCTGCACTCGCCCCACAGCCAGCCAGGAACCAGACCCGTGCCAGGGCTTGGCGGAGACGGCTCTGGGATGCGACTCTGGGATGCTTCCTGGAATGCGAATGTGGGGCATCAGCCAAAGACCTGGGCTCCGGCCTCAGCCTGCCCTTCTTTCTGACCCCGCCCTGGAAATCCTAACTTGGAGGTGCAGGTGGCCAACACAGACACACCCTTGCCGGCGCCCAGGGAGCCCAGCCAGCAAATGGGGCAGCTCTTCATTGCAGACCTTCCGTGGGGCAGCACCGGAGACCGCGGCCCACAGACCGTGGGGCTGGTCACTGAGGTCCAGTTGACTTGGAACCCCTGGTCTTGGCTGCTCCCTGTCTCCGGGGCTGCCTCCCCCCCCGCGAGGCAGGTCCCGTGTCTGATTGGTGGAGAGCTCAGAGTGTGAGCGACGGGCTCCCAGGCCTGCCTGTCAGCACCCCCCAGCACCCTCCCTGGAGGCTGTGGGGCCAGAGGCCCGATGAGCTCGAGGGCGAGGGCTCTGCCCTCAGAGGAAGAGCCTTAGGGGAAAGCGGGTCACTCACTGCCTGCCCCCGTGTCCCTGCAGCTTCCTCGAGATGATGGAGGCGCGCAGCCGTGGCCACGCGTCCCCACTGGCCGCCAACGGGCAGAGCCCATCCTCAGGCTCCCAGTCTCCAGTGGTGCCTCCGAGCGCCGTGTCCACGGGGAGCTCCAGCCCCAGCACGCCCCAGCCGGCCCCGCAACTGCCCCTGCACCCCCCCACGGCCTACCCTTGTCCCCCGCCCCCCACAGAGGCCCCGCCACCACCTGCAGCCCCCCCGCCACGGCGCAGCTTCATCTCAAGGCTGTTTGGGACATCGCCCGCTGCCGAGGCGGCCCCTTTGCCCCAAGGTAAGTCCCGGGAGCGGCTCTTCGGCATGGCGTGCTGCCCAAGTGGTGGGGTGCTCGTAGACCAGGTCGGGGTCCCCTCCCTCCTCCTGGGCAGGCAGGCACTGGTCTCTGCTGTCCTCAGAGCCAGCTCCTGCCACAGAGGCCCCGACAAAAGTCCAGAACGTGGAGGATTTTGTTCCCGAAGACGGCCTTGACCGCAGCTTCCTGGATGACACGGGCCCCCAGAAGGATGAGAAGAAAGTCGGAGCCAAGGTTTCGCAGGACAGTGACAGGTGAGAGCAGGGCCAGGCGGGCCCTCGGCCTCGCCCCTGCCTTCCACACCCCTGGTGAGTTCAGCAGGACCACGCAGGCAAGCAGCCTGCTCAGACCAGCCACGGGGCCGCGCGCTGGGGGCCGGCCTGGGACGCAGGCGGCCTGACCCTGCAGGTCTCTGGTGCCCGGCCACCTGCGTGTCTGCACATTCTTGGGCTGATGCCGTTCGAGAGCACTGGCAGCTGGGAGGCCCCTGCTGCCCACCCTCCTCACGGGTCCTGAGCCCGGCCCGCGCATGCTCCCCTGCGCCGCACCAACCCCGGGTCAGACTCACTGGGGAATGCAAAGTAGAGCCGGCAGTGGAGACCCCACTGAGCCCCTCCACACCCACACCCTGCCTCCATGCAGGACGGCACCCACTCGGCACATAAACAGAGCCCGGCTTCCGGCTGTGTGGTGGCATCTCCACCCCTCTCCTTGGCCCCCACCTCATGCCCCCATTCTGCCAGCCTGTGCCACTTCCCTGCCACACCAGCGGGTCCCCTCTGTGGCCTGCGGCCCCACGTGAGTGCTGAGTGCCAGCGGCAGGGTGGCTCCTCGTCCAGTGCCCACACCTTGCAGAGAGAACGTCCAGTCCAGGGTGCAGAGAGGGAAGCCGGACCCTCCGGACCCGCCTCGCGACCTCTGACCACCCTGCCCCTCCTTTGCAGCGATGGGGAGGCCCCGGGGGGCAACCCGCTGGTGGCAGGCTTCCAGGATGACGTGGACCTGGAAGACAGGCCGCCCAGCCGGCCCCTGCCGCCCCCGGGTGCTGTCCCCAGGGAGGAGACTGCTTCCTCCAGCGAGGAGGAAGCAGCGGGGACAGCAGGGCGCACCAAGGCCACTGCCGCGGCCCCCCACAAATGCGCCGAGCCAGACACCAGACGGTAAGTGGAGGGGACCCGCCCGGGGGTGGGGGCGGCCGAGAGTCCCCTGACCTCGTCCTTGTCCCAAAGGCCATCCACACAGGCTTCGAGGCCACACATGGCCGTGGAGTCCCGCCGGCCAGGCGTCCCCAAGTCCCACCGCAAGGACCCCTCAGGAGGCCGCGAGGAGCGGAGGGGTGAGCGGGCGGGGTCATCATCATCGTCGTCGTCCAGTGACCCCGAGGGCCCCATCGCCGCCCAGATGCTGTCCTTCGTCATGGACGACCCCGACTTCGAGAGCGACTCAGACACTCAGCGGAAAGCGGTGAGGCGGGGGTGGGGGGAGGAGGAGGGTCTCGGGTGGGAAGGGGGGATGGAGGAAAGCGGGCCCGGTGACATCCTCCGGGGCTGAGAGCTCCAGACCTGCACGTGACCCCGGGGAGGGGCTGGGGCCCACTCCCAGGACAGCAAGCACTGAAGGGCCGTGGCGTCCCAGCTGGCCACCCCAACTTCAGGCTGGGCGCGGGGGCCCCTGAGGCGGCTTGTCACCTGCCCGAGAAGCGCAGGAGCTGTCCCACAGGGGTCCCGAGACAGAGGTGGCCGCCCGCCCTGCCCGCTCCTCCAGGAGCAGTTCCCAGTGCGAGACGACCTCTCTGATGACACGGACGAGGATGCCTGCCGCGCCCGGCCGCCCCCAGCCCCCAAGCCCGCCGTGGCCTCCTTCAGACGGAAGGATGACTCCGATCTCTTCGGCTTGGGACTGGAGGAGACAGGCCACAAGGAGATCAGCGACGAAGGTAGTTTAGGGGCTGGGGGGCTTGGGAGGCTCCTGCCAGAGTGCCCGCCCAGGAGGCATCTGGTGGCCGGGAAGCTTGGGCTGCTCCGTAGGCCCCTGGAGCACCCACGGCTCGGCGTGGCCTGGGCCCTGCCCTCCATTCTGGGCCCCTTGAGCCCAGCTCAGCCCCGGCCTGCAGCGTCCCCCGACCTGCAGCGTCCCCCGGCCTGCAGCGTCCCCCGGCCTGCAGCGTCCCCCGGCACTCGTCCCGGAAGCTCCCTGCCCCCGGGGGGGGGGCGGGGCTGAGGCGTGCCTGCCCGGGGGTCGTCCCCCAGCTGCCCCCCTGGCAACCTGTGCTCTCCCGGCGGTGCCGGCCCGGCCCTGGGGGCCCTGGGGGGCTGTGGGGCCCACGCGCTGTCTCCTCTGTGCAGAGAAGGAGGGCAAGCCTCCCTCGAAAGAGAAGAAAAAGAAAAAGAAGAAAGGCAAAGAGGTAGGCGCCCTGCCTTCCAGCTCCAGGTGCCCGCTGGGCGGGCCGGGCGGTTTGGGGTCCCAGTGTCCGCACGGCCTGAGCCCCCCCCTTCCCAGGAGGAAGAAAAGGCGGCGAAGAAGAAGAGCAAGCATAAGAAGGGCAGGGACAGGGAGGAGGGCCGGCAGGAGCGGCGGCGGCGGCCCCGGGGCCCCGAGAGGACTGCGGTGGACGAGCTGGAAGCCTTCCTGGGGGGCGCGGCCCCGGGCGGCCACCTCCGCGGGGGTGGGGACTACGAGGAGCTCTAGGCCGCAGGCCCCTCCATGCTCGCCGGGGACGCCGGGCCCGCCCTGCACGGAGCCGGAGCCGGAGCCGGAGCCGGGCGGCGGGCTGGGCGGTGCGGGGAGCCGGCCCCTGGCGCTTCTCAGGGATGGGACTGAGGCCGAGGAGGCCGCGAGGCTGTTTACAGGGCAGGGCGTGTCCTCGTCACCGGCCCGGCCCCTGCTTGCCCCTGGCCCACCATGCTCGCTGCCCCAGGCCCCCCACTCGAGGGTGGGCTCTGCTTCCTGCCCCTTCTGGCATGGGGGGCAGACACCAGGCGGCACTGGCGCCTTTCCCGGGGCGGGTTCTTCCCGGGCCCAGGGTCCAGCTTTGCACCCGCGCTCGGGCTCGCTGCCGGCCAGGCCCTCAGGGCCTCAGACACTGTTTCCTCTTGTTTTCCGTCAACGCTCCACTCCGACCATAAAGCTCTCCTGTCTTACCGCGTCCGTGTGTGCTTCACCCTGTGAGCCGCCCCGCTGTCCCAGGTGGCAAGGTCCTGCGTGCCCTTCTCCCGCTGCCCCCCAACCTCCACCCATAGGAGGCCTTCCAGCACCTCGTGACTCAGGGAGGGGGTCCGCAGGAGGCTCCCCGGCAGGCCCGGCCCCACGTGTGTCCTGCCTTACGCAGGCTGGCCACTGCAGCCGTTGTCCTGCGCGCGGGTCCCAGCCCACCCAGGCCAGCCCTGGGCACCTGCACCCAGAACACCCGAGGTCCTCTGGCCTGCCGCGGGCCGGCGTGTGTCTGCTCTCCTGGCCTCTGGGAGGCGCTGTGCTGTCCCAGCCACCTCCCTGTTCTGCCTTCAGCCCTGTCGCTCCCACCATACCCCGGCCCCTCTGGCTGCCAGCAGCCCCACCCCAGTTGCCATGACAACCGTGCACACAGTGGGAAGCGGGGGTGGTAGCCAGGCTGGAAAGCCTCCCCTTCCCCAATTGCTGGGCGTAGACTGGCCAGTTTCTCACCCTGGAGACTACAGGGCAGCGGCCACTGGGCAGGGGGCCAGGCACCAAAGCGACACGCTGGGGACGTCCCTTAGCCCACAGCCTACGAGATCTGCCCATGTGGAGCCCAGTGAATGTGCGCATCAGGCTGACACGAAACAAATGTGTCCGGGGCCCTGGACCTGACGGGCCTACGGGGGGCAGGTCTCGGAGCCGAGGGCCTCCATGACTCCCCCCTGCAGTTACACGGTTCCCCTGCCTGGCGTCTGGGAGGGGCTGGCAGGACTGGAGAACGGAAGGCCCCGTGTGGTGTGTAAGTGGCCCACGTGCAGACCCGCCCAGGGCAACGATGGCCCTCCACGCACCTCGACTCCGATCACGGGGAGCCTAAGACATGCCCTTGCCCGGGCGAGTCCAGGCATCCCGGGGACAGGAGGCTGCAGGCCCCGCTCGGCCGTGCCCATCTGGCCCCAGGAACCTGCAGAGTTTGGCGCCTGCAGCCGGCACAGCGGAGCGGGGGCCAGCGCAGCGGAGCGGCCCATCTGCTCCTGCCAGGCCTCAACCGAGAGGTGAATTCCGGAGCTTGGGGCTCCTCCAGGGTCCTGCTCCGAGGCCACCGCCAAGCCACCAGCTGCCCCTGGGGTGGGGGCTGGGACCGGCAGGGTGCTCCCTGGGTGTGGGCACCCTGGACCCCAGGCCTGCACCTTGAGGATGAGGGAGGGCTTGTCACCGGGCACTCGGCACAGCCCCAACAAACCGCCAGCAGGCCGCACGGGTCCCGGGCCCACCGCACGGCCCCTTTAAGTGCAGCCCCGCCGGCAGCCACTAGGGGCAGCACTGAGCAGCCGGCGGCCTCCGCGCCGCTGCCTCGAAGCTTCTGCCGGTGCCGGGGACGCCGCGGAGCGGAGAAGGCGGAGCGGGCGCAGGCCTGCGCAGCCCACCGGGCGCGCGCGGCGGGGAAGCAGCGCCCAGGTAAGGCATCGGGGGCCGCTGCCCCACGGGCCCTGTCATGGGTGGGGCACCCGCAAGGATGAGGTCCCATCCCAGAGCTACACCGGCAGGTCCTCACTCAGGGCGCGGGGGGAGGGGGGGGCAGGGCTGTTCCGCGGTTGGAGGGCTGCGGGAGGGGCTCCTAGGGCCTGGGACCCCTTTAGGGGCCGACCGTCCCCATACCCACGGGGAGGAGTGTCACCAGCCCAGCTCCATCCTCACTGCTGCGGAGGCAAAGCGGAGCTGTCACCTCCCTGGGGCGGAGCTTCATGCCCTGCCATCGGACCGACTCCGGCCTGGCTCTGAGCTTAGGATGGAAGGCAGTGGGAAGGGGACAGTCCTATGAACAGGGACAGAAATGGGGTGAGAGCAAGGCTGGGATGGGACAGGCCACTGGGGCTTCATGGCCCTGACCCAGAAGGGCAGTCCTGCCGGCAGAAAGCCCCTGGCCCGCCTGGGACACAGAGCCGGCCTGACCAGAGACCTCGCCAGGTGAGGGCGCAGGGCCCCCCTCCCCCCGCGCCCCCCCCCCCCCCCCCCCCCCCCCCCCCCCCCCCCCCCGCTCGGCCCGGAGCTCGCTTCCCCAGCTTGTGTGAGGTGGGGGCCCTGTCAGCACCGGCTGAGACCCTACACCACCCTTCCAGGCCCTGGGTACCACAGAGGGGCTGGTGGCCCGGGTCTCAACATGAGCCCAGTGCAGAGGGGTGGACCCCAGCCCAGCCCCCACTGCGGGGGCCGGGGAACCTCAGGTTGCCATGGAGCCTTCCCGAGCTGCTGTGGAGAGGGCTCTCTCCTGAGGAGAAGCAGTGAAGGGGGGGGCCTCTCCCCGCGCACCACCCTGCCTCCCCTGCTTGCTGCCTCCTGCCCCGGCGCTGCTCAGGGGACGGGCTGCCCGCAGCTGGTGGCCCCCGCCCCCACGCGGTCCTGCGCCCGGTTTCTGAGCTGCAGCGCGCAGGCCGCAAAGCTGGGGAGGCTGTTCTCTGGGCCTTGTCATGACAACCCCAAGCTTGATGGGTTCCCACCACCCCAAGATACTGGGGACCAGAGGTTTCTGCAACGGAAAGGGGGTTTTAGGGCCAAGGTGTGCTCTTCGTGGAGTATTTTGGCCTGGGCCACCTGGAAGGTCAAGGGTGGGGCAGGTCAGTGCGTGGGCCTAGGGGCGGTGCCTGGACCTGATGCGGCCACCACCGTGTCCCACCACGTCCACTGGGACCTCAGAACTGGGGCTTGGTTCAGGGCCTGTTCCCAGGGCAGCCGCCATGGCCGTACTAGGGGACGGACTCCATGTCCCACCTGGTCAGCAGGTGACTAGAGAGGCTCTGACTTTGTCAGGGCCCAGGGACTCACCCTGAGGCTGCACCATCAGAGGGTTTACTCGGAACCGGGCACCGCGGGGGGGGGGGGGGGGGCTTCGGTCACCCATGAGTTCTGTGAAGCAAACATCTATAAATCAGCCTGTAAATAGGCTTCACATGAGCACACACTCATTCCAGCTGGGAACACACCCCCACTCTTCCTGCCCCAGGAAGCGGGTTGTACCCGCACCTGCCCAATAGTAGGAGGGGGAGGGGGAGCCCCGGGGACGGGAGCCTGGGAGCAGGAGCTCGGGAACCACAGCAGTGGCCACTGCCTTTCTGCCTGATTGGCTACGTCCCAGCAGAAAGTGGCCCGGAAAGGGTGGCCTGGGGCCGGGGACAGACCCTGAGTAGCTGGACGGCTGGGTTCCTCCCGCAGGTGCCTCTGACGCCAGCATGGAGCAAGTGCCTGGGGCCTCGGCCACCGCGGGCAGCCAGGACTGCTCCGCCCACTGGGTCCCAGGTAAGTCAGGCCAGCGTAGGGGTGTAGCCAACTCTGGGTTGCAGAGGGGTCACCCTGACCCACATCTCCCACCAGGGCAAAAGCCCCAAAAGGCAGAGTGAGCTGCGACCGCCAGCCTGGGGACTTCTTTTAAAATGACCCGAACGGACCCGCCGGACCTGTTGGTGTCGACCGTGTACCAGGACATCAAGGTGGCGGCCCCCGGGCCCGCGTCGCGGCGCCCGCCATGTGAGCGCCCCGTGCCCCCGCCCGCTGCGCCCGCGCCTTTCAACAAGCGCCACTGCCGCAGCTTCGACTTCCTGGAGGCGTTGGACGGGGCGGCCATGGAGGCCCGCACGGAGCCGCCGCCCCCCGAGCCCGCCGCGCCGCGAGCCCGGCCCCGCGATGGCGAGCCCCGGCGCCGCGCCCGCTCCAAGAGCGCGCCCCGCGCGACCCCGGGCCTGGCGCCCGCGCCCGCCTCGCCGCCGGTGCTGCCACGCCGAGGCCGGGAGGCTCAGCGGGCCGCGCGGGCGGAGGCATCGCCGCATCGGGAGCCCGCGTACCCGGCGCTGCGCGCACTCGCCAATGAACTGCACCCCATCAAGCTGCAGCCGCAGCGGGGCGGCCCTGGCCGCATCGCGCCCCTCTGCGCCAACACGGGCCGCTGCGCGCTCCCCGAGCCGCCCGCGGGGCCTGCACCTCACGTCCGGTGCCGCCTGGACATCAAGCCGGACGACGCGGTGCTGCAGCACACCGCCAGGGGCTCGCGGGCCTACGGGCCTGCGGAGACCATGTCCTGGGCGCGCAGCGCTCCGCAGCTCCACGGCCTCACAGTGCCCGGGCCTCGGCACGTGGCGCTGTCGCGCACCCCCACCCCCAGTGACACGTACTGCGCAGACCCCCGAGCGCTGTACTGCGACGGTCCTCTGCCTGGGCCCCGGGACTATACGGAGCGCCGAAGCCTGCCCTTCACCACGCCGCCCGGCCCCACCCAATTCTTCTACACCGAGGAGCCTGAGGGCCACCCAGGCGGCTTTACTGCCAGCCCTGGGCCGCCCTTCGACAGCTACTACGCCAGGCCCTTCCCGTCGGAGGAGCCCCCCGTGCCCAGTCCACCGCGCGCTGGAGGCTACTATGCGGGCGAAGTGCGCACTTTCCCAGTCCAGGAGCCGCCCTCCCGTTCCTACTACGGGGAGGCCGCTCGAGCCTATGGCCCGCCTTACGGCCCGCCCTGTGGCCCCCGATATGTTCCCGAGGAAACCCGGTCCCACCCCGCTCTGCGCCCCTTCTACACAGAGGACTTTGGGCGGTACCGCGATCGAGACGCCCTGGCTCGGACTTACCCACACCCGCGAGGCAGCCCCGCCTGGGGTGACTGGGGCCTGCGGCCGTACCGCACCCTGCAGGTGGTGCCTCCCCCGGACCCTGGCCCACTGCTCGCCTCCTGGCACGGCGGCACCGGCACCAGCCCGCCCCGGTTGGCCACCGACAGCCGCCACTACTCCCGCTCCTGGGACAACATCCTGGCGCCAGGGCCGCGCAGGGAGGACCCCCTGGGCCGCGGCCGCAGCTACGAGAACCTGCTGGGGAGAGAGGCCCGGGAGCCGCGGGGCGCGTCCCCAGAAGGGCGGCGGCCGCCCGTCGTCGTGAACCTGTCCACCTCGCCCAGACGCTACGCCGCGCTGTCCCTGTCCGAGACGTCGCTGTCGGAGAAAGGCCGCGGGGGCGAGGGCGCCGGCCGCAACTGGTATGTCACGCCTGAGATCACCATCACCGACAACGACCTGCGAGCCGGGGAGCGCCCGCCAGCCGGGGCCTGGGAGCCGCCGGGAGGGCGGCCGCGGCAGCCTCTGCCAGCCGCCCCGGAGGGGCCCGCCGCCGGCCGCCAGCGCAGCCTCGAGCAGCTCGACGAGCTCATCACCGACCTGGTCATCGACTCTCGGCCCCCGGCCGGGCAGGCCCCGGAGCCCGCGGCCGACGGGCTGGGCCGCCAGCTGCGCCGCCTGCTGGACTCCAGGCCCGCGGGCCCCGGCGCCCCCGCGCGGGCCGCGCGCTCGCCCCCCGCGTCGGCCGGCAGCGCCGAGGAGCCGGCCGGCCAGGGGCAGGCGGCCGACGCGTCCCCGGAGCCCAGCGCCGACGAGGACGACCTGATGACGTGCTCCAACGCGCGCTGCCGGCGCACCGAGACCATGTTCAACGCCTGCCTCTACTTCAAGTCGTGCCACAGCTGCTACACCTACTACTGCTCGCGCCTGTGCCGCCGCGAAGACTGGGACGCGCACAAGGCGCGCTGCGTGTACGGCCGCGTGGGCAGCGTGTGCCGCCACGTGCTCCAGTTCTGCCGCGACAGCGGCCCCGTGCACCGCGCCTTCTCGCGCATCGCGCGCGTGGGCTTCCTGTCCCGCGGCCGCGGCGTGCTCTTCCTGGGCTTCCCGAGCCCGGGCTCCGCGGACAACTTCCTGCGCTTCGGCCTCGAGGGCCTGCTGCTGTCGCCCACCTACCTGTCGCTGCGCGAGCTGGCCACGCACGCCGCGCCCCTGGGCAGCTACGCGCGCGAGCTGGCCGCCGCCGGGCGCCTCTACGAGCCGGCCGAGTGCTTCCTGCTCAGCGTGTCGGTGGCCGTGGGCCCCGGCGCCGCGCCGCCCGGCCCCGCCGCCCGGCCCGCGCCCGCGCCGCGCAGCCCCGGGCCCACGGTGCGCAAGTTCGCCAAGGTGGCGCTGGCGGCCGGCAGCCCCGCCCGCCCGCCCCCGGCCCGCGGTCGCGAGCCCGACATGGAGACGCTGATCCTGACGCCGCCGCCCGGCACCGCAGGCCTGGACCAAGAGGGCGAGGCGGGCCGGCGCGCGCGCGAGGTGGCCTTCATCCACATCCAGCGCGAGCTGCGCCTGCGCGGCGTCTTCCTGCGCCACGAGTTCCCGCGCGTCTACGAACAGCTCTGCGAGTTCGTCGAGGCCAACCGGCGCTTCACGCCCACCACCATCTACCCCACGGACCGGCGCACCGGCCGCCCCTTCATGTGCATGATCATGGCTGCCTCCGAGCCGCGCGCACTCGACTGGGTGGCCAGCGCCAACCTGCTGGACGACATCATGTGAGGTGCGGGGTCGCCCCCGGCCTCCGCCCAGCCCGCTCAGGCCCCGCCCAGTCCGCATCGGGCCCGCCCCGGGCTCCGCCCAGCCCGCGCAAGCCCCGCCCACCCCACGTTGGGTCCACCCCGGGCTCCGCCCAGCCCGCCCAGGCCCCGCCCACTCCACGTAGGGCCCACCCCCGAGCTCTGAGCAGCCTACTCAGACACCGCCCGGTCCACCCCAGGGCCCACCCGGGGCCCCACGCAGCCCTCTCAGGGCCTGCGCAGCCCACCTAGGCTCCACTCTCGAGCTTTGCCTGCCCACCCAGACCCCGCCCAGCGCACCTGGAGCCCCGCCCCTCAGGCCTGGCCGCGCTCCGCAAGTCTTCCCCGTTCGCCACAAGCTCTGCCCAGGGCCCGCCTTTCACTACCCCCTCCTCCGGCCCCCCTCTTCCAGCCAGTCCTGGGGCCTCCTCGGAGGTCGGTCCTCAGCCGCTTGGTGCTCCCCGCTGGGAGGCGGGGTGGGCCTGAGGACCGCCCGACCCTGCCTTCACGCGGAGGGGTCACTACTGCAGACTCCACCGCGAAGGTCCGGTCAGTCCATGTCCTGGCGGCCGCCAAGGCCTCCCTGCAGCTTCCCCAACCCTGGTCCGCCCTGTTGCCCAAACCTTTGTCCCGCGGCTTCAACGGTCCCACCTGCCTTCTGTGGTTTGGGGTGCATCTTGCTCCGAGGCCTTACCTCTCTGGAGGACACCCTGATCGCTCCCAGTGTGTTCGTGTCCAGAGATGACAAGGCTGGAGGGGGCCCCAGCTAAAAGAGCACGGCTGGGCCCTGAGCCCGCACACTGGCGCGCTGCCCGCCCCCCGTCCTCTCCTCTCCAGCCGCCGGAACACGGGCCTGCAGGAGGGTTTGGGCCGGGCAGCAGTGGAGGGGTAGTGGGAGGTCTTCAACCAAGGCACGGGACACCCAGAGGCGACGGGGGCCTGGGCGGGGTGTGGGAGAGGACGTGGGGGTGGGCGCTGGCAGGATCCGGCCCAGAGCCGAGAGCCGAGGAGTCCTGGCTGGGCGTGGGTCGGGCTGCCTGCCCACACCGGCAGCAGGCCCCTAGGTGGGTGCCGCCGGGGGGAGGGAAACAGACGCAGAGGATGGGTAAGCAGAAGGAACCGTACCTGCCGTCCAGGGGGGCTCCTACCCACGCAAGACTGGACGTTCACAGTTGGGAAAGGGTGCTGGGGCGAGCTAACTGGCCAGGGCAGGGGACGACCGAGGTGTGGGGGCTTGACTGCAGGAACGTCCTTCGTGCCTTGCCCTACGCTGAGGCCACACACACCAGGCAGGTGGCCGGGCCCTGTTCCCGGGAGCGCGCACTCACTGGCCCGCGGCCCTGGCTCCGTAAGGACAGGACGAGAGGGGACTAGGCGGGCCCGGCCAGCGTCCTTCGGGGGCTCCCAGCACTCCCCATCGGGGCCAGAAGACGCATCAGTGGAACTGTGAACGTCCCGCACACCTCTGCTCCTGGCTCGCGCCCCGTGCTGTGCACCCTAGTCCATCCCACAACGTCCGCGCGCCAACCTTGGCCTGGCGCGTCTGCATCGGCCACGAGCCCCGCTCGCCCTACCCGCCCTCGCGGCCTCCCAAGTCCAGCCGCCACGCCCCCCGCCCTAGGGCCTCAGCTTTCCGCCCCGCGCCTGAGGGCCGGCTGGTCAGGAATGATCCTGGCTGGACTGGGGTTATTTCCAGGGGGCGAACGCTTTCAAACCAAGTAAAACAGAACTCGAATGTAGCCATTGCTTCCTCCTTGGTGGGGGGTGGGGGGGCCTGGGAGGGAGGCCCTCACCCACGCTAGGCTGGGCAGGGGAGGGAGGCAAGAGAAGAGGGCCGGGGGACACACGGGAGGTTGGGAGGGAGGTCTTGGGCTGCAGTGAGGGGATGAGGGAGAGGGAGGCCTTCGGACACGGTGGGAGGAAGGAGAGAGAGGCCTTGGGACGCGCTGGGGGAGGGGTCAGGACGGGCGCGTGTCCCTTGGGCGTCCGGAGCCGCCTAACCCCCTCTAAAGGAGCCTGCCTCAGTCCCGAGGCCCACTCCGCCTCCCAGACCCCACTAAAAAAGAACTGTTTTCGTTTGCTGGATTCAATCACCACCCACTCTCGGGTCCCAGTTCCCTTTAAGTGGGACCCGCGTGGCCTCAGAGTGGCAAGGAGCTAGATTGCCATTGGCCAGTCTGTGCTGCGGGTCGGGGACACGATTGGCCGAGGCTCTGGGCCCGGGCAGCATGGCCGCGCGGGATTGGTCCCGGGCTCCCAGAGCCCGCCCCCCGCCCCGCCGACTCCACCCGGAGTCGCTGAGGGTAGGGGCTGCCGGGGCGGGCGGGCGGGCTGTGGGAAATATGGCGGCGGCGGACCTCGGCCAGATAGCCGATGTGGACATCGATTCCGACGGCGTCTTCAAGTACGTGCTAATCCGTGTCCATGCGGCGCCGCCCTCCGAGGCCCCCGCCGGAGAGAGCAAGGAGATCGTGCGCGGCTATAAGTGGGCCGAGTACCACGGTGAGGGCGGGGCCGGCCGGCGTCTGCGGGGCGGGGGCTGCGGGGCGGGGCTGAGGGCCCTGGGCGGGGAATGCGACAGGTACTGTACCCGTTCTGAGGGCAACTATCCTGGAGAGCAAGGGGCTGTCGTGGCCCGACCCCTCTGCCCTAGTCCCAGGGCCCTGCCCGGGTGCACCCCTTCCTCCTCTCCATGGCGCCCCAGGCTGGAGGGGCTCCTCTCCTGGGGAAGGGGCTGCTCAGAGCTGGACTTATCCCCTGCGCCTCCGCGGCCCATGGCACGTGCTGAGCCGCCTTCCCTGTCCCAGCCGACATCTATGACAAGGTATCGGGCGAGATGCAGAAGAAGGGCTATAGCTGTGAGTGCCTGGGAGGCGGGCGCATCTCCCACCAGAGCCAGGACAAGAAGATCCACGTGTATGGCTACTCCATGGTGAGCCCGCAGCCCGGGGTGGGGGCGGGGGGGGAAGGCGGGGTCGGGAGGGACCAGCCCTCACAAGCCTTCTGCCCTGTTCTGAGGATACTGGGGGGCTGGGGGTTCTCTGGCTGTAAACCCCTCTGGCCAGTGGCGTCCCCATCTCCCACAAGGAGTGGGAGGGGGGCCACTGCCTGCACAGTGGGCTGTGTCCTGTTCCCCTACGAGGCCTGGCTGGGCTGTCCCTGTCCTTTCCCAGGCCACGGCAGATACCTAGGGACGCTCACCGGCACCTAGGATAGCCGCGGCCCTGGGCTGGAGGGCCCACGCGCAAGGACTGCTCGCCTTGGTGGCCAGCTGTCCCCAGGAGAGCTCCCTGGGCACTCAGGGAGGGCTGGCCACGTCGGGCTCCATAGCCGGCTCCCGGGCGCTGCTGCCAACGGGAGCCCAGAGCCAGGACGGGGCTGTGAGAGTCGGCTTCTGTCTTCAGGGTTATGGTCGTGCCCAGCACTCAGTCTCCACTGAGAAGATCAAAGCCATGTACCCAGACTACGAGGTCACATGGGCCGACGATGGCTACTGAGGCCTGCCTGAGGAGCCTGCTGTACCCCCTGGCACTTTGCAGCCCTGGCCAGGCCCCAGGGCCCGTGTTTGCCTCACCTCGCTTGCAGGAATTAAAAACGTTATCACCCCTGCTGTTCCTCAGATGTTGTGTGTCTTAATTTCTCTGCTTCCTGGTCACCTTGGGGACCTCTGATCGGAGGGTGTGGGTGATGGAGAGCCGTGGCGGCCCCTCCTGGCTGCCCCTCACCTGGCTGCACATCTGGGGGCCCCAGGGAGCAGCAGTGCACACTCAGCCCTCTGTGGTCTGATAAGGGGGCCCCCGGGCTGCTGCCCCCATTTATGGCCTGATTGCTCCTCCACACCCCTCCCGTGTCCAAGGATCTCTGGGAGGAAACTCTTTGATGAGCCCTTGCGCAAGGAGTTAGCACCAGGTTCCCCAGGGCCAGCTGACATCAGTGTCCCCTCGTGATCTGCCATTTAAGGTCACGTGAAGTTTCCCCAGGACCCCTTGTGAGACCAGGTCCCATGGCAGCCGCCCCGCAGCTTCAGGCTCCCACTTCAGGCTTGGGGCCAGGAGCCCCCTCCGAGGAACCCCCCCACCTCCCAGCACAGGCTGCTGGGGGACAAGCTGGGGCACGTGGACGCGGTGTGGAGGAGGGGAGAGCCGGGGAGGGCTGAGCGCCCGGCCCCGCGGCTCCTGGGGAGTGCATCCTGCATGTGCCTTCCGCCCGCTCGGGCTTGCAGGGCCTCTGCAGGCAGCGCTCTTGTGACACATCTTAATGATGAGGAGACAGCTCTGGTAAGACCGCCTCCTGAGGCCACACGGTGGTAAATGGCAGCCAGAAGGTGGGCTCCTCTGCTCCCCTTGCTTGGCAGCGCGCTGCCACGCTGCTCAGGACACTTAACTAACAAACGATTGTCCCTTAACAAAGGAATAAGGACACAGGTGGCCACAGACTGTCATGGGGAAGGACGATGTCCTTGGTGGCTTGGGGGCAGGGAGGCCCGGAACACGGGGCTAGGGGCACAGGGGGCAGGTGCGTGCTCAGCTCCTATCCCCAGCTCTGGGGGACAAAACCCGAGTGGGTGCTTCCTCCAGTGGGGCCTCCAGCAGGAGGGGCGGGGCGGGGGGGGCATGATGACTGGGGCCTGACCTTTGGTCGGAAGGAGCCGGGCAGGTGGGAGCCTCCCTGGGCCAGGGCCCCTCTCCTGCACACTTTTACAGCCAGAAGCTCATCATCAACACAGAGTGGGGCCTCCTGACGGGCAGCGGGTGCAGAGGGGCCGGATCCCCACTCTGCACTTCGAGCAGCCTCAGCTTGCGGCCGCGGGCAGATAACCGGGTGAAATTCCGTCTAGGCCGGGTGGCGTGGGCGCTGTCCCTCGGCCTCGTTCCCCGGGCCCGACCATGCGTCTGCCGGGCCACCTCCTGCCTGCCCTGGTCCTGCTCCTGGGTGAGTCGTCAGGTCTCCCCATGAGGGGCGCAAGGCTCTGGGTGGCCTGCGGGGGGTGCGGTGGGGCAGGACCAGCCTTTGGGGGGCTTCCCCATGGGAGAAGAGGCAAGAATTCTGCTCCATCTGGCCCCAGTGTCCACCCAGGTCCCAAGGCAAGAGGGCCCCAGAAGGGGACCCCAGTCCGCCACTCTTGGACCAAATGGAGCCTGAGGGGCCAGGGACAGGTCCCCGTCAGCTTCCTGCTCACATGCACGCCCCCTCCTGACCTGCAGCCCGCCCCTCCCGGGCCAGGGGTACTCTGCCCGACCCTGACCAGGAGCCCCCCTGCCAGGGCCCAGCCCCCTCCCTCCCCGACCTCTTGGCCTGGGTCCCAGAGCAGGTGGACAGCGTCCCGGGCCGCCTGGGGTTGGGGGGGCCACCCTGCGCCAGGCCACTGGGCTGTCTCTCTCCTAGCAGCAGCGTCCCCAAGCTGGGCCTGGGTCCCCAGCCACTGCAGGGCCCCCGGCGAGGCCACATGCAACTTCGTATGCGACTGCACGGATTGCTCGGACGAGGCCCAGTGTGGTGAGCGGGGCCGGGGCAGGGGGACGGGCAGGCCAGCCCCCCGCAGACAGCCCTGACCCGCCCCCCCCCCACCTCCAGGTTACCACGGGCTCTCGCCTGCCCCGGGCGCCCCCTTCGCCTGTGACTTGGAGGGAGACTCCTGCGGCTGGCGGGACATCAGCACGTCAGGCTACAGGTGGCTCCGAGACCGGGCAGGAGCCACACTGGAGCCTCTGGGCCCGCGCTCCGACCACACTCTGGGCACAGACCTCGGTGAGGCCGCGGCGGGTGTCCGTGATGCCCCCTCCCCTTAACTTCCAGCCCCACTTCCTGACCTCTCTGCCGGGCCAGGCTGGTACATGGCTGTCGGTACCCACCGCGGGAAAGAGACATCCACGGCAGCCCTGCGCTCCCCGGTCCTGCGCGACGCCGCCCCCACCTGTGAGCTGAGGCTCTGGTACCACACAGCCTCCGGAGGTGGGTGCCCAGGACCCCTCCCCGGGCTGGGGCACCCCGAGGGGAGGGACTGGGAAAGGACGGCGGGCTGCTGCGGAGACCGGGAAGGTACCCAGAGGTTCTAGGGCAGGGCCCAGCCGGCAAGGACCCCTGCCCCCCACTTACAGATGTGGCCGAGCTGCGGCTGGAGCTGACCCACAGGGCGGAGACGCTGACCCTGTGGGAGAGTTCTGGGCCCTGGGGCCCAGGCTGGCAGGAGCTGGTGGTGACCATTGGCCGCATCCGGGGCGACTTCTGGGTGAGCTGGGGGTGGTCTGGATGCGGAGGAAACAGGGAGGGTCTGAGCCCTGACGTGAGTCCTAAGGACCCCATCTTTTCAGGTGACCTTCTCTGCCACCCGAAATGCCACCCACAGGGGCACCGTGGCCTTGGACGACATGGTCTTCCGGGGCTGCGGCCTGCCCGGTAAGGCCCCCGTGCCGTGGACCCACACCCTGGGGGGCAGTGGGTTAGCAGGACTCAGATGCTCTTGAGCCTCTCCCCCAGCTGCCCCGGGCCCCAGGGTCTTGGGTCACGGTGACGAGCTGCCCTCCCCGGTGTCAGCCCCCCAGGCCCGCTGTCCCCTGGGGTACCACCACTGCGGGAACATGGCCTGCGTGGAGCCCCACCAGCTGTGTGACGGAGAGGACAACTGCGGGGACGGCTCAGATGAGGACACGCCCACCTGCGGTGAGCGGGAGGGGCTGCTGGGCGGCCGCGGAGAGCGGCGCGGGTGGAGGCCCTGCCTGACCCTGCTTCGCCCGCAGGCCGCCACACGGCCACCGACTTTGAGACAGGCCTGGGCCCGTGGAGCCACCTGGAGGGCTGGGCCCGGAACCACAGCGCCGGCCCCAGGCCCCCAGCCTGGCCGCGCCGGGACCACAGCCGCAACAGCCCGCAGGGTGAGGCCCCATGGGCGACCCCCGGTCCCCGCCCGCCACGGCCCGGCCACCCCGGCCCACACGTGGTGTCTCCCCAGGCTCCTTCCTGGTGTCCGTGGCCGAGCCGAGCGCCCCCGCTGTCCTCTCCAGCCCCGAGCTCCAAGCCTCAGGCACCCACAACTGCTCGGTGAGGCGGACGGGGGACCGGGGCCCGGGGCCGCCCGTCCCGGCTGCCCAGGCCTCTCCCTGACCTTCCTCGGCGTCTTCTCAGCTTACCTTCTATCACCACCTGCACGGGTCCCAGGACGGCTGCCTCCAGCTATTCCTGCAGCTTCAGAGCCCGGGCTCCCCCCAGAGCCCCATCCTGCTGCGCAGGCGCCATGGGGAGCTGGGGGCCGCCTGGGTTCGAGACCGGGTCGACATCCAGAGCGAGCACCCCTTCCGGGTGAGGCCCAAGAGGGTGGTGGCCAGGGGTGGGCAAGGGGGAGCTCCAGAGAGCGGTGCACGCGGACCCCCCAGGCCGTGTCATCAGGAAGCCGGTGTGCTCCAGGGCCTGCTCCGGGGGAGCGGCAGGGAAGGGGGGGGGGTGCTTTCAAGGCCCGTGTGGGGGCAGTGACAGGAGAGGGCATCTGGTGACATGGAAAGTACTGGGGGGGGTGAGGCAGGGAGAGGGCTCGAGGGAGCTGACCTGGGGATGATGGGGGTGCGGGGCACACTCTGAGGCCCCTGTGCCCCCAGATCCTGCTCGTGGGGCACACGGGCCCAGGTGGTGTCGTGAGCCTGGATGACCTCATCCTGTCGGACCACTGCAAGCCAGTCCCAGGTGGGCCTGCTGAGCCCCTCCCTCCCCCGGAGAAGTCCAACCCCCACCCTCCTCACCCCTGTTCTGTCCCCGCAGAGGTGTCTAGATCACCTCCCGGGCCCCAGGCCGCAGCCCCCTGGCGCCAGCAGTCCAGCCTGCAGCCCCGGGACTTCTGCGAGCCAGGCCACCTTTCCTGCGGGGACCTGTGCGTCCCTCCAGAGCAGCTCTGCGACTTCCAGCAGCAGTGCGAGGGGGGCGAAGATGAGCAGGAATGCGGTGAGGGGCGGGCGGCTGGGGCCTGCGGCGGGGGGGGCGGGGGGGGGGCCTTCTTCCCCCAGACCCCGCCGACCCTTCCCTGCTGCTGCTGCTGCAGGCACCACGGACTTCGAGCCCCTCACAGCGGGCGGCTGGGCGGATGCCAGCGTGGGGCGGCTGCAGTGGGGGCGTCTCCCGGGCACAGATGCCGGTGAGCCCCGAGTCCCCCCATCTGTGAATTGCTTCCCCTGAGGAGTCCTTGCACTGCCTCTTCTCACTGGGGACTGCGCTTGCACGGGGGGGTCCCTGGCAGGGATCAGCTCTGAGAGGCCTCGCTCTTCCTCAGGGCACTTCCTGTCCTTGCAGAGGGCCTGGGGACAGCTGGCCGCGGAGGCCCGGGTCCTCACACCTCCCCTGGGCCCCTCGGGCCCCCGCTGTGAGCTCCACATGGCTTACTATTTTCAGAGTCACCCCCAAGGTACCAACTGCTGTTCCTCGGAGCCCCGCCCCGCCCCGCCCCGCCCCCAGGCACCCTGCAGGAGGGCGGGGGTGGGGCACCGGGCAGACCCACAGTGACCCCCTGGCCAGGCTTCCTGGCCCTGGTCGTGGTGGAGGGCAGCAGCCGCGAGCTGGTGTGGCAGGCGGCGGGCAGCAGCCAAGGCTGGACGATGGACAGAGTCCTGCTTGGAGCACGCCGCCGGCCTTTCCGGGTAAGGAGGGCCGCCCAGGGGACAGGAGGGTCACAGAGCCAGCGCTGGCTCGACAGCCCCCTCCCTTGTGCCCCTCACGCAGCTGGAGTTTGTCGGCCTGGTGGACTTGGACGGCCCTGGCCAGCAGGGTGCTGGAGTGGACTATGTGACCTTGAAGGACTGCAGCGCCACGACAGCCACTGAGAAGGACTCAGGTCCTGCCCGCTCCCAGTCCCTGCCCAGGGCCTCCCACCCACCGCCTCGAGGGCCCTCGGGAGCCCCCACCCCCGAGAGCAAGTCTCACACCCTCTCGGGACACAGGAGGGGTAGGGGGGCTTGGGGCACGCTGACCCCACTGCGGCCCCGCCCTCAGAGGTCTCCTGTAACTTCGAGCGGGACACGTGCGGCTGGTACACCGGCCATGTCACCGACGCACACTGGCGCCGGGTCCAGAGCCACGGCCCCCGGTACGACCACACCACAGGCCAAGGTAGGGTGGGGGCACCCAAGCCTGCGGGGCGGCTCTCGGTCTGGACCAAGCCCCTCCTGGAACCTGGGGTCTCTGCAGCTCAGCCGGTGTCCCTACTACAGGCTACTTCTTGCTCCTGGACCCCACGGACCCCCCAGCCCGGGGCCCCAGCGCCCACCTGCTCACCCAGCCCCAGGTGCCGACGGCCCCCCAGGAGTGCGTCTCCTTCTGGTATCACCTCCACGGGCCCCAGATCGGTGAGTGACCCTGGTGCTGGGCACGGCCTCCTCGGAGGCCCTTGGGTGCCCCCAGCTCTGGGGCTCTGCAGAGGCGGGAAGGCTTCAAGAGTCGGGCTCTGGTCCCCCCCGACCCCCACCCCTCTGTCTAGGGACCCTGCGCCTGGCGATGAGGCGGGAAGGAGAGGCGGAGACGCTCCTGTGGTCGCGGACCGGCACCCACGGCAACCGCTGGCAGGAGGCCTGGGCTACCCTCCACCACCAGCTGGGCTCTGGCGCCAAGTACCAAGTAAGGCCCCGCGCCAGGGCAGTGGGGGCAGGGCCGGGCCCACAGCCGCTGATCCCCCCCACCACCCCCAGCTGCTGTTCGAGGGCTTCCGGGACGGCTACCGTGGCACCATGGGCCTGGATGACGTGGCCGTGCGGCCCGGGCCTTGCTGGGCCCCCCGGCGCTGCTCCTTCGAGGACTCAGCCTGTGGCTTCTCCAGTGGGGGCCAAGGCCTCTGGACACGCCAGACCAATGCCACGGGCCACGCCGCCTTGGGCCCCCGCGCTGACCACACCACAGAGACAGCTCAGGGTACGCCTCAGGGGTGCCGGAGGGGTGGGCAGAGGGGGGGTCAGTCACATGGGGGCTGACGCTGGCGCCTCCCAGGGCACTACATGGTGGTGGACACGAGCCCGCAGGCCCTGCCCCGTGGCCACGTGGCCTCCTTGACCTCAGCGGAGCACCGGCCTCTGGCCCAGCCCGCCTGCCTGACCTTCTGGTACCACCTGAGCCTCAGAAACCCAGGTGAGGGGTCTGCAGCCTGGAGCCCCTGCGCGGCCGTTCTTGCCCCCCCCCGCGGCTGACCCGGCTGCTCGCTGGGGGGCAGGCACCCTGCAGGTCCACGTGGAGGAGGCCGCGAGGCAGCAGGTGCTCAGCATCAGTGCCCACGGGGGATTCGCCTGGCGCCTGGCGAGTGTGGACGTGCAGGCCGGGAGGGCCTGGAGGGTGAGTGCCGGGGGCATGTTTCACTTTCGAGGACGTCCCGATCCCGCGCGGGCACGGCCACCCTGACCTGTGCCTGCCCAGGTGGTGTTTGAGGCGGTAGCCGCCGGCCGGGAGCACTCCTACATCGCGCTGGACGACCTGCTCCTCCAGGACGGGCCGTGCCCCCCGCCAGGTGGGAGCCCCACGGCCGGGCCCCGGGCCCCGCTACACCTCGGGGCCGGCACAAGCTGGCCTGGCGCCCCCGCCGTGGGAATGCCCCAGGGATGGGGGGGAGGAGCACTGCGCCGCGCACCGGCCAGGCTCCCTGGGGGCCGTGCGCCCGCCCGCTCACCGTCCGGGTCTCCCGCAGCTTCCTGTGACTTTGAGGCTGGCCTGTGCGGTTGGAGTCACCTGGCCTGGCCTGGCCTGGGAGGGTACAGCTGGGACTGGAGCAGCGGAGATGCGCCCTCCCACTACCCCCAGCCGCCTGTGGACCACACTCTGGGCACAGAGACAGGTGGGTCTGAGCCGGGGCGCCTTCGGCACACACCCCACCCACCCCAGGCCAGCCGGCCCAGCCCTGCAGGCTCCCGTCTCAATCAAAGGTCATGGGTCGGTTAACCAGACGCCCTGTCCTCTCTCTCTTCCAGGCCACTTTGCGCTCTTTCAAACCGGGGTGCTGGGGCCAGGGGGCCAGGCGGCCTGGCTGCGTAGCCAGCCTCTGCCTGCCACCCAGGCCTCCTGCCTTCGCTTCTGGTACCACATGGGCTTCCCCGAGCACTTCTGTGAGTGGGGCTGGGCCAGGAGCGCCCGGGGCGGGGGTGGGAGGGCGGGGTGCACTGGGCTGGGGACCCGAGCCGTGGCCCCCTTCTTGCAGACAAGGGCGAGCTGAGGGTGCTCCTGAGCAGCGCCCGGGGCCAGCTGGCCGTGTGGAGCATGGGCGCGCGCCTGCGGCACCAGTGGCTGCTGGCCCAGGTGGGGGTGGCCAGCGACGAGGAGTTCCAGGTGAGGCCGGGCCGCCCAAGCCTGCAGGTGGCGGAGGCCTCGAGCCGGGGGCCCCTCCTCGAGCCCGTGCAGCCAGCCCCCTCTCCCTCCTGGTCAGATCGTGTTTGAGGCCACTCTCAGCGGCCAGCCGGCCGTGGGGCCCATCGCCCTGGACGACGTGGAGTATCTGGACGGGCAGCACTGCCAGCTGCCTGCACCCGGCGAGGGTGAGCCGTGCCCTCGCCACCAGCCCTGCCCCAGATCTGGGACTCTGTCGGGCTCGGCAGCCTGTGGTGCCACCAACGCGGGGACATGCCCCATCCCCTCCCTTCTCCCCTTCAGGGCTGGGCCATCCCTCCCCCTTGGTCCCTGAGGAGCCGAGTGGGCTCTCAGAGTCCCCTTCCTGGCCTCTGCACCCCCAGACCCGGGAGGAGGTACCAGGCAGACCAGCGACCACGGCCAGGCTGCCTGTGGAGCCCTTGCTGGCCACTGTCTCTTCATGAGGGAGGGGCGGCTCTAGCTCGGCACTGTGACCCCCCACCCCGGCCCAGGTCTGGAGCCTCGTGCCGGCATGACCTGCCGTGGCCTCGAGGATGGGCCTCAGGGGCAGGGCTGACGGGCTCACGCGCCCCGCGGCCCACAGGGGACACAGCACTGGCCACATCCGTGCCGGCCGCGGTCGGCGGTGCCCTCCTCGTGCTCGTCGTCCTCCTCCTGCTGGGACTGGCCGGCCGGCGCTGGCTGCAGAAGGGGGGCTGCCCGCGGGCCGAGACAGCGGCCGCGGCCCCCGGCTTTGACAACATCGTCTTCAACGCGGTAGGAGCCGCTGGGTACCCGGCGGGCAGGGCTGACTGCTCTCCTCCCCGCCCAGGGCCCCACGCGCACGCGCACGGCCACCCGGCTGTCACAGGCTCCTCTCCTTCCTCCTAGGATGGCGTCAGCCTGCCGGCTTCGCTCACCGACAACCAGTAGACGATGCAGAGAAGACTCTGGCTCCCACAGGAGGGTCCCCGGCCCCTGCTCCCGGCAGACAGAGCCCAGGGCATAACCCCTGCCCCTCCCCCAGGACGCACTGAGCCCCCACACGGTCACCCAGCACAGAGACTGCCACCCATGTGCCTGGGTGTGGTCCTCACCCCAACAATAAATGCCCTGGCCCCCGAGGGCAGCCCCCACTTCTTGGCTAAGGTCCATGCATGCTGCTGTCAGCGGGATGATGGGCTCTTGGGGACCCCCAGAACTGACCCACCGGGCCTGAAAGGAGGTGCCTGGGGGTACCTCCCACAGGTCTCAGTGCCTTAGGTGACAGGCACCAGGCAGGCCAAACCCAACGGGGCCAAGGGCTAGAGGCACCAGAGGCAGACACGGGGACCCGGAGAAGCCCCTGCCCCTGGCCGGGTGGGCACCTGACACTCAGGCGGCCCGGCCCAGCCTGTGCAATCTGACCCCGGCCCTGCCTGGCTCGGTATTCTAATCTAGGACAGGGAGAAAGGCCCACAGACGGAGGTGGACTGAGTAGGAAGCACTCAAGCAGCTGTCGGGGGCGGGAGGAAAGCCGGTCTGGGGAGGAAACGCCCTGCTCTGTCCGTGATTCCAAAAAGTCCCATGTCCGTGTCCCATCGTAAAGGGTCTGTGCCATTAAGGGTCCCCGAGCACACAATGCCGTGAGAAAACCTGAATGGTCCCCAGAATGATGGGTCTCAAAGCAGAGGTCACTCGGTGCCCTGGGGACGCTGCCGAGCAGGTCACTGGAAGGCAAACCCAAGGTTCCCAGGCTCCTGACCTCCCAGGGTCCCAGGATGAAGGCGACCCCCCTCTCTGAGGAGTCAAGGCCCCTGGCGTGCCCGCATAGCCTTCTCACTTAGTAAAATGGAGCAGAATCTTCCTAACCCAGGGAGGACCCCAGGCTCTGCTCTTCCACAAGGGAAATTCTTTATAAATTACTTATTTATTAATTAGGCTCCACACCCAACATTGGGCCTGACTCTCAACCCCTGAGATCAAGAGCCTCATGCTCTAGGGCGCCTGGGGGGCTCAGTCGGTTCAGCATTCAACTCATGTTTCCGTTCGGGTCCTGATCTGCCGTGGTTTGAGTTCGAGCTCCGGGTCAGGCTCTGTGCTGACAGCGTGGAGCCTGCTTGGGATTCTCAACCCCTCTGCTCATTCTCTCTCAAAATAAATAAATAAATAAACTTAAAAAAGAATTACAGGCTCCACCCACCAAGCCAGCTGGGCACCCCCGCAGGGAAGCTATGACATGGCCCTCCCTGGGCCCGGAAGGTCCCACTGGGCATGGCCATCCTGGGGAAGGGGTGACGGCCACACCAGCACAACCAAGTGCCCCCTCATGGCTGTGGGAAGACAATGCGGCCGTCCAGCCCCTGGAGACCATGCCAGGGGAAGGCACAGGGCTGACTCAAGCCCATGGGCACAGCAGGGGGTGACCTTTGGGGTCCTTCAGAAACCCCCCAGGGCACGTCAGGAGAACCCTTTCTTCCCTACATCGTGAGCCAGACAGAGATGCACACGGGGCTGGCACAGGACACTGGGCAGCAGCAGGAAGAGCAAGAGACTTTATTAGCTTCTCTAAAAGCTTGACTGGAGGACACCTTCCCTTCTGGATCAGGCCCCCCACGCCACAGCCCCGCCCGCGTGAGGCGGGCAGCTCGGAGCTCCCTGGGGCGGGGGGAGGGCACCCCGAGGCTGAGCAGACACCAGGGATGGGAAGGGAAAAAAATCAGGAGAAGCAATACTTTGCAAGGTTTTGTTTGACAGCAGGGTAGAGGGGGGTCCCGGGCAGGGCTGACGCCCCGCGTGCCGCTCGGCCACGTGAAGAGACCCACGCCGGCGCCGGTGGTCAAGGGGAACCAGCCAGGCGAGATCAGCCGGACGCACTGATTTCGAGGCTTTGTGCTCATTTCGCCCTGGGTCCCTTCTCAATCGGCTTTCCGATATCCTTCCCCCGGAGCTTCAGGCCTGAAAAAGCCATTGGGCCGCTCACCGCCACGCGGGGCAGTGCCACGCGTCCCCACCTGTCGGCCCCAAGGCAGCAGCCGTGTCCGCACAGCCTCTGAGCACCAGCCCCTCCTCCCCAGGCAGGAGGCGGGGGGCAGCAGGGAGGCCACAGGCCACCCCAGTCCCGGCTGGGCTCAGCCTGCCGAGTGCGCCCACCCGCCTCCCAGCGGAAGGCAGGCGGCCCTCCCAGAACTGGGGGGCGCACCGACACCAAGGAGGAAGCCGATGCCCACGGCAAGCGAGGACACCAATGCCTGAACAGGAAGGCCACTGAGCCGTCTGTCACAGGCCCAGAGCACACCGGCCAGCAGCAAAGGGTGGGGGGAGGGTGTAGACAAAATGTGAAAGGTGGAAGTGGGGGAGAGCGACCAAGATGGTGCTCTCATGAGCTTCTTGGGGTCTGGAAAATTCCGCAGCCTCAGGGGCCTTTCTGTGCTCAGTGGCTGCCCTGCACCCGGTCAGAGGACGGCAGCGGAGACCCAATAAGGGACCAAAGGACACTCACCGATAGCTCTCTCGATTTTGCCCAGGACCTGGTTATTCGGAATGGCCCGTCCACTTTCATAGTCTGCAATGACCTGCGGCTTTTCGTTGATTTTCTAAAGAAACATACCGTGTGCACGACGGCTCAGTGAGAAGAGGCCAGAACTCTGGCACGTGGCCAAGGGGGTAGCCGCAAGCACCACCTTCTGGGACAGCATGTGGCCGCGGCCACGCACATTGGAAGCCACCCCATGCTCTTACATCTGTCGTGCTCCAGCCCCCGAGAATCCCAGGACCGAGGGCAGACGAGCCCCACGCAGCGCGTTCTGAGTCCCGACCCCCTTTGCCCTGGCCAGCCCGGGAGGACACCCGCCGCGCTCACCGTGGCCAAGTCCTTCTGAGTCAGCCCCTTGCTCTGCCGGCCCTGCTGGATCACCTTGCCCACCTCCAGGGTCACCCGGTCGTGATGCAGCTCCTCGGTCTCCCTGTCCAGCTTGGCCGTGTTCTTGGTGATTGAGTGCTGCTTGTTCTGGCCAGCAGCCCCTGGGCCTCCACGCGGCAAAAGCAGAGGACACGGTTTGCAACAAGCCCAAAAGAAAGCCGTGTCAGGGCGGAGACCAGGCCCGACAGGCGCCCCGTGCCGGGGCGACATGGAGGGCAGGTGTCCAGACACGGAAGTTCACAGGTGTAAGAGCACGGAGTCCGGAATTCCGTCCTCACTCCAGGAAGCGAGCGCGGCTGGCCCAAGGAGACCCCAGGTGACCCCCAGCCCTGCAGCAGCTGCGACGCCCTCAGGGGCAGCTCGGTGCAGCAGGGGCCTGTCACAGAGTCGCAGTGCACCCTTGTTTTGTGAGAAAACACAAGTACTTACACTTCTTGGAAGTCTCCACATCTTCTCCTCGTCTCTGAGCTGCGAGGATGGCCTAGAACATTTGGAAACGGTTCCTGGTCAAGACTCGGCTTTGGCAGCGTCTGGCAAACACCGGCGGAGGCTGTGGTTAGCCGGGGAGCACGCCTGCCCACGTCCGGGGCCCCCGGAGCCGGGCAGCCTGGTTCGGAGCTCACTGCTGCGGTTTCAAAGACTGACAAGCTCGGCCGGGTTCGAAACCCAAGCTCATTTCGCAAAACGCTCTACCACCCAGTCCGGTACCTCTGCACCAGCTCCCCCCACCCCCCTCCCCGGGGAAACCCAGCTCGCTCCTTCGCTGCTGAGAAACACGCGGACGGATTCCTCTGAGAAATCCGTGCTCACAATGGGCTTACTCCTCCGCTAGGCTGTCCTGCAAAAACAGGAAGGGAGGTCAAGCGCTGGCCTGGTGCTGCCTTCCTCCTTGAACCTGACTCCTAACAGAGGCTGGTGCAGCGCAGGGAGCCGGCAGCCCTCGCCCCCACACATCACCAACAAGAGCAATACCCTTCCATCTACATTTGCCGAAAGTTAATGAAATGTATCTCTTTACAATTCTGATGCTTCGGAGAGATGACCGGGGCGGTTCTGAACGTCCTACGTTCAGAGGTGCTTTCTAGACATGTTCGTGTGACTCCTAGCTTATGGCTATTAAATATCCTCTGGAAAAAAAAAAAGGGGACAATAAATTTGGTTTTGACCGTGTAAATGATAAGCTCAGGGCAAGTCGGTGACTGCCAGTCGCTAGTCTGCACTCCAGTCCTGGCCCAGACCCGGCACCAGGGTGCAGGCCCAAGGCACAGCAGGGGGTCACTGAACCTCACAGATGAATTTCCCATAGATTAGCCAAGCTAGAAACCTGTCACCAAGTACCTCCCAGGGCGTGTCATCTACACTTGAAAGGCCTAGAAGCACTGGGTCTTTAGGCCACCTCCGCCCACTCACAGGGACCACCGATGGCCTGAAATGCGCCTCAGTGACGCTCCACAGGCAGCATCGGGCTGCCCAGGCACCTGCGTAAGAGGTCTTGGGGGCGTCCATACTGCCTCCGCCCCCTATCCGCACGCGGTCCCCAAGCCCCGTCCCCAGGTCCACCCCTTCCACCTTACCTGGTCCCCCCTTCCCCCCATCACCGCTGTCAGAAGCCACGAGTCCACCCTGCCCCTGTCCCCACTTAAAGCCTCATCCCCAGACCTGTATCCCTGGCTCCAAAGACTGCTGGGCCCTTCCACACCCACCCCAGCACTGCCGGTCCACGCCCCCACCATCGTCCTCAGCCCGCCGTCCTCCCACCACCCCGACCTGTCTTCCCATACCCTGCCCCTGGCCCCTGGCCCTTTCCCCCACCCTGCCTCTGTCGCAGACCGTCCGAGCCCGGCCATCTTCCTTGCGCCGGGCTCCGGGCTCCGATCCCTGGCGCCATGCTCTCACGCAGGCCCCCTGCGGCAGGGCCGCCGCCCCCTGGCCCTCCCAGACCGGGTACTCACCCTGTCCCTAGCCCCCGTTCCCGCCGCGTCCCCCATGCCCGGCCCGGCCCCGGGCCCCCCCGCCCCGCGGCCGCCCCGCCCGCGCGGCCACTCCGGACTCCCAGGCCCCGCACGGCGCCGCACCTGCTTGGACTTGGCCTGGGCGGCCGTGGGGCCCTTCTTGCGCAGCACCGTCACCGTGTCCCAGTCGCTCTCGGCCATGGCGGGCGGGCAGGTCCGGCGGTCCGTCCGGCGGCTCCGCGGCAGCTGCTCGAGACCCGGCGACGCGACGTCCCCTCGTCGCTCGGCCGCTTCCGGCGCCGGCCACCGCTCCGCCCCCGCCTCCCCATTGGCCGGCGGCCCGGGGGGCGGGCACTTCCCGCGGCTCAGGACCAATCTGCGTCCGGCTCGTCCGAGGGCACGGCGGGCGGCGCGCGACGTGGGGCGGGAGACGTCAGGGTCGTGCGCGGCCCGGGCGCGGAGGGTTCGCCGACGGGGCGCGGGGCTAGGCCCGGGGACGCCGGCTGCGGAGCGAGGGGACGCCGGCTGCGGAGCGAGGGGACGTGCGGGTGGGGACAGCGGAACCCCGCTGGGGGGGGAGAGGGGAGGGGCGCGGGGGCAGCTCGGGGAGGAGAGGGGCCCCAAGTGTGCGGGGGAGATCAGGGGCCCTAGGAGGTGGAGGGGTGCGGTGGGGCGGTGCGCAGCAGAGCAGGGGTGCGGTGGGAGGGGGCGCGGCCAGGAGGGGCGGCGTGAGTGGGGAGGGGGCCGGGCCGCGGACCCCCGACCCCAGTGGGGGACTGACTGGAAGCCGATGGGCTCACACCCGGCCCTCTGGTCGCACGTCTGGGGACGGGGATGGGCCACCCGCTTCCCGGTCACATGCGCGGTGGGGATGCGGCAAAGCGGAGCCAAGAGACACGTTGCCCCCCAGCTCTTCTGTACTTGAGCCCCGTTTCTTGCTTTACTTTGTCCCCCTGCACACAGTTTGAAGTTCGGTTTCCCTGGAGTTGTGGTCACGTGGTGCAAAGATGTTGGGGAGGAGGGTGGATGGGGTTGGGTGGGGCCTGAAGCAGATACGACTTGCGGAAGGGCTCTCCTTCAAAAAAATTTCTAAATGATAAAAATAAGCTTGGTTACAAAAGTTAATCTTCCTGTATAAGGTGTATAGTTCGTGTAATGTTAAAAACGCTTGCTTTACTTTACGGTAATTCCATACCAGTTTAGAGATGATTTGTATAGTGAGAAGTCAGTGCATTTTCAAAAACCGGCAAACTCCTCAAGCATCACAAAGTTTGGAAAAATAGCATTTGTACTAAGTAACAAATACGTCTCCTTAATGCTTTTGCCTACTTTTTTGGCTGTATTCTCTTTGAGTACCACTCATGACTTTGCAGAATGGTTTTATGAAAAACACAGAAAGACCCCTCAGACACTTCCCTAGGGCACTTGATAGAATGTGTATCTCGTCTTTGGTGTTGACGTTGGTTTGGGTAACACCTGGGGCTTTGCATAGGTGCACTCACCGTTGGTGGCAGTGCTACGGGTCCGTGCCACAGGAGTTGTGGCAAGCACAATCCCCGTGTAAGAGAAAACAGGTATGTGGCATATAAACTTGCACATACTGTGTCATGGGGTACATTTATCAGAGGAGACAACCTTTATTGTATCCAGATGTGAGGGAGAACGGAGTCCTCTGCTCCCAATGTGCAGACTCACTTCTGGTTCATAGCACAAACCTTGTTTCTTCCTCACCTCCACGTGCCCACACTCGGAGGCATAGAAGACATACCCACCCACACAAGGCAAGCAAAACCGAACATCATAAATATCTTCCATAAGCCCCAACTAAATGCATCCCAACTCCAGATCGCCTTAGTGGGGTCCCCAAAATGCTTGTGGTCTCTCCAGTGAGCCCCGGAAGGAGTGTGATGAAGGAACAGCCTACTTGGAAAGAGGCAGCCGCCTTAGCCAATTGTTAACATAAAGTCTGTGGGTTTCACCGGCATCTGGCCACGTGACCCCACTGCAAGGCCCTCAAGAGTGCGGCTGGGGGGCACCTGGGTGGCTCAGTTGGTTAAGCATCCGACTTCGGCTCAGGTCATGATCTCACAGTTCATGGGTTCAAGCCCCGCGTCAGGCTCTGTGCTGACAATTAGCTCAGAGCCTGAAGCCTGTTTCAGATTCTGTATCTCCCTCTCTCTCTGACCCTCCCCTGCTTGCTCTCTCTCTCTCTCTCTCTCTCTCTCTCACAAATAAAAAACATTTTTAAAAATTAAAAAAAAAAAAAGTCGCGGCTGGGATCCCAGCAAGAGAAGTTGCATCAGCTCCGTGGTGCTGTGCCCTGGTTGGCTCAGGCCCAGAGGGCGGCTCTCTGGACCTAGGTGTCCTCTGTCCACACAGGTGTCTGCCAGTATAGGCACAGCCCCATCTGGCCTTTGATCAGGAGCCCAGGCCTGAGGTCACAACGACTTCCAGGGCCCCTGTCCCCATGGCACGCTCTTCCACCAGGACACGGGTGGTGCAGGAGTCTGTGCCTCCCCCACTCGCCTGTGCACACCCCCTTCTGGCTCAGGGTCCAGGGAAGAGTCGCCTTGGGGGAGGAGCTCCAGCAAGTGTCACAGAGGCAGCTTTAGGAGGCCTGGTTCCCAGTCCTGATCTTACCGCGATGCCATACCCGTCATGTTAATGACTCCTCTGCCTGCATTAAGGGAAGCCGTCTAACCAGCATTAGCCATTTATCTTCATACGGGGGAGAAGAGGAAACAATCACAAAGCCTTCTGGTTGGGGCGCCTGGGGGGCTCAGTTGGTTGAGCGTCCAACTTTGGCTCAGGTCATGATCTCACGGTTCGTGGGTTCAAGCCCCATTTCAGGCTCTGTGCTGACAGCTCGGAGCCTGGAGCTGCTTCAGATTCTGTGTCTCCCTCTCTGCCCGTCCCCTGCTCATGCTCTTTCTCTCTGTCTCAAAACTGAAGAAAAGATTAAAAAAAATTTTTTTAAACCTGGAAAACAACCCAGCTATTTCTATATTTATAAGAAAAAGATTGATTTAAATATTTTTAACGTTTTATTTCTTTTTTTTTTAATGTTTTATTTATTTCTGAGAGAAAGAGAGACACAGTGTGAGCAGGAGAAGGTCAGAGAGAGAGGGAGACACAGAACCCGAAACAGGCTCCAGGCTCTGAGCTGGCAGTCAGCACAGAGCCCGACGTGGGGCTCGAACCCACGAACCGTGAGATCATCACCTAAGCGAAAGTTGGGCGTTTAACACACTGAGCCCCCCAGGCGCCCCAAGATTGATTTAAATCTTGTATTCCCAGTAGAAGATTAGCATTCTATATTCTCAATTAAAAACTCTCTAGTAAAATCCAATAAATATGAGAGTTCCAGAATGAGGCGTTATTCACACGTGGAGGAGTATTCACGATTGCAGTAGACGGACTTGGAGGTGTTTCCGTGATCCCGCCTCATGGTAGTCCAGCCTTTGGATGATGCCTCGTTCTAATTTTTTTTTTTTTTTTTGTATCGCGGTAAAGTACACTTAACACAAAATTACCGTCTTAACTATTTTTAAGTATACAGTTCAGTAGTAGTAAATACATCTGTGGTGTTCTGACCATCACCGTCATGCATCTCCGTGACTTCATGCTGTAGAATTGAAACTGGGTCCCCCTTCACACTAACTTCCCATTCTGCTTGCCCCCAGCTCCGGCCCTTGGTGACTGCCAGTCCACCTCCTACGATTTCACCTCTAGGGGCATCATATGGTGGAGTCCTACAATATTTGTCCTCTGTGACTGGCTCTCAGCAGTGTCGGGCTCATTCATCTTACAGAGTGTGTCAGAGGTTTCTTCCTTTTTATGGTTGAATATTATTCCATCGAATGCCTGTACCACATTTTGCTCATTCAGCCAGCCAGCCAGCCGTGGACATGGGTTGCTTCTGCCGGTAGCTATTATGAATAATGCTGCTATGAACATGGATATACACACGCCTTTTTTTTTTTAATATTTTTATTTATTTCTAGGAGAAAGAGAGAGAGACAGCGTGAGCAGGGGAGGGTCAGAGAGAGAGGGAGACACAGACTCTGAAATAGGCTCCAGGCTCTGAGCTGGCAGTCAGCACAGAGCCCGATGCGGGGCTCGAAGCCATGAACTGCGAGATCATGACCTAAGCGAAAGTCGGACGCTTAACTGACTAAGCCACCCAGGCGCCCCAATACACGTGACTTTTTGAGACTCTGCTTTCAATCCTGTACATATAAAGAGGTGGAATTGGATCGTATGGTATTTCTAAGTTCCACTATCGTCGGACTTCCATTGCTTCCGAGTAGAAGTCGGCGGTGAGTCCTATCATTGGTAACATTGTTCTCTGCAAGTAATGTGGTGTGTTCTCCACTTTCAAGATTTTCTCTTGATTTTTGGGTTTTCCTCTTAAGTGTGCAGGTACACTTTTGTTTTTTTAATTTTTGATAGAGAGTGCACCCGCGAGGAAGTGGGGAAGGGGTGGAGAGAGAAGGGGGAGAGAGGATCCTAAGCAGCTCTGTGCTGACAGCAGCAAGCCCGATACAGGGCTCCAACTCGCGAACCTCAAGATCACGACCTGAGCCAAAGTCAGAGGCCTAACCGGCTGAGCCCCCCATGCGCCCCCTTGTGCTGTTTCGTTGATAACGTCTTCCCCTCTATTGTCTGTTTCCATTCTCTGACACCGCTGTTACTGAGATGATAGAGTCTGGCGTTAAGAGTCTAATGCTCTTCTATTCATTTTTAAATTCCTTTCTTTCTGTCTACTTTTGGGAGATTTTCTGAATTTATAACTGTTCTACTGACACCGTTCTTTACCCTGACAGCACATCTTGCATGTCTAAGTGCTCCCTCTTATGTCCGGTGTGTCCCCCGTGTGGCATCCTGTTTCACGGTGCCCTCGCTCTTCTCCTGGGTGGGTACTAACTTCAGCTCTGTTCACGTTTTCCTGCGGCGCCCGCACCGTCCCTGCTCTCCTTCTGTCGGTTTTGGGGGCTGTGTTTCACTCAAGTGTGCGACGACCCTTGGCAGCCGGGCGCCTCGTGTGCATGCGGGGGTCTCCCAGGGTGGGCTCTAGTTCAGGATGATCGGGCTGGGACACAGTGCTTTCTTCTGAGGGTCCCGGGGAGCAATATCTTGCGGACCCACTGTCTCCTGGGTCCAGCCCTGGGGCTGGAGACTCACCGGATTCACCACCCACTGCCCCCAGCGAGGACGGTAAAGTCACCCGGCTGTGCCGGCCGGGGAGGAGCCCCGGGGTCCAGCTGTCCTTGCACGGATTCCCAGCCCCGGCCCCCCGCAGACGCCCGGACTCCTGGCCCGGCCTGCCTCCGGTCACTCGTGCAGCCCCCGGGTAGGTTGCACGTAGCAACACCAGCCGACCGTCCTGCTTGGCGCTCCCAGTTCCAAATAATGTCGGTGATAAACCACCACCCAAAATCTCTTTTGTGGACGGAAGCGCAGGGCTAAGCCTCACACCCGCGCGCTGCAGACGCCTGTCTTTGAGCACGTGCTGCACCCGGCATGCAGATCAGCCACAACTTGGTTTCTGGGGGAGCTCCTAAAGTTTGGGTGCGCTCTGCTGCCAGCCCTGACGCAACTGTGTTGTCCCGCGTTTAATCAGAAAGCCAGACCACATCGGTGCAGCCACCGATGTGCTTGAGCCATTTGAGTCCCGTCATTCTGGATGCCCACTGGGAGGAAACCTCCCATTTCGTTTGAATTCACAATTTCTCAGCGGCAGAGATGTCCAGAAGCCACCAGGATTGGTTACAGTCAACAAAGACGCGGGCAGGATCACAATTTCCAGAAAGTGTGCGCAGTGGGATTTTTATGATTCTCTGCCAAATGTTTCCTGTTTAAAGTTCTCCCTAATCTGTGGCTTCGAGTGAAAGAAAATCACCCACATTAAGGTTAATAAAAAGCTTGACCAACTGTGAGCAGAAGTAGATGGACAAATAGAGCCGGGCTGTCGCTTGAACGTGACAAGAAAAACCAGATTGATCATGACAAAATCATCATCAAATTTGCAGATATTGAGACTTAAAATCAGGGACTGGACGCTAATATTATTCACTACAGTGAAAAACTTATATGTTGGTGTAAGTATTCCCTGGCTTGTGAAAAAATACAATGTAAAGAAACTTTTAATCCATCATTTCTTCCTTGTTTATATATTTTTTTAAATGTTTATTTACTTTTGAGACAGAGTGACAGAGCATTGTGGGGGAGGGGCAGAGAGCGACGGAGACACAGAATCGGAAGCAGGCTCCAGGCTCTGAGCTGTCAGCACAGAGCCCGACGGCAGGACTCGAACCCACAAACCGTGAGATCATGACCTGAGCCGAAGTCGGACGTTTAACTGACTGAGCCACCCAGGCTGACCCAGGCTCCCTATCCTTGTTTGTATTTTCTATTGAACGTATTTCCCTTTCTTACTGGCGTGATCGTTTACATGAAGTTTAGCCACGGAACATTTTTGCTGCTTGCCGTCACTGATACACTTTGGTTCTGTGCAGGAGGGGGATTTAAAAGGATCCAACCAGTGTCCAGTGCCCTAGCCGCCAGTGAGGACTGGAAAGGCCCGTGTGTGGGAAGAGAAGGCAGGAGGCCCCCCTGTGAGGGAGCACAGGCCCTGGGGAGCGACCCCCTGAAGCCCCCGTCAGCTCCAGAGGGCAGGACCCCCGAGGCCAAGCCGGGACTCTCGCTGGGAGAGAGGGAAGCCCGCTGGCGGGAGGGGGTGGGGGCTGACAAGTCTGTGCTGGGGTCCAGCGAAGCAGGGAAGGACGGTGGCCGGGCGGGAGGACCAGGCCGGAGGTCCTGGCTGGGCTGAAGAATGCTTGGGTCCTGGCCCAAGGTTAGAACTGAACAGGGGGCGCCCGATTGTAGAGGGCGGTAGTGGTGGGCCCGGGACAGCCCGCTGGGGCGGGGTGAAGGAGAGACCCTCGGAGGGCCACTTGGAGCCGCCCAGGCTCGGGGCTGCGGACCTTGGCCAGGTGACCAACTTGGTGGGTGCGAGTGTGAGCAAAGCCATCTCACAGTCTGCAGGGCTGAAACGAGGCAACCAGAGCAAGTCCCCGCAGAGAGCAGGTGCGCAAGGGCTGCAGTTCCGGCTGAGGCCGGCGGAGGGCGTGTGCGGACCTGCGCTGTGCGGATGGGGGAGGGGCGAGGTGGGCCAGGACTCCAAAGGCGGCCCTGGAGACCTGGACTCTGTCCAGGCATTAGTTACCCGATCATGCCTTCATCTGCCCAACAAAGCCAAGGCAGGACCTGAACCCCGAATGAGGCCAAAGGGACCACCGCCCTCCAGGGCTCCACATCTGGGGAAGAGACATACAACCTGGTTAGAGTCACATGGGGTTGGGGAGGGGGATCCCTCTTAACACAAGGCCACCAGGAGAGAGACTCATCTTTATCTGGAGACCTCACGACCTGCAGAGGGCTCAGGGGGTGCCGAGTGCCTGGGAGAGGAAGGGAGGGGATCCGGTGAGGGCCTGGCTGGTGCAAGTGCCCAGGGGCCAGGCCCGCCCAGCGAGCGGAGGCTAGAGATGGCCAGGGTAGCCTGGGCTTTTTTTTTTTTTTTTTAAGGTAATCTCGATGCCCAACATGGGTCTCAAACTCACAGCCCTGAGATCAAGAGTTGTAAGCTCCACTACTGAGCCAGCCAGGGGCGCCCAGGCTGGGCATTTGAAATTCTGCACGTGAGGTTGTCGCCCGGGCCTCTGGCTCTGGGGCACGGTGTGGCATTTCTGTTACGAGGCTGGCTGGAGGGAGGTGGCTGTTAACTGGAGTAGGGAATGTCTTCTGGGTGGGGGAATTTGGGGTGATCTTTGTTTTCTCCGTGGTACTTTTCTGTGTTTTCCAGAGCTTCCGCAGTGACCTCTGTTGCTTAACACACAGTTTTCAACCAGTATATCATCCGGTGGGTTTTGAACCGCAGGGTGGCGCACAGTGAACACGTCCCCTCCTCTTCCTTCCTCACCACCCTGACTCCATTCTGCGTATCTGTCCAAGACTACAGGGAATTCAGATGGGCGTGGAAGCGGTCGCCGCCTCTGCATACAGAGGACGCTGTGCGGCGCGCACGTTGGGCACCATGAGCGGCTTCGGCGGGGGGCACACTGCGGGGGGCCAGCCCTGGGCCCACCCTTCCAGGTGCAGGCTTCTCTTCTTCCTCCCTGCACTTCTGCTGCTACGTTAGCCACAGGGCCCCACCACCCCTATGTTTCTCCTTTCTGAGGGGGCTGCCCTGGGGGAGGGGGCCACGGCGCTGCGCCCTTTGTGGGGGGGCGGGGGGCGCCCCTCCCGGCTGGCCTTTCTGGAAAGGCGCTGCCAGATGACGGCACAGTGAGAGCGAAACCGCCACGACTCTGAGGCTGCAGCCCAGGGTAGCCTTCCGATGTCTAAGAAGCGAGACGGGATGGGAACTGGGTTGTGTTTGGTGAGGGAGCCCGTCCTGGGGGGCACCTTTCCTCTGGGGACAGTGCCGGGCGAGGAGGGGCCTCCTGTGTCCGGGGCCTGGGTGGGGGCCTGGGCCGGCCCTCCTGCCTCGGGCTCCTCGCCAGACAAGCCGGAGTCCTTCCTCCCAGAAGCCCGAGTAAAGGACATGAGGCGGCGGAGGAGAGCAGTCTGTTGGGAGAGGAGGTGCCGCATTCAGCAGTGTCCCTGGGCTCAGGTGACACCATGGGAAAGGAAAACAGAGGGGCAGGGGATGGCCACCTGCCCTGGAGAAGAGCGGGCGCAAGAGCGCAGAGACTCACCTGGCAGCGCCGGCAGCCTCCCGGCGGGAGCAGCGCAACCCCGGGCTGCAGCCGCCCGCGCGGCTCTCTGGGGGGCGCTGAGGCCCAGGACGGGGGCCCGTGGCCGCCTCGGAGACCCCAGGCTGCAGGGAGCGGTGGGAGCGGACGCGGGCCTTCCCGGGGCTGCTCGGGGCTGTCCCCGCCCTCCCCGGGCCCTCCCACCGCGGCCGCCTCGGGCGGAGTTTTGCTTTCTCTTTGGCAGGAAGGAACCTGAGTGGGAATCCCCTGAGCTGCCCGACAACCACAGTGAGTCACCCCTTTCCAGCAAGCCGGGACTGATGTGTCCCCGGGACTTGGCAGCCCAGTGGGGGCGGGTCGGCCCCTTCCCAGTCAGGGCTGTGCCAGGGCTTCCTCTCCCTGTCCTCGCTGCTGCCTGCTGGGTGCCCCAAAGGCCTGCTGTCATCCGAACCCAAGGCTTTAAGAACGTGCGTGTGCAAATCCTCAGAAACATCAAAGTCTAAAGGCTTTGTCTCACTGGCAGGTACTTGAAGATCGGCTCAGCCCTTTGGGTGCCAAGCTCTGCAGGGGACTGGCTGCCCAGGAGGCAAGAGCTTTGCCCGGAGGTCTCCCCTGGACTCTGGGCCTCTCTCAGGCTCCTGTGTTGTCCCTGATCCTGGAAGAGTGAGGTTGACAGTCCCCGGGAGCTGCTGCAGAAGGTAGACAATCAGGACAGCGCCCCGATTTTACCCTCAAGGAAGGGGGACGGGGTACCCCACTGCAGGTGAACCTCCTCTTTACAACCAGAGCCATTTCCTGCCTGGCAGCTGGTGGGCTCACAGCGCGGCCTCCCTCGGTGACAGGACATGAACGGCACCTCACTGAACCTGCGAGTTGGATGGGGGGCTGCGAGGTTCCTGAAGTTCAGCCTGAAGTTCACGGAACGCGGCTGCTATCTGTGCTCTTTCAGAGGCAAGGCGGCCTTGCTGCTGTGTCCCAGGACGTGGCACTTTATTATTTTTTTTAATGTTTTATTTATTTCTAGGAGAGAGAGAGAGAGAGAGACAGCTTGAGCAGGGGAGGGTCAGAGAGAGAGGGAGTCACAGACCGAAACAGGCCCCAGGCTCTGAGCTGGCAGTCAGCAGAGAGCCCGACGCGGGGCTCGAACCCACGAACCGCGAGATCATGACCTAAGCAAAAGTCGGACGCTTAACCCACTAAGCCACCCAGGCGCCCCAGGACGTGGCACTTTAGAGAGGGGAACTCGGGCTCCAGACCAGACAGAGTGGAGAGCACTGAAATCACGTAACTTCGAAGCCCGCCTGTTTTTCCGTTTGGTCCATCCTTAGACTGTTCCCATTACTCAGATGATCCCCTCAGAGCGGGGGTGCTGAGTGTGCTGTGTGACTTGGGGTAAAGAATCTTACCTCTCTGAGTCTTTCTTTTTCTGCAAAATGGAGTGAGGAGTTGCCACTGCTGAACGCTGGCATGAGACGAGATGCTGTTTGTCGGATATTTGGCAAAAGCCGTGTTTAGTGAGAGAGAATCAGTCCGTTTATCCCAACTCTCCTTTGGCAGATCAAGAAACAGACTGGCCTTAGGTCACACATGTGGAGGCAGTGATGGGGTCAACACTCGGCCCTCCCCGTGCTGCCCCCCTTTTCTGCCAAGGTCGCCGCCTTGTTTCTAGATGCTTGCGTGTTCCACCTTTCCATGTGTCAGGAGGCCCCACGGTGTCCGTTTTTGGTTTTGTTTGGTGGTGAAATTCACACAACATAAAATTCATCATTTATTAAAAAAAATTTTTTTTTTTACTGTTTATTTATCTTTGAGAGAGAGTCAGTGTGAACGGGGGAAGGGCAGAGAGAGAGGGAGACGGAGTGTGAAGCAGGCTCCAGGCTCTCATTGGTCAAACCCATGAACCATGAGATCAAGACCTGAGCAGAAACCGACGCTAAACCGACGGAGGCACCCAGGCTCCCCTGAAATTCACCATTTAAATAATTTTAAAGGGTACAATTCAGTGCCATCTGCATTCACAATGCTGGGCAACCATCGTCACCATGTGGTTGTAGAACAGTTCGCTACGCCGACAGCAGACCTTATGTCCTTCATACTCTTTAAGTGAGCAGGTTCTTTTCGTACTTTTTTGAGAACTGTGACCCAATCTGGGGCCCTGCTGTGAGCAGGGCTCCGGGGAGGGGGGGAGGTGCCGGCGCCGTGCCCGAGGCCCGGGCTGACCCTTCGTGGGCAATGGCCAGGCTCTCAGGAAGCTGGAAGGACAGAGGGCCTTCGAGAAGGCCGCCCCACGCAGCACGGCGACAGCACGAACACCAACCTCGCCCGCGGCGCCCACCTGCTCTGCTCCGAGCGAGCCTGGGCTCAACTTAAGTATCCACGTGCGGCGGCTCCGACCAATCGGCGCCCGCTGCGGCTCCCGGCGCGCTCCTGGTAGGGCCCGGTGTCTGTCTGTCAGGGGCGGGCCGACGCGGAGGGCGGGGAAAGATATCTGACCAATCGGCGCCCGCTGCGGCTGGCTGAGCGCTTCTGGTAGGTCTCCGCGTCAGTCAGTCAGGCGGGTTCGTGGGCGGGTCCGCGGCGGCGGCGGCGGCTGGGCGGGCGCGCAGTTCCGGGCGCGCGGCGACCGTTGGTGAGTCGGTGTGAGGGGGTGGAGGTCCGCGTCGGGGGGGGGGTCGCGGCGGGGGGCGGGGTTGGGGAGCGGCGGCGGTTGCCGGGGCGGCGGCGCGCGGCGCCGGGGAGTCCGACCCCCCGCGGCAGGGTCGCCGCCCCGCGGGCCTGAGGGGATTTCTCGGAGCCGGGCAACCGGAAACTGAAAGTCGGAGCGGGGCCGGCGCAGGAAAGTTCGCGAACGCCCGCGGGCGTCCACGGCGGCTCCGGCCGGGGGACGTGGCGCGGGGTCCACCACGCGGTGACATGCTGGCCGTCTGCAACGCCCCGGGCCACGGCGCGAAGGCACGGCCGGCGGGCCACGACCCGGGGTCACAGCGCCCCACCCCCCAGCCCGGCCGCCCTGAACCTTGGTTGCTGGTCTGCGCGCCCCGCGCACCTTGGCCTGACCCCAGCCCTGGGCTCACCTGCCCCTACCTGGTGCCCCTTCCTGCTCCGAGAGGCGAGTTCTCACCTGTTTCAGATTTGGACGAGCTCCCTGAACTTCAGGGCGGAGGGCGGACCTCTGGGGTCACCTTTTGTCACCCTGTTGCGCCCCCGCGACTTGTCGTGAAGGCATCACAACCCCCTGCTGCCTGTCCTCGTCTCCGCGCACCCACCCGCTCTCTCCGCTCCCTGCCCCCAGCCCCCCGCCTCCTGCTGCTCCGGAGCCTTCACACTTGACCGCTGAACACACGGGGGTCTGGGTGGAAACCCCCTCCCCGCGCAGTTGGAAATCTGCGTGTAACTTTTTTCTTTTTCCTTAACTTTCCTTTTCTCTTTTTTCTTTTCTTTTCTCTTCGTTTCTTTTTTCCTTTCTTTAAAGGGAACGCATCCCAAATTTTCGTGTTCTTGTTGTGCGGAGGCCACACGCCCAGTTTTAGGATGCGGGCTGCGCAGTGAGCACCGCCTGTAACTTTCGCCTTCACTTAGCTAGCGGCCTGCGCCGGGCAGCAGCCCTGTTGAGTGTGAAGGCCAGACCTCCCGGCGTGTCGCGTAGACCTCCCGGCGCGTGGTGTGTGGGACTGTGCCTTAGAGGAAAAAGGTAATAGAGTTGTAGGGAAGAGAAAGTGCGTTTACTGTAACAGTCTGTGCAGAAGTGGGTTCAAGCAGTTCAGACCCGTGTTCACTGTCACGTTAGGGAGCCTGCACAGCGTGTCCTGCAGCCTGTGAGTAGAGGTGGGGCGGCCGTGTGTGGGCAGCAGCCTGCTGAGCGTCCCTGTGGCGAAGGTGAGACCCAGATCCTGCAGTGGGTCCACTCGGAATGGCCTGTTGCGGGGTCCAGAACAGTGTGGGTGCATGCGTGTGTGTGTGTGCGCGCAAACGAGCGAGCAGGGGCAGAGCTGGGGGGGCAGGGGCGTGCCAGGCCAGCACGGCAGCTCTTGGCAGAGGGGGCACCCAGAAGACAATGGTGTCTGTCCACTCAATTGCTGCTTTTGGGTGGAGGTTTCAGCCAACCTGAAATTGTTGCTTGAGTTTTTTTTTTTGAACTGCTTAATTGCAGTATGATTTACACACCAGGGTAGTCGCTGATGCTTGAATCAAGAAACAAACAACAGAAAGAGCGGATTTGCTTAAACCCTTTTGGAAGCCACAGAACCCCTTGGTGCTTCTAGAAGTGGTGTCTCCGCACATCTGAGTGGCCCCTCTGCCGGGCGCCTGGTTCTTAGAATAGGGTCCAGCCCCCGCGCCACAGTTCCCAAAGGCACACACTGTGACAAGCCTCCGTGCTGGCCCTCTGCCTTCCCGTGTCCTGCTGTGTGGTGTCAGACCTGCATCCTGTGGCCGCGCTGTGCTGTGTGGCCCCAGCCTGGTACCTGGCTCCGTGTCCTCGGGGCCAGGGCCTGTAAACGCCTGTGCGACGTGACGGAGAGCGCGAAGGTCGTGTGTGTCCCTTGCTGCCACACTTCCTTGCTGGCTCGCTCCTGGGGGCTCCAGGGGGAGGGGGCTTTCAGCTCGGGGTTCTCTCTCTGCTGAGCGGTTTTGAAACTTCCCAGGGAACTAAATACAGATGTCATTTTTGGGAACCTGAAGGAGTGGGTCATCGCAGCAGCGGCTGTGACCTGCGGACTGGAGCGCAGGACTTAGTGTGCCCACCGGTTGCCAGAGGAAGCGTTTTCTTCAGGAGGATCAAGGCCTTTTCTTGGTCCCTGTCTAGCAGTGGGCAGTGCCAGCCTGCCCATCCCGCCACCAGTGTGGTCAGCACCCTGGCAGGTGACATCCCAGCATGCACAGGGGCTAGGGCAGGAAGGTCCAGAGAAGGAACCCCAGGAAAACTACCCATAGGCCCCACCGGTGACACCCAGCATGGGAGCACTTCTTCATCCAGAATGGGAGCACCTATTCATTGTGTTCTGGAGCCCGGGCCTGTGGGCCGCACACACTCTGCTGTGCGCCAGGTCCCCTCCTTCGTGGGTAGGCGTGAGGACCATCTCAGGGCCTTGCTCTTGTGTCCACAGGGAGGACGTGTCACTGTCCCGCCACAGTGCCTCACCCCTGCACAGAGGGTGCTGAGCCCGGGAGGAGGGTAAAGAGGCAGACTCGGAAATCGTCCGGGATCTGAGCTCAGATGTGCGGGCTCTGAGTGGGCGCAGGGTTGAGGCCGCCTCCCCTGCAGAGCCCGGTGGGCAGTGGAGCAGATGGTCTCATGACCTGGTTGTGGTTTAGGGAGGTGAGTACTCAGCGGAGGAGGGGCAGGAGGTCGAATGGGGGGCGGCCCCAAAGGGACAGCTTGTCCCGGTTCCAGGGTCAGCGTGCCCACTTGTGGAGTGGTGTGGAGGAGAGGCCGGGCTAACGGGCACCCGGGTCAGCGGACGAGCCGGGAGCCTGGGAAGCAGGGAGGGCGCTCCTCCACCCTGTGCCCCGGCCTGGTCCCTCCTCCCGCCCTCCCAGCCCCTGCCGCCCAGTGCTCAGCTCCCATTCCAGGCTGCACGAGGGGGCCAGCACAGCGCAAGGAGGTGACAGGGAAGGCCTTGCTGAGAAACAGAGACCCTTGCACAGGCTGGGTGGAGGGCCACGCGAGGCCCAGGTCACGGACAGTGGCCGAGGCCTGACAGTAGCAGTGCGGTCAGATTCCGGGTGTCTGTGGAGGGTGGGGCCGACGCATCGGCTGACGTGTCAGAGGCTGGTGGATGTGCGAGAGGGTTCCCTGAGGCTTCCGCTGGAGCGACTGAAGGGGGCCCAGCGCTCCAAGGGGCCGGGGGGTGTGCAGGCACTCACACTCAGGTCCGGGAGAAGGGCGGGGCAGGGGAGCAGGGTGTTCATCTGGGTGAGATGGAAGGAAGGGGCAGAGTGGTCTCTGCATCATGATTGACTGATCACCTTGTCCCTGCTGAGAGCCCCAGTTTCTAATCAGAGACCCATTATCAACATTTAGATTGCATGACGGCACGTGCCCCAGCGCTTAGGACTAGAAGCACGTAGGGACGCTTGGGTGGCTCCGGTTATGATCTCGCGGTTTGCAAGTTGGAGCCCCGTGTTGGGCTCTGTGCTCAGAACTCAGAGCCTGCAGCCTGCTTCGGATTCTGTGTCTCCCTCTCTCTCTGCCCCTTCCTGGCTCATGCCCCTTGGGGAGGGGCAGAGAGGGGGTGGAGGATCTGAAGTGGGATCCACGCTGACAGCACAGAGCCTGATGCAGGGCTTAAACTCATGAACTGTGAGATCATGACCCGAGCCAAAGTTGGATGCTTAACCAACTGAGCCACCCAGGCGCCCCTGCTCTGCCATTTTTAATATTATGAGACAGAGTTATTTTGGATAAACGTGTGTGGATATACCGTAATTAGGGATTTATATCTTTTTCTTCTTTTTACTTTTTAAGTTTATTTAAATAACCTTTATACCCAGCATGGGGCTCAAACAAACAACCCTGAGATCAAGAGTCGCACACTCTTCTGACTGAGCCAGTCAGGCTTCCTGAAACTCCCATCTTTTTCTTTTGAAGTTGAGGCGTACGTACAGCAAACTGTACGAATCCTGAGCACGTAGCTAGATGTAACTCCATCCGCGTGCCCAGTCCTCTCCCGCCCCCGCGAGGCCCCCTCTTGCCCCGCGCACGCGTTGATTCCTAAATGGAAATCTGTGTTTGTGTACTCAGTGCTTCTGACACCAATTGGGGGATTGCTGTGACCTCCTCCTTGGGTTCAGTGTTTCTAGAATGGCTCACAGGACTCCGGGAAGCGCTAATTCCGTGTCACAGCTGGAAGAGACGCACGGGGCAGGTGTGGGGCGTAGGCCGCCGGGCTCCCGCACACAGCACACCAGCCTCTCGGCACTGTGACGGGTCACTGCACTGGGAGCGCTCTGAACCTCCGTGCTTAGGTGTTACTGGGGCTCCTTCGCGAAAGCTGATTGATTGCATTAGTGGTCGTGGGTGATTAGGTCAGTCTCCAGCCCCCTCCCTCACAGGAGGCGGGTGCGGAAGGGGCTCATGGGTAAAGAAGATGCTCTATGGCCCCATTGCCCTGGAAATCCCAGGGGTTTTAGGAGCTCTGTGCCCGAAACAGGGAAGGAGAGCGGGTGTCCAGTGGGCCACAGGATCGCACGGCCAGACGTCACTTCCCAGCATCTGTTGTCATTGGCTAGTTTTACCTGTTCTAAACATCAGGTACCTGGAACCGTTCTTTAAATCCTGTCTCATCTCTGGTAGAAATGCCCTTTTAACCAGATGTGAATCTGTTGTACGGAAGTCAACTGGAGCCTGCTTTGGGGAGTGAATTCACGTGAAACCTGGGGTGGGCTCTGTGGGAGTCCTTGTTCACGCATTCGCTGCCGGTGCAGTTGTTCTGGTTGTAAACAGGTTCCCGGGAGAGACAGTATTTGGGGAACAAGCTGCAGACCAGAAGGTACCGGCAGAGTGTGAGGTTCTAGACTGGGGCACTTGTGAGCTCCGAGTCCTGTTCTGAGTACAGCAGCTGGCCCACCCACTGGCCTTGGTGCCTATGTTTGGGCTGCTCACTGCACTGGTCATCTGGAGAGGCCCAGATGTGTAGACATGCACAGGCCGCCAGGGGGTCAGAAGGCCGGGCCTGGGGAAGCTTTCTCCTGAGGTTGGGGCGAGCAGCACGCCACCAGAGCAGGACTGGCGTATTGATGGCCTTTTAAGTGTTACGTTTTGGGGCAATGCTTCTGAGTCTCTGTGTAAAAGTTAAAATGCGTTATAAACAAGATTTGAACGATGTTTAAGGTCGTACGCACCTAGAACTCCCCGGGCCCAGCACGGGCCGCAGTGGGATCCGGGGGCTGGTGCCACGGTGCTGGGTGGGGTCCTCGGGTCCTCCAGGGCCTCTTCCCCGTGTTCAGGACAGAAATCAGGAGCGATCCCTGCTGTCCGGCTCCTTCAGGCTGTGTTCGTGAGCTCATTGAGGCCTGGCCAGAGCTGACAGACGGAGGTCAAGGCCAGAAAAAGAGGCCATCCCAGAGGTTCTTGTATGTCTAACGGGAGTACAAGCTGATGGATTAGTAAAGTGGGTTCAGCTGGCCACAGAAGGTGTGATCAGTCGGTCAAAAAGCTGGGTCTGGTTTCGAGTAGATGGAATGTCAGTGCCAAAATAAAGCCTGTCTGACAGGCCCTGGGGAAGGCTGTTCAGTAATCCTTGGACTCCATCGTGAGGGCGTTAGTTTCTTACTCAGTCCCCTTCTCTGCCTGTGGGAAACACGGTTGTGTGCCTAGACTTTTTTACTTTTGATGTTTGATTTCACTTGAGGTAACAGATATAAAAGAGAGATCTAAAGAGCATGGGTTCTTTTTTTACTAGCGATATTTAAATTTTTTTTAATGTTTATTTTTGAGAGAGAGAGCATGTGCGTGCGTGAGCAGGGGAGGGGCAGAGAGAGAGGGACACAGAATCCAAAGCAGGCTCCAGGCTTCGAGCTGTCAGCACAGAGGCCAACGCGGGGCTCAAACCCGTGAACCATGAGAACATGACGTGAGCCAAAATCAGGCACTCAACCAGCCAAGCCCCTCGGAGGCCCTTTTACTAGTGAGTGATGTTTAAAGGTGAAAGTTGCCAACAGAGCTCAGAGCAGTGATTTGTGTGTCGTTGACGGCTCATGAGGTCAATTTAGCAGCATGACCGGAAAGAAGGACTGGGCCACGTGGGACACCTCTTGTGACAGTGAGTGGACTTTCACGAGCCCTTTGCTCTAGGGCTTGTGTGTAGCACACCCTCGCGTGGCCTTGAGAGGCGTGGGCCGAGGATCCTCCCTCCTCGGCTGCCCTGGCTGGCACTGTCCGCGCGTCTGTGAGCCCTTCCACTGAAAGGCTTTAGTAAGTGGCACCTGGTGGCACTACTGTGTGCCATAGGGCTTCAGAGAGTGACATCCCCTGCTTGTGAAAGGGACAGATGGATGGTGCAGGGGCACAGACACGTGCTGAGAGTGTGTGGACTGGCGAGAGGGAGCTGTGGCCTCCTGCCAGGCGGCCTCGGGCATGACCGCGCACCTGCCCTGTGGTTGGAGGAGTGAGTGTCTCTGTGCTGGCCCACAGCCCAAGCGAGGCCTCGCAGGTTACAAGTCCAGGAGCCTTGGTTGAAAGTGGCTTTTGACATGGAGGAGAGTAACTGGGTGTTAAATGGAAACCAACTTGACAATAAACTATTTAAGAAAAAAAAAAAGAAAGAAAGTGGCTTTTGGCCCAGCAGAGAGGAGACAAGGACACCCCGTCTGTTGCTACTTCCTGTGGTGTCAGAGCAGCGTGGGACAGGGAAGATGGCCCTACAAACGTTGGAAAGAGGCGTCATTTCAGAACGTCCTGGTTCGAAAGTTGATGCACTCCCCGTGCACATCCGTGAGAAGACACGGGGGTGTGTTTGCAGGCGTGCCTGGAGGGAAGCTCTCAGGAGCATTTGCAAAGGGGCCGGGGCGGCTTCATGTTCAGGGCCACTTGGGTACCATCCAGGTTGGAGGCTTAGCAGGTATAGTTTCTTCTGGCTTTTTGAGGTGCTGGATGTTGATCCGAGTGTCCCACGCAAGGTGTCAGAGCACCGTGGGGGCCTCTCCCCCGTCCAGCTCGCGTGTCCTGGCTGCCTTGCGTTGGGGGCCTTACCAAGGCCTGGTGGATGGCAGTGGGCAGCTCTCTAGCGCGGGGACCCTGGTGATGGGGGCCAGGGAGTGGAGCGCTGGTGCCAGGCAGGCTGTGTGCCTGCTGTCGGGTGACTTTGGAGAGGCCGACGCGTGGCGTGGCCGTCTCCTGGGTGCTGCCTCGTGCGGGGCAGGGCAGAATTTCCCACCAGGCCGACCTGTAGGAAGTCTGGGGGAGACAGGAAGGCACCAGAGTCAGGGGCTGCAGATGGCTCGCGTTAGCGGGAAGGGGGCATCCCCGGAAGCCGGCGCTCGCTCTGTCCTCGGGTCGGCAGGCGGGGCCGGGTGACCTTGAGGACAGCCTGTTGGCCTAGGGGCTTCGGGGTGGACGTGCTGGTGCAGCTGTGCAGCGTGGGCAGGGCGCCACCCTGGCCGCGCCTCAGTTTCCGAGTTTGGGGTGTGAGATTGGACCAGATCATCTCCACCGCTCCCCGTGGTGCCGAAGTCCCGGTTCTCCGATTTCAGACCACTGTATGGCTTGGCGACCGCGACCCCTCGCCGTGGGCCAGGGCTGTTTCCTGCAGGGGTTACTCTGGAGTCAGGGCAGCTCCTAGGCCCCCGCGTGACCCCCCCACCCTGTGGTCTTCCTTAGGGCCTGGCGGTTCGCGGTGCTCATGGCTGCGGCCAGCGTGACCCCTCCTGGCTCCCTCGACCTGCTGCAGCCCGGCTTCTCCAAGACCCTGCTGGGGACCAAGCCGGAGGACAAGTACCTGTGCTCGGCCTGCAGGAACGTCCTGCGCAGGCCCTTCCAGGCGCAGTGTGGCCACCGCTACTGCTCCTCCTGTCTGACTAGCATCCTCAGGTACCGGGGCGCGGGCGGCACGTCAGCCGGGGGGGGGGGGGCGTGCTCCCAGCAACACCCCCGGAGGCAGAGATGCAGGCGCACTACAGACAGGAAAGTGAAGTTAGTGAAGGACGGGGAGTCGCAGGTTGACGGCACAAGAGCCTGTTGACTGCCGCTACTCCGTGTGCATCGTGCAGGGACAAGCCCATTTAAAATCCCACTTGAAGGGCATCTGGGGGCTCATTCAGCTAAGCGGCCGACTTCGGCTCTGGTCATGATCTCACAGTCCGTGGGTTCAAGCCCCCCATCAGTTCTGTGCTGGCTGCTCAGAGCCTAGAGCTTATTTCCGATTCTGTGTCTCTCTCTCTGCCCCTCCCCCGCTCATGCTCTGTCTCAAAAATAAATAAAATATTTTTAAAAAAATCCCACTTGGGACTCATGTTGCAAGTGTGTTGGATGCGCTACTTCAGATAATCGACACGTTCCAAGAGGCCTGTGAAGCCTGGTCTGAGGGCCCCTGGCACATTGAGGGCCGGCAGGTGGGCCCAGGGAGCCAGCACTTCACGCCTGGGCGTCCAGCTGAGCCACCAGAGTGCACCTGTGTTCGCAGCGGGCAGGTCACCATTACCAGGGGATTAGAATCCTCTCCAGTGTTTTAAGTGTTTTATTTTTATTTTTTTTTTAGTTGTTAATGTTTATTTTTGAGAAAGACACACACACACACAGCACAAGCTGGAGGGGGGGTCAAAGAGAGAGAGAGAGACAGAATCCAAAGCAGGCTCTAGGCTCTGAGCTGTCCGCACAGAGCCCAACGTGTGGCTTGAACCCATAAACTGGGAGATCATGACCTGGGCCAAAGTCGGATGCCTAGCGGAATGAGCCCCCAGGCGCCACTAAATGTCTTAAACATCGTACGTCGACGCGTGCTCGTCACCAATTCGATGTCGGTCTAGAAAGTGTGGAATGGGGACAAGGAGCTGCGCTGGGCGTGCGGCAGACGGTGCTTGGCGGACGGTGCTCTTTGCAGTGGGTTTGACAGTGGTCCTCTCCCCTCCCCCCAGCTCCGGGCCCCAGAACTGTGCCGCCTGCGTTCAGGAGGGCATATATGAAGAAGGCATTTCTATTTTGGAAAGTGGTTCGGTAAGTGAAAAGTCTTCAAGCAGAAAACGTCAAAGCACAGGAAACATTTTGGCGTTTCTTTTAGTAACACCAGTGGCCGCATGGACACACCCCTCGCTGCCATGGTCACGGCTGGCACGTGGAGCAGCTGCAGAAGAGGCATCTTGCCGCTGGGCCTTGCTCCTGACCTCGGGCCCCTCTCCTCAGGCTTTCCCGGACAACGCCGCACGCAGGGAGGTGGAGAGCCTGCCGGCTGTCTGTCCCAGCGACGGCTGCACCTGGAAGGGGACCCTTAAAGAGTATGAGGTAGGGGCCGCCTGCGCCGGCTCGGCCTGGAGCCTGAACCCCACCCCCGAAGCAGCCCCACGGAGCCCTCGCAAGCCCACCCAGTGCAAGTCTGGCTGCCGCCTGCAGGGGAAGGGCCGGTGGCCGATGACCCGCGCGAGGACCAGGGCCTGGGGAGCATGGCCTCAGGTGGGGCAGGCACCACGCTGGGCCTGGTGTCCTCTGTGCGCTGTGGCGGGGTGGCAGTGAGGCGGCCAGGGCGCTAGGACTTCGTGCCGGCCCTGCGGGCGCCACCACACCGTCCCCAATGCGCAGGAGAGTGACGCGCTGGCTCCGAGCCGTCTTTCTGCGAGTCTGCAGACGGGCTTTCTGCTCTTGACTTGTCTAGACGTTAGAACTTGCAGGAGTAACCATGTTCGATCTGTGGTCACGGAAAGTCATCTGGCCAGTGACCAGGCAGTGGCTGGTGTACCCATCCCGCCGTGGCCTGTCCCGGCCAGGCGGGGCTGGCGTACAGCCAGCGGGGGCTTCTGTGGGACCGGCATCTGGCAGCCAGACCTGCCGGCCCTCATGCCACGTCCCTGGCTCCCCCGCTCGGCCGTCCTCGTCCTCCCTTCTTAGCTGGTGCGACACCGTGACTCACGCGCAGAAGTCACGGCAGCCAAGTGTCCACCAGCTGACAGTGGGACAGACAAGGCACAGACAAGGTGGGTCTGTCCACACCATGGAATAGTATTCAGCCATAAAAAGGAAGGAAATGGTGGCATGCGTGGTTGGACCTTGAGGGCATTCTGTTCAGTGGGTCGAGCCCATTGTAGGAGACAGGTCCTGTGGCCGTGCGCTCCCGTGACAGCCCCGGCGCCGTGAAACCCAGAGAGGCAAGAAGCGGCCTGGCTGCCGCCAGGGCGAGAAGTTGGGAACGGCACGGAGCAGCAGGCCGGGCTCTCAGACGGGCAGCCCCGTAGACGAGGCCGGAGGGTCTATGGGTACGGAAGCCTGACCCCGGGACAGCCCATCATGGGGTGGCCGCTGGGCGCCGAGTCGTGATGTGAGGGAGGGCCCGGGTCTGACACTGGGACCTGGGCTCCCGGCCTGTGTGCCGTCCTTCCTTCTCTTGACCCACCGGACTACGAGGTCCAGGCTCTAAGCTGTGTTTCCAGAGGAGCAGCTTGGCCGTGTCTAGGGAGGAGCCTCTGAGGGGGGAAGGCGAGGAGGTGCGCTCTCCGCCCAGCATCCGGCGGGCGTCCGGGGCCTCGAGTGGGGCAGCGCCGGGCTCTCTACACGCTCGCCGCTGCCTTCCCGAGAGTGAGACCTGGAGGCTCCCGGCTGTACCCACACCGGGGGGACGCCCTGCTTAGGACAAGCCTGCAGGCCTTGGTGTTGGGGTCTCCCCGGGAGGGCAGAAGCCCGAGCAGGCTGTGGGGCTCAGTGGCAGCAAGCAGTAGGCACAGTGGGCTGCGCGTCCTTCTGCAGGGACCCCCCCCCCCCCGGGGACAGGTGGAGCACCCCCTACCTCCCAGTCAGGAAGGCCGGTTTCTGCTGCGTCCGGGCCCGTGCGGCACGGGTGGGTGGTGACTCCGTGGGCCTCCGGCTGAGGGCCAGGGACCACAGCCAGCCTGTGGGCTCGGCCACGGCCGTGCAGGCATGCAGGGTGGAAAGTCCCTGGCTGGCCCGGAGAGCCCCGGAAAGTCCCTGAGAGGGTGGGTTTGGTCATGTGGGAGGGCGGGCGCTGCTCTGGGACACTGGGCCTGGCCTTTGGTAAACCCTGTCCCCGGCTGTGAGCGTCACGGGTCTGGGTGAGATCAAGGCCTCTGTGCGCACCCGCCCTCCCCTCGGAGCCAGCTCACTGCCCTTTGCGGTGCAGGGAGCGGTGGTGTTGTGAAGTGTTGGCACCGTGGCCGGGCTGTTTGGAGAGTCCCGGTTAGCCTTTGAACGTGTTTGTCCCTTGCAATAATGTCTGGTATTTTCTAAGAACCCAGCAATTGGAAACCCTAGTTCAGAGATGTTTGCAGAGCGCCTGCCAGGTGCTGAGGGTGCCCGCGTGCACAGCCCCGGGGCCGGGGGTCGGAGGGGTCTCTCTTCCAGTGAGCGGGTGTAGGAGCCTGGGGCTGGAGGTGGGGGGGGGCCGGCTGGCAGGTGGGAGGCTCTCCACAGAGGGCTGGAGGGGGGCCAGGGACCCTGGAGGTCGCAGTTGAAAGGTGAGGTCAGGTCAGGTCTGAGTGGCCATGAGGGTGGTCCCTCTGATCCCCTGTGAATGCCTGCTCCGGAGTGACCCCGGGGCTACTGGAATTCAGCTGTGCCCCAGGGCGGCTGTCAGCAGGGGGCTTCGCGCCCTCATGCCTCTGGGTGGGGCCAGCTTGCGCTGTGCTTCTCTTGGGGACCTTCATACCGTGTCCCCAATATTACACGTTAGCGCTTTTAATGAAATCCAAACACCTCAACTGTGGCCGCTGTAAGTTTTCCACTCTGAGCCCTGGTCATTACTGGGATTTCCACTTGGTTCATGTTTCCAGCGTAGCTGGTGTAGCCTGGGCCCTGTCTGTTGTTGGGTCGTGGTGGGGTATGTGGCGTCCACCTGCCAGAGCCCCAGGGACCCTGCGGCAAGGGCTGGGGGATGGTGGGGGGGCCGGCCCTGTGCCCAGCCAGGAGCCGTCGAGCAGCTGGGGGCAGGGGTCGGAGGGCCTGCTCCCAGGGAGGCCGGACACAGGCGCGAGTACCCAGGCTTCCTGCAGCCGGGTGGGTCACCACGTGTCCTTACAGGCGAGGACCTTCCCTGGCGGTGTGTGGGGTGCTCTGTTGGAATGCCCTGGGGTCACCAGGGAGGCTGGCTGGGAAGGTGGCATTTGGTCTGGGGTGTGTCCCCGTGGGAGGTCAAAGGACAAGGGTGCCTGCTCAGGGAGGCTGGTGACGTGGGGTCCCGTGAGGGGGTGTGGCCACCACTAGACGTGACATCCGAAGTCTCCACGCCGTGCAGGAAGGACGCCGCATGTGTTCTCGTCCCTGGGGCTCACCTGTAACCCCCGCTCCCTCCGCACATGCAGGGCTTTGGCCCCAACAGCCAGGTCCCTGGCACAGGATGGGGACATGAGCACCGTGTGCCCCACGCAGAGAGAGCAGGTCACAGGCCCCCTGCTCCCGGGCCAGGGAAGGCCCGGACACCCAGTCCCTCAGGCGGGCATCGCGGCCCCAGGCTGCCCCAGCCCGAACCTTGGCGGAGTGGCCGAGCCCCAGGGGGAGGGCCTCCTCCTGCTCCAACTGGTCTAGAACTTTCCCCTCACGGCGACCTCCACCTCCTTCCAGTTTGGCCTCGTGTGTCCTAAAACTTAACACCATGCTGAGTGAGATCAGCCAGTCACAGGGGACACGCTCTTTAGAAGTGGACACTCTCGGGAGGCCCTGGAGGAGTCGGGGCGGGGGGGGGAGGGAGGGCAGGGGAGGGGAGGGGCCGTGCGTCACAGGACAGAGTCCAATCTGGGAAGATGAATGCTTTCTGGGAACACACTCACAATAGCGTGACTGTGTTCTACGCCCTTAAAAGTGGTTAAGGTGGTAAATTTTGTGTAGTGTGTGTTTTAACACAATAAAAAGTACAGCAAACAAACCTTGAGCTCCCTGTCTCTCTGCCTGGCGCTCCTTTGCTGTTCCCCCTGCAGGGCGTGCCAGGCTGGGCAGGGACCAGTGTCCTGGGGGCACTCCTGCCTCTCCCACCTTTTCCTCCGCCACCTTCCTGGCCTCTGCCCCCAAGCCCCTCCCACGGCATTGTCCTGAGGTTAGGCTGGGTTCTGACCCGTTTCTACTCTCCCCCGCGCACGGCTCTGTGGCTTCAGGGGGGACAGCACGTCCTGCCCTCCTCACTGCACCTTCCTCCTGCGTGCCGGAGGACTCCAGGCCGGGCCCTGCCTCCTTGGGTCAGCACACGCCCTCCCTGGTCCACTGCCTGTGGACTGTCAGTGCAGGTGTGGGGTGCCGGGTGGGCTCCCCGTCCCTCTCGGCTCGGTCTCGCCCTGTGGCCCGTCCTCCCAGCACGTGGGCGCTTGTCACTCCTGGGCCTGCTGTCCGCTGAGAACCTGTCCCGCTCAGGCCTGGCCGCCCTGCACCCAGCAGGCTTTGTCCCTCCGCCCGCCCGGCCCTGGGCTCTGCGGCCCTCCTCACTCTGGCCAGTGGTCCTGTCGTCCCTGAATGTCAGCCCGGAGCGTCAGTAGGCCGGGATGTCCCTGGGCTGTCCTGCGGGTGGGGTACAGCCAGCTAGACCGGGGTCCTCCCGTCTCACCTGGAGCACAGGTGTCGGGGTGGCACCCTGGCCTGGTGATGCTTGTGGGGCCGGCGTGGGGCCCGGCGGCCCAGCAGCGGAGCCCGGGTGGAGCCCCCTCTGGGACGGCCAGCTGTGTGCACACGGTGTCCGCCGTGTGCTCCACTGACACCATGCTCCCTTTGTTGCCAGAGCTGCCACGAAGGACACTGCCCCTTCATGCTGACCGAGTGCCCGGCGTGCAGAGGCCTGGTCCGCCTCGGGGAGAAGGAGCGGCACTCAGAGCAGGAGTGTCCGGAGAGGAGCCTCAGCTGCCGGCACTGCCGGGCACCCTGCTGCTGGGCCGGCCTGCAGGTGAGGGCGGCAGGCAGGGCTCCCCGCACTCCCCGAGCCCCCCGCTGCGCCTGCCAGCCCGCCATCGCAGCCAGTTTGGTGTTTGTGCTACGTCTCAGCAGCCCGTTGCTCGCAGCCTGTTGGGTGGAAGGTTCCTGGTGGGAGCTCAGGTGGATCTGAAGGCAAAGCCAAGTTGTTTTAAAAACCTGATTTGTTTTAGAAAAACTCACGCCCAGAGTGAGCCGCAGCGCCAGGCTCCTGCCACCCTCACTGGCGTGTGTCTGTGTCCCCCATGCGCCGGGCAGCACCAGGTTCCCCTGCTTACTAGAGAGACCCAGGCTTTGCATCCTGTCTTCTGAAAACTCTCGAGAATGTGTTTCTGAGCACATTTTTTAGAGAGCCGTGTGTGTCGCTGTCACTTCTGAGCCTTAATGGCGACTCCCCACCAGCCCCAGCTCACTGGGTGCCCATGTTCCCTGACGTTTTATTTGTCAGGATCGGGGTCCGGACGTTCCTCACGCTGCATCTCGATGCTGTGTCCACGAGGTCTCTTCATCTTAAGTGGCACTTGGCGGGGGCTTTTTATTTTTTTTTGGCCGCCGTTGCTCGTGTGTCCTTGCCGCGCCCTCAGGCCCCTGTCCTTACTGCACCCGTCCAGGGGCCCAAGTGCGTCCGCTCACAGGGGGCATCCAGCCGCTCACAGGGCTGGGGTCACAAAGTCCCACCAGCTGTACTCCTCAGTGACCAGGTTTCAGTTTAGGTGACCAGCAGCGGTGCTCTGCCCTGGTCACCGTGGATGGCTTGTCCTTGCACGGCCCCGAGCTGCCAGATGGAGAAGAGGGGGTGCGGATCTGACGCTTCCGAGTGACATTTGCGAGTGCCTGTGGGAGCCACCCTGTTAGGGGTTTCAGGGGAGCCATGGTCCCAGAACAGGGTGGTGAGGTGGCATGGGTGACCTTGCGCACGCCCCAGCTTCTGACCGCTGTCTTTCAGGCACACCACGAAGTCTGCCCCAAGTTCCCCCTGACATGTGACGGCTGTGGCAAGAAGAAGATCTCCCGGGAGAAAGTAAGTGGCTTGCCGGCTTCCGGGCGCCTGGGAGCACACAGGGGCCGTGTGTGGGGTGGGGGGTGCCCTGTGCTCAGCAACCGTCTGTGGGCTGCTCTTTGTTGCGCTTCCCACAATGGAAGTGACCTGGCCTGGGAGAAGTCGCATGCACCTGAGATCCCGGCCGCTGCTCTGCCTTACCCCTGCGCGCACGCCGACCTGAGTCCAGAACCCTGCGGGACCGGGAGCAGGAGAGAACGCGCTATGGGTTCATATGGACAGTTCAGTTCGGATTTTTGCCTGATCCCGTGTTCTTGGCTCTTGTTGAGGCGGCCCAGGTGTGCTGCCCCGGCCCGTAGCTGCTTCCACGGTGCGTGGGCGGCCTTGTTTCTGGGGGGACGCGCATACAGGCCCCTGCTCCGTGGTCCTAGGAGGCAAGCTTAGTGCTGAGCGGCCGTCTGCCTGTGCTTCTGAGCCTGAGGTTGTCCTGTACAACCAGAGTCGTCTGAGAGTTCTGTGAAATGGTCACATGGGTGCCAAGTGAAAACCAGGGAGAGCCTGGTGACGGGCCAGGCCCAGGCCCCACTGCAGGCGCTGTGACAGGCCGTCAGGGTCTCGCCAGACTCACACAGTGGCTGTAAATAGGGGCCCGGGACTTCCAGTTTCCATCTCTCCAGTCATGAGGCACGTTGAGGGCCATTGCTCAGGGCTCGCCAGCATCTCTTACCAGGAACATTCATGGTTCCTGCCCACCTCTCTGGAGAGGGGAGACTCCATCCTGCTTTGCTCTGTGTTTGGCCCCTAAGTGTCCGTGGTGGCTTGGGCCACGGCCCCCTTTTCTTTTACTTAAAGTTTTGTCTGTTTCCATCTGGCATTTGTAGTCCTGACAGTCTCTCTGTTCCACGGCCCTGGCAGGTGGAGGCGGAGGGACCACTTGCCCTTGCCCCCCTGCCCCCCATGAGAGCTCCCGGTCACCCTTGTCTTTGCTGGCGGAACGTGCCGCCCGCATTGGTGCCCAGCATGTGTGCAGCTGGGCTCTCTGGGTTCTGCACCTGTTGGTCTGTGCTGTCACGTGACAGCCCTGCGCCGGGTCAGTGGTGGGTGTCTGACCCCTCCCTCCCCACCCCCCCCACCCTCGGTCAGGGCAGCCCCTCCTCGCTCGCAAGGACCCGGGGCGGGGGGGGCCTCGGACACAACACATCCTACGAGCTGTGGTGGAGAGATGGGGCACAGGGGCCTAAGCGCGTGTCTGGAGCCCTTGGCCTGCACCCACCTGCCTGCATTGACACCCGCAGGCCACGCGTGTGCGCGTGTGTGCACACCTGCGGCAGGTGGTTGAGTCTTGTTCGGCCTGAGGCTGCAGCGGCCGGGCTTACGGAGTTGGGGCAGGGGTGGGGAGGAGAGAGTGAGGACTGATGGCGTCTGGCCTTCTAGTTCCAGGACCACGTGCGGGCGTGTGGCAAATGCCGAGTCCCATGCAGGTTCCACACCGTCGGCTGCCCCGAGATGGTGAGTCCCGTTGGCCGTGGGTCCGCTGGGGCCGGGCAGGTGCCCATCGATCCTCGTGGGAGCTCCCTGGTTCCCAAGTGGGCGGACCTGCCGGATCGTGCCACGTGCCCTCTTCCCGAACGCAGCTTCTGCTGAGTCCCCAGCCTGGCCTCCCACTTTCCCTCCCATGTTCTGCTGCCTCGGCCGCCAGGCGTCCCGGCCTCTGTCTCTGCCTCCCTCTGCTGAAAATGCCAAGCGTCTGTACCTCCCAGAGGTCTGGTGGGCACCTGAGGCCTCGGCTGCCCACTGTCACTTGTCCCCCTCTGTCCTGTCTCTGTGCCTTCCCCATGAGAGTACCTCGTGTCGCCTGCAGACAGGTCCTGGACCCCCCTGCCTCCCCTTCCCTCCATGGCTGTGTGGCCGTGGCTGCCTCTCATGTCGTGTCTGCACCAGTCACTGGCGTGGCTGCCCTTGAGCACACTGACCTGTCCCAACCTCAGGACCTTGAACTGTGCGGCTCGCTCAGGCCCGGGCAGGCCTCTGTCCACCTGGCGGCTACTCCTCTCCGGGACCCTGCTCTGTGCCCAGGGGCCAGGAGTGTGCGGCCGCCTGGGGAGCAGCCAGGGGTCTGCTCCTCAGAAGGCTCCAGCGCTGGTGGCCCTGGCTCTGCTGTCCCCCAGTGCCCGGACGTTTGGTCTCAGGCATCACCTCCTGCCGTTGCTCATCCTGTGGTGACATGGTGCTGGTCTGTCCCCATGTGGCCCGGGCCCGGCCCTGCAGCCGCAGCCTGCCCGGTGGCCACACTGAGGTTCTGGCTGAGGGCGCATGTTGTGTTGAGCATGTTGAGCTTGACCTGACCCTGACCTGCGGCCTCGCACACGCCCCCTGGGCTGGCGGGGCGTCCGGTCAGCACCGCTGGGGAGCTGCTACCTGGGCTCCGTGCCTCACGGGGTCTGTTCATTCTTTTTCCCTTGGTGTTTTGAGAGCATTTAACGTTTTGTAATTTGTTGTGAAGTGTTAGGAGAAGTTGGCTGTAAAGTCAGACCCGTACGATAAAGACGATTTGAAGAAGCATAGCTTTACCGGCCCCCCCACCCCGGGCGACTTTTCAACCGAGTCTTTTTTCCCGTGACTTCAAATACAAGCAGTTTACTAGAGAGGGTTGTATTTTTGAAAAACATTGGCACCAGACAGTGACAGGTGACGTGCTGGCAGGTGACTGACTTGGAGACGTCACAGCGTCACTGTACCATGTGGCACGTCCGTGGGGCTCTGGGTCAGAGCTGAGCGCGGGAGCCTCCTGCCTTCTCCCTGCAGGTGGAGAGTGAGAAGCAGCAGCAGCACGAGGCGCAGTGGCTGCGGGAGCACCTGGCCCTGCTGCTGGGTGGCCTCCTGGAGGCCAAGCACCTGTCAGCAGCCGACGGCCGCCTCCGGGGCCCGGGCGGGGGCTGTGAAGCCGGCACACCACACCCCGAGGCGGAGCTCTCCAAGGCTGCGGAGCTCCGGCAGCGGTGCGAGGCCCTGGAGAGGAAGACGGCCACCTTCGAGAACATCGTCTGCGTCCTGAACCGGGAGGTGGAGAGGGTGGCCATGACCGCCGAGGCCTGTGGCCGGCAGCACCGCCTGGACCAGGACAGGATCGAGGCCCTGAGTAACAAGGTCTGGCCCTGGGACGCCCAGGGCACCGCGGGGCCTCACAGTTGGGATTTCAAGAATGGCACCTGATTCCTAGCCTGGTGTTCTTCCTGCTTTTGCCTCCCCTGTGTCTGAGCAGAGCCCCTCTTGGGCCTGTGGGTCACACAAGTGTGTTTCCTGACACTGAGCTCTTGAACTTTGGGCACAGGTGGGGTTGGGGCTTAAGGTGTTGTGGTGACAGAGCTCCCTTAAGAGCTGAGACCAGGGATGCCTCGGGCACTGGGAGCGGCCGTCCTGCCTGAAGGCAGTAGAGAGGTGGGCGTGGGGACGCCTTCCTGAGTGCTGTCCTGCGACATGCAAGGTGGCGGCGTCCAGGGCGCCTCCTGCCGCCTCCCTCACAGGGCTGCGCGCGCCCCCAGGTGCAGCAGCTGGAGAGGAGCATCGGCCTGAAGGACCTGGCGATGGCCGAGCTGGAGCAGAAGGTCCACGAGATGGAAGCGTCCACCTTCGACGGCGTGTTCATCTGGAAGATCTCCGACTTCGCCAGGAAGCGCCAAGAAGCTGTGGCCGGCCGTACGCCTGCCATCTTCTCCCCAGGTGCTGTTCTGGAACACGCTCTCAGAGCTGCTGGTGTCCCAGCTGCTTGCGCACCCTCGGCCTGAGGGCCCCTGCTACCCTGGCAGTGCCTCCCTGGGCGGGTAAGGGGTGGATGGGTGGCCACCTGGGCTGGGACACGCCCCACAACGGGACCTCGGGCGGGTGCTCGCAGTGGTTTCGTCCAGAAGGTGCCGCGTGGTCCCTTTTCTGCCAGGGGGACAAATGGCCCCCCGGCCCTTCCTTCAGAGCACGGCCCCCACCGTCCACCCACCGGAGGAGCCCCTGCATGCGCATCCTTTACCGTTTACTTTGGCAAAACTGCTGCTGTGATCGCGTGTTCAGAGCCCGGACCAAGTCAGGGGTGGTGCCTACGGTCGCTGTCTCCTTGTGGACCCCGATGCCACTCACACTCGGTCCTCCTGGCTGGGACGGGCGGCTGCCATATGGTGAGCGGCAGTGTGGCAGTGTGGAGGACTGGGTGTGAGCTCTGGCAGCCGAGGGAGGGTGGCTTCCTGGGCCGTGAGGAGGAACGCGGCTAGGGCCGCTCCTGGGGGTGCCCGGGCTCCTGCATGTCTCTGGCACTGTGCTGGATTCGGGGACGTCGCCTCTGGCTTGCCCCCAGGGGCTCCCCAACTGAGCCCCCGCCTCAAGTCTGTCTACGGCCTTTCGACCAGAGCCACCCCTGAACTTCACAGCTGGTTCCGTTTTGGGGTTACATTTATAGTTTTTAGAAGTGCTTTTTCTTTCTTTTTTTTTTTTTTTTTTACGTTTGTTTATTTTTGGGAGCCTGCGCGTGAGTAGGGGTGCGGAGAGGGGGGACAGAGGATGTGAAGCGGGCTCTGCGCTGAGAGCAGCGAGCCTGATGCAGGGCTCCCATGCCCGAACTGTGAGATCGTGACCTGAGCCAAAATTAAGACTTGGACGCTCAACCAACCGAACCTGCCAGGCACCCCTAAAAACACTTTTTCTAATGAGCTGTTTTTCTTTGGGGTATTTGTTCTCACCAGGAAGGTGTGTGCTCTGAGGAGAAGCATGTGTCCCTGGACTTGGGCATTGTCCATCTGTCTCTGTTTCTCGCGGGGGGTGCCGTGAACACAAGCGCTCAGCCCGCTTCACTGACTCCCCCCTCCCCCCCCCAGCCTTCTACACGAGCAGGTACGGCTACAAGATGTGTCTGCGCATCTACCTGAACGGGGATGGCACCGGGCGTGGGACACACCTGTCTCTCTTCTTTGTGGTGATGAAGGGCCCCAACGATGCCCTCCTGCGGTGGCCCTTCAACCAAAAGGTGTGTGAGGCTGTCCCAGCGGCTGCTGTGGGGGCCCCACCGGATGGAGGGGCTGTCAGGATGGGCCTTCCGGCGCCTGGGCCTGGGGGCCCCACGGGGCTCCGTCGCTGCAGTGGAGCTGGGGCGCCACCCCAGTGGCTCGATGGCTTCCGGCCACTTGGGGCTATTGGCTGCAGACGCTGCCTCAGGGCTGGTTTCAGAGGAAGGGCCATGGCTAGAGAGCCCGTACCCGACGCTCTCACATGATACTTGGGTTGAGGGATTGGAGGTGTCGGTGCTGTTGCCCTTGCCTTTCGCTGTGCTGGGGCAGCCCCATGGTCTTCCTGGTGGAGGCGGCAGCACACCTGAGAAGTGCTGTTCCTCGGGGAGGGCAGCGGGTGTTCTGTGAGCCCCTCTGGTAAGGAAACGTTTGTCCCGTGAACACGACGAGAAAAGGAACCAACAGATGCAGCTCCGTGGCCCTGACTGCAGCCTTGGATCCCAGGGGTTGATGGACAGAAAGTGCCGGAATGCAGATCACCCAGATGGGGCTGACACCCGGTGGCGGGAGGGGTGGGGGGGTGGAGAGCGTGACTCCGTGTTGTCCCTCTGCGGGGCACTCTCCCCCCAGGTGACCTTAATGCTGCTTGACCAGAACAACCGAGAGCACGTGATCGACGCCTTTCGACCCGACGTGACCTCGTCCTCTTTCCAGAGGCCGGTCAGTGACATGAACATCGCGAGTGGCTGCCCCCTCTTCTGCCCTGTTTCCAAGATGGAGGCTAAGAATTCCTACGTGCGCGATGACGCCATCTTTATCAAGGCCATTGTGGACCTGACGGGGCTCTAGCCGCCTCCCCCCAGGTTCAGGGGTCAGGAACAGCTGGGCCTGGTGGCTCACTGTGGGTGGACGCCTGCCGCCATCGTGGCCCTCCGGGATGGAGCCGCCTCCTGGGAGAGGCCGCTCAGCCCAGGCCGCGTGGGGTGGCCTGCGGGCCGGTCGGTGCCTCCGAGGGCTGTCCGTGTAGGCTCTCGGGGCAGAGCGAGTGGAGGGGCAGGGTGGGCTGGCACTGTGTCCTGCCCTTTGGCCCCCGGAGAGAAGGGACACTCTCGGGTTTGGCCACCGCTCTGAGGAGAAGCCCTGCCATGCGGGCCTGGCCAGGCCAGCGCGCAGGGAGGGCGTCTGTGTCCTCAGGGCCTCCTGTCGGCCGCCCCTGTGGTGAGTGTGGGGTGCACTTTGGGCGCTGCCGTGAGACGTGGTGCAGTAGCTGCCCCATTGGGCTGCGGAGGAGTCGTTATTAAAGTGTTAAATCTCTGTGGTGAGTGGTGTCCATTTGGCTTTGGTGGCAGTGACCACGGGCGCCTCCTGGCTCTCTGCCCTCCCGCAGTCCCCTCCCCAGAAGTGCCCTGTCCCTGCCTGCGTCACCAAGTCCCTGAGCAGTTACATGGGTTCCCTACACTCCAAGCACGTGCCTGCAGGCCTTGCTGAAGCCAGCCGTTCTCCTTTCTGGAATGTTCTTTGCTGGACAGCTCCTCCTCCCTCAGGACTCCCCAGGGTCTGCTTTGAGAGCAGGTCCATGTGTGACCCCGCCCCTCCCCGCAGGGATCTCTGATCCTGGAAGGGTGGCCGGTAGCTTTTGCATTTGGGGGTCCGACAAGCGGGTCTTCTCCAGAATCAGGTGTCTCCTCCCGTCGGCAGCCAGTGGTCCTAGCGCCCAGCTGCAGGCTTGAGCCTCCGCTCCCCCCGGGGCAGGGCCAAGGCCGCGTGGGCTGCAGCCCTGGGGCAGACTCTGGGGTCCGGGCCGCTCGCTGTGTGCACCTGGGCGCTTCTCGAAGGCCAGGCTGGGGCTGCCGGCGGCCTTCGTGGAGACCCCACGACACATGTGACTGCCCCTGCCGCCTGCTGGGAAGTGACCACCCACGAGCGCTGAGCATAAAGACCGCAGCCCCTGTGGCTGCCTCCTGGGACGGAGCACAGTGGTGGTGAAATGTCGCAGAAAAGCTGACGACCTGAGGCCTTTCCCGCTGCGCTCTCCGGGGCGGTGTCAGACGGGACCTCAGCGCTGGCTTCGCCGTGAGCCGCCCGCCCGCAGCCGGTGCTCATTGCTGCTGCCCGCTCACCCCGCCGCCCGCGTCCCGGGCCTGTCGTGCCCAGCTCCCCAGCCGGGCTGTGGTGGCTCAAGGCCCGAGGGCCGGGCTGGGCTCACTGCTGCAGCAGAGGGGGCATCGCCCGCCGGCCCGCGTCCCGTTGCCTGCTGGGCTGTCCCTCTCGTTTCCTCCCGGTTGGCAGGAGCCCCTGATGCTCCTGGACGCTGGTCGTTAATCGTGTCAGAACCGTGTTTGCGACGGGAACCCAAGGAGTAGCATTTTCCTTGGTGAACCATGTTCCTGGCCAGCTAATTCGGGAAGTCCTAAGTTTCCCCGAGGAAACACTTGTGTATTTCTTCTGATGGTTTTTAAAGCTTTGTTTTCAACACTTTGGGATTTTACTTCGGGAATTTGTGTAGGGGGTGTGTGCATACTTTTTATATTCCGTTAGGCCAGTTGGGTTAAACCAAGTACGTTAGTGAGTTTACTTTTCTATAAAACAGAACCATAAGACAACAGGATGGGAAAGGCTTTTGCCCACAGGGACAAGGTGAGGGAGGAGTTCTTAGCAGAAGAAACATGTGAGCCGGTTTTGGAATGTGGACGGGACGGCAGGTTGGGGATGGCCCGCGGGCAGAGGAGGGCCCTGTGAGGGTGCCTGCTCACCGGGGGCCCCAGGGTGCGGGTCTGGACAGCTTGCTGGAGGAGCTCAGGACCAGGAGAGGGGGGCTTTGGAGGAAGCGGGTACAAGTGTGCGCCAGACTGAGGGCGCCAGCACTGGGGACGCACTCCTGCGGGGAGACTGGGGCCCCCTGGGGAAAGCACGTGCTCTAGAGAGACAGCCGAGAGGCCCGGCCCCGTCCCTCGTCCCTCAGCGGCCTTCCGTGTCTGGTGTTGGGGCGCCCCCTGCCCTGCCCCTGGCGAGCACGCAGTTTTCTGCCTCGGGGACTGCTGTGCTGGACACGCCACCGCGTGTGACTGTGCACACGGCCTTCACGTCGGCTTGGGTGTGAAGCTGCCAGGTTCTGGGGCAGGAATCAGGACTTCCTTTCTTTCTAAGGCTGAAAGACCCCATGTACAGACAGACCACCTTCATTGATTTGTCTGTTAATGGACCAACCTTCGGGCTGTCCCCGCATTGGCTGTCGCGTGCCACGCTGCCGTGAGCGTCGTGTGTGGCACGTGTGTGGACGCGGCCATTGCTCCTGGACGAGACCTGACGGCGGAAAGGGCTGCGTGTTGACCTGTTTGAAGAACTGTCCGGAAGCCCGACACGCCCCGTGGCGCGGTTTCCACTTACGCCTTCATTTCACCTCCTGCTCCTTCCACGGCCTTTAGAATTTCAAAGCCTTGCTAATTTTTAATACAAAAAGTATTTATTAAGAAAACACCAGTAGCGGCCACGGCACTGGGTGTGTGGCTTTGGCTCACGGTCGCGTCGTGCCCACCTGTGTCCCGTCTTCAGATGCTGGCCGCCGCGCCGTCCCGAGGGCCTAACTTCCCACATCCGGGTGTGTTTTGATGCCGGCCGTCTCGGGTTGGAATCGGGGTTGATGGTTCTTGTTTGTGTGCGCTTGGAGGCCCACACCTGGCCGGGTCAAGTGCGCTTGCTGCAGGTCGGTTTGGGGAAACCGCACTCTTCTCTCTAATGGCTTTTTCGCTTGCCATGTGGTAAGGCTGGTTTACTGCGTGTTTTGGGCGCAGCTCCGTCCATCTTCACACACACACGGGTTGATGGTCAGAGTATGGAAGAGTGCCAACATCCCTGTGGACCCGGCCCTGTGACTCCGCAGCCCCTGCCCTGCCCTCTGTCACTGTGGATTGGCCGAGCGTGCCGTTGTCGGGACGTGGCAGTGTGGAACCTTCGGAGGCCGGTGCTGCTCAGCGGAACGAGTGCCTTGGCAATTCAGGATGTTGTGTGGATCCGAGATTTGTCTTTTTCTCGGTGGGAGGGGCCGAGAACTCCAGTGCTCAGACGACCCATTTGTGTGAACATGCAGCTGTTGGGAGTGTGGGTGGTTTCCAGATCTCTGCGGTCCCGCAGAGAGCCATGCGTGCCGCACACGGGCTGCCGAGGAGCCCATTTCCGGCGTCCCTGGGGGCCCATGTGGCTGTCGTAAAAGACTTTTGAGGTTTTGGTTTGCAGTCGTGTATCCCTAGTGTTTAGAAACGCGGTTGATTCAGGGATGTCGGCTTTATTTCCCATAAGCTCGATAAACGCACTCAGTGGTGCCGAGGGTTGTTAAATTGTGTGTTTTTGTAGCTTCTAGGGGATTTTTCACATCAACAGCCATGGCGTTTGTAAGGACTATCGTGTTCTCTTCCAGTCGGTGTGCCCTTCGCTCCTCTCGCCCCCTGGGACCCCCTGCAGAGCCCGCCGCTGGGAGATGGAGCCTGGCTGGGTACGGGCAGGAGCTGCCCTGGCCGCCTTCTGCTCTTGGGAAGGCTCCCTCTTCTGCCGCCAGGCACAGCGTGTCCTGCGGACCGGAGCGATGCCTCGGGCAGGCCGCGCCAGCTCCCGTCCGCTGCCCCTGCTTCGCTGAGAACTGAAACGTGACTTGGATGCTCGTGAAATGCTCTTTCTACGGCAAGTGCTGTGTGCAAGTGTTTTCTTCCCTGCTGTTGCTGTAGGAGCGTACGTTGACTGGCCCCTAGTGTGGAAGCAGCCTGTACTTCTGGATTAAATCCCACTGGGCTGCAGCAGGCTGTTCATTTTATGTGTGTCTGGATTTGGTTTAGTCTCGATTCCGCATCTCTGTCTGCCAGGGGTGTTGATCCAGAACCATCCTGTTTGTTGTGTCCAGTTTTGGCGTCGGGGGGGGGGGTGCAGGAAGGAGTTTAGAAGCGCTGACCTGTGCTGAGGTTTGTTCTGTGACTCGGGCTGCGGACTGTCGTGGCAGATCCTCCACATCCACCAAGAACGTTCTCTGCAGCTCAGTTAAACCCAGTGGTGCCTCTTACAGGTTGAATTCTGTCTCCCCCCAAAAGACATGTTGAGTCCCCCCGTAACTCAGATTGTGACCTTATTTGGAAATGAGGTCTTTGCAGTGATAATCAGCTAAAAATGAGACATAGGGGAGGCCCAGTGCAGTATGACGGGCAGCCTTATAAAAAGGGGAGGTTGGGGGCGCCTGGGGGGCTTGGTCGGTTAGGCGTCCGACTTCGGCTCAGGTCATGACTTCACGGATCGTGGGTCCCAGCCCCATGTCAGGTTCTGTGCTGTCAGCGTGGAACTTGCTTGGGATTGTCTCTCTGCCCTCCCCCACTTTCTCTCTCAAAATTTGAAAAAAACAATTCTTTAATAAAAAAAAGGACGGAGAGACTTGGACACAGACACACAGAGGGACGGTGGTGGGAAGGGACCCGGGGGGCTGCAGGGTCAACAGACAGGACACCGAAGACGGCCGCCCACCCCCAGCCCAGCAGCTGGAAGAGGTGCAGGGGGTCCCCCCACAGCGAGCTTGCGGACTTGTGGCCCCCAGAACTGACAGGCCGCTCCCCGGGGTGGGGTTCCAGTCACAGTAGCTGGGGAGGCGCGCACGGCGGCCGGTTCGGCCCCTCCTCCCCATTCCCCCCCCTTGCTCGGCCCATGTCAGGCTCTCGTGTGAGCTACGCACACGCGCACATCCAGGAACGTCTTTCACCCATGGGCGGCGTCCATCGTTCCCGGGGGAGGCTCGCTGTCCCTGAAGCGCCCGCCCCCTCTGTGGGGGCCCGTGTCGCTGGTTGGGTCTCCTTGGCGGAGGGCTCGCGGGGATTGCGCTTTCCCGTCATCCTCTCGCGTCCCGCACCCCGACAGCGTGTTTGGAGAGCTCGGCGAGCGGCGGCGGGGCTTGTGTCTGGGGGTTTCCCTTGGACAGTGATGTAACTTTACCACTGTGCTCGGGTAGGGGGGCGCCACCCTGACGCTGCTATACATCGGTCCTCTGTCGCTCCGCTTCTTCTCTCCTGCCTGGAAGGAGTGTTTGAGTCCATCTGTGTGGTTACGGGTCTCTCCACGTAGTAGTTTTAGTGGTGGTTCTGAGGACCACAACACACTGGGTTTCCTTTTTATGTTTATTTGAGAGAGAGCGCGCGAGAGAGCGAGCCAGCTCGGGAGAAGCAGAGGGAGAGGGAGAGAGAACCCCGAGCAGGCTCCATGCTGTCAGCGCAGAGCCCTACGAAGTCTCCATCCCACGAACCATGAGACCGTGACCTGAGCCAAAACCCGAGAGCCAGACGCTCAAGCGACTGAGCCCACAGGCGCCACACGACACACTCCGCTCCTAAGGGTTTACTCAGAGTCGACAGTTTGCACCGTGACTGGAGTGTGGGCACCTTCCCCCCCGGGGTTCTGTCCCACCATGGGGCACCTGCCGGGACCGAAAGCCCCCACCAGACAACATCACTGCCTGCCTTTCGCCATCAGACACATCTTGGAGACCCCAAGGGGACAGGGCTGGCACTGCATCAGTGCCCTCGTTGCTGGCGGCCCAGCCCGTTCTGATGCCATTTCTCTCTTGTCAGAGAAGCTTCCATCGCTGGCTACAGAGTCTTCTCATTTTCTTCCATTCGAGAACTTACTTCCCCTGTATTCATGAAGGACGTTTCACGGGACAGGGCATTTCGGGCGGCAGCCTTTCCGTCTTTAACCGTGTCGAGCTGCCCCGCGCGGCCCCCAGAACTGCGGGTGGGGGGCCTGCGGTGCGGGCGCCGTCCTTCCCCACCAGTCAGGGTTGGCTTGTGTTCGGTTTTCAGCAGCTCGGGGACAGGTGTCTGGGCGGGACGTCTTCGGCTTTATCCTGTTTTGGATTCGCTTGGCTTCTTGAATCCGTGGGCGTGCGTCCCCCGCCACATGGGAGATTTGCAGCTCCTACTTCCCAGGCCCCCCCTCCTTTCCCCTCGAGCCCCCACGACACACGCAGACCTTTAGTTCTGTGCCCAGGTCCTCGCGGCCCCAGTCTTCCCCCGATCGATTTCCTTCTCTGTTCAGGGTGTCTGACTTCTGGTGGCCTGTCGTCAGTCAGGTTCATCTCCATTCTGCCAGTCAGTCCGTCCAGTGAGTTTTAACATTTTGGTTCTTTGGATTTTCAGTCCTGACGCTTCCATTTGGCTCCTTTCTAGCCTGTTTCTTTCCTGAGACTCCCTATCTTCCGTCTCTCGCAAAACATTTGTGGTTCCTCGTTTGAGCGTTTGTACGACTGCTGCTTTACAGTCTGCGTCAGATCATCAGTGCCTGTGCGTCTCACCCTTGGCATCTGCTGAAGGTCTTTTCCTCTGAGGTGACCTCTCGATGGTTCTTTGCAGCCCAAGGAATTGTGGGTTACGTCGTGAACGTCTTCAACGTCACTTGAGCGGGTCTGGGTGTCGTCTGGTCCCAGGCGACCGGGGTTCCTCTGCTCCACGGGCCCGCGCCCGCTGCGGTCGGTGGCCCGGCCCAGGCTCTTTGAACCCCGGTCCTTTGGCCGGGATTGGGCGAGCTGCAGGCTCCTGCGTCTGGTCTGTGGCCCGACGGTCAGCCTTAGCAGTCACGGCCACCTCCTCCTCCTCCACTTAGTGGCCGTAACCTCCCTGTCGCCTGGCTGCCAGCGCTGTCTGCTGCTCCAGCCAGAGGCTCGGGGCTCCTGCCACACCGCTCTGTCGTGCCCTTCCTGGGTCGGGCCGCGCCTGTCTGCACAGTGGCAGCGCACACTGCGCTCCACACCGGGGCATCCGTAGCCGCCTCGCTCGGTGCCACCGGGGGATCACCGGGGCACAGCAGCCGAGGTGCTTCCACTCCCTGAGCCCTGGGGGCTTCTCCAGGCGCGCACTTCCCGGCCCAGACGGTTCAGAGTTCAGGCCGGGTGCGGACGCCAGGCACAGGTTCTGCTCTGGCCCCCTCTCCGCCTTGCCGTGGGAGGGCTGGCCCGCGTGCCCGTGCCCTCTCACTGGGAGCTTGCCCCCCACGCCCGGAGCTGTTGTCTCCGGACCCTCGCCGGCCCACATCCCAGGTGTGTCCACTGCTGCCCCCGGGCAGACCGCAGCTCGCGTGTCCGGGGACGTGTGTGACGACACCCTCCGGGTGTCTTCTCTCTCCGCCCCCGACCCCACTGCCCCTGGCCTTCCGCACCCACCTGCGGACCCGCCTGTCGTTTCAGGCACTCTGTCCGCTCTCCTCTGGCTCCTACGAAGTCCATGCATTTTTGTTCCGCAGGTTTTACCATTTCCGTGAGGAGGCTAACTTGGTGTATCTTAACGCCCAGAGCTGCCCGTGTCTGCGGCTCTGGGAGCGCCCGTGCACCCGCGGGGCTCGCTGGCCACTTCCCATGGCAGGAGCCTCGGGGCTTTGGCCGCTGAGCCCCGGGCGCGCACGTGCGGCTGCTCCAGGCTCCGTTGTTCAGTCCTCGCCCCCCAGCCTCCCTCCCCCGTCCGCGTGTCCCGCAGCTCTGAGATGGGTGGGTCCCTATTGCCCCCGCGGGCTGGGGCGCCCTCTCCGGCCATGCGGCCCGCGCAGCTGGACACGGGGGCCCTCTGCCTCCCCAGCCGGAGCCCCTCACGGGCCCTGGCCGGCTCTCTCCCTGCGGCGGTGCAGCCCAGCCCCAGCAGCCTCTGCTCGGCACTGCCTCTAGCCTGGAGGGACATCAGCCCCCAAGGGCCTGTAGCGTCTTCCGGGTTGTCTCCACGGCAGTGATGGCAGCCACGCACCGAGTGGCACACAGCTCAGCACAGGCTCCACGTGCAGAAGCCAGGCCCCCACCTGTCTGTCACCCGACACCCAGGACATCCTCAGGTGAATGAGTGGGTGTAGGTGAGCCCCCAAGTTGGGCCTGGATTAAGCCTGAGGGCAGGGCAGGGCTGCCTCTGCCTCACATCCGCATCCCTGCTTGCTGTGCTCGCAGAACCAGCCCCCACACCCGTGCGCTGCCTCGACTTCTGCAGCGCTCCTCTGGGTCCGGCGCTTCCCCTTATGTCTCCCTGCTGGGGGCACGCGCACGTGGCGGACGTGCCCTGGCATTGTCTGCATGCTGGCGATCTCATCTGCCCAGAGACTGTGGGGCCCGGCGATTGAGGACGCAGCCTGAGCCGCACTGCCTTCCCCGACGCCTCGGGTGTCCTGCTGGCCAGCAGGCAGGCACGAGAGCCCCCGCCGATCCCACCGGGCCCCTCCTTGCACACAGAGATCGGACGGCGGTGTGCTGTTGCCAGCTGTTTATTCAGGCCCCAGACAGGTGACCAGTGACATGCAGGTTGCCTGGGCCCACGGCAGACTGACCCGCGCTGCCGGCCCTGCTGGTGCACAAACCAGTCCCCAGAGGAAATGCCGCCCCGTGCGCACGGGGCCAGCCACGGGTCATGCGTGGTGCTGGCAGGCCCGGGACCCAGGCCCTGGGGGAAAAGGGTGGGTGAAGAGTGGGGCCCCCGGCGTCCAGTGCATCCCACACCGGCCAGGAGGCGCCCCGGTGCTCAACGTCATGGCTGTGGGAGGTGTGGTGTGAGCGTGGCGGGCGGGGGGGTCAGGCCGCCCCTTCTCTGCAGCCCTGCCGAACCCCCTTCCTAAGGCATCACTGTTCCGGGCTCTCTGCCCACCGCATGGTCTGGGCAGCGGCTGGGCCCTGGGACGGGGCTGTGGGCCTCTGTGGCTTCTTCAGTGGGTCCCGGGAGCCCAAGGACACCCAGGACGCTCCGGTCGGCCAGTGCCCCCTCAGCGCCTCTGGCTGGCAAACCAGGAGAGAAACGTACGGGGCCGTGGACGTGGGGCCTGGTGGATGCGCACGGTGCGTGGCGAGCGCCAGGCTTTGATGGTGGTGTCGTCGCTTGCCGTCAGCAGGAGCTCCTGCTCCTGGGGGCTGAAGACCACGGAGTTGACCACGTCCTGGTGCCGCAGCTTAGCCAGGCAGATGTTATAGTGCCGGTCCCAGATGTAGCCGTGCCGGTCCTCCGCCCCACTGTGGGACAGCCGGCGTGAGCGCCCTGCTGCCACGCCTGGACCCGGCCCGCCCCGCCCCGCCCCGCCCCGCCCCACTACCTGGCCACAAAGTCCCTGCTGACGTCCAGGAAGATGAAGAAGCACTCGTCGTTGGGCGTGTAGGCGCGGTGGGCCCGCAGAGCCCGCTTCACTTCCCGCATCGTCTTGAGGTCAAATACCAGCAGGTCGATCTCCTCTGCGATAGGCGGCGGCTGCATGGGGTCGGCCACCACCGAGCCGCTGGGCCAGGCTCGGCTGTTCACGTACAGGTACCTGGGCGAGGGGCACCGCACTTGGTACCGGCGGCGTGCACGAGCCCCCACCCGGGACACTCGGGGCCCCACCTGTTGTCCGGGGACAGGCCCATGCCGATGATGTGTCCGTGCACGTCAATGACGTGGTCCAGGGCATCGAAGAAGGCGTCTGAGCCCCGGCCCTCGCCTAGCACGGGCCCAGCCGTGGTCATCTGGTGCGGCAGGATCTGCTTGATGCCTGCGGGGGCGCCGGGTGAGGGGGGCGTCACCTGAACCAGAGTCCCCCACGGAACATGGTCCGGGAGGCCGGACCAGGGTGGGCCTCCAGACTCACTTCCCTGCGTGGCCGTGGGAGCCCAGCCCAGTCTGCAGGGAAGCCCCGCCCCCCACCCCCTGGCTCTAGGGACTGAGGAGGGCCTGCCCCCCCTACCGATCTGGTGTGGCGAGTAGGTGAGGCAGCCCGTGGTGAAGATGAGGAGCTTGCGGGCGGCAGCCATGCTGTGCTCGGGGGGCTTGGTGCGGCCCTGCGCCAGCAGCTCGGCCACCTTGGTCTCCAGCGCGTGCTCTGACAGCGGGGGCTGTGGCCGCCCATCCAGGAGCCCGTCCAGGAAGTACCGCAGGCCCTCCTTGGTGCGGGCCGGAGCCGGCCCTGGGCCCACCGCCTCGTCATCGCTGTCGCTGCCCAGGTCGAAGACGCGGCCGGGGGCTGCGCCGGCATCCAGCAGGAGGTCTGGGCTGTCGAAGCGGCTGCAGTCGGCCACCATCACTGTGCGGATGGTGCTGGCGTTAAGGTTCTGGATCTTGAAGAGCCGCTTTACCACATTGACGTTCTCTGACTCCACGTCCTGGGGGTGGGAGACAGCAGGTGGGCAGCAGGCCGAGGAGGGGGCAGCCGCAGGGGGCACACGCGCCCGCACCTGGAAGGCGTTGTTGAGCCAGAGCACCGAGCAGGAGGTGATGTCTCCGATGCGGTGCAGGTTCCCCGAGATCAGGCTGGTCTCCGTGAGCCAGCAGCCAAACACATCATAGGGCTTGTTGCGCACTCGGGACAGCAGCGTGAAGTTGTCTGGGGGTGGCAACGAGGACCGGGCTGTGGGGGGGGCGGGGCCTTGCGGGGGGGGGCGGGGCGGGCCGGGATAGCCAGCCAACCCGGGCAGTCTCTCACCTAGGCTGATGACTGCGATCTCACCAGACGAGGAGTTGTGGGGCCCCAAGAACACCCCGGACGCCAGCAGCAGCGAGTCGTCCTGGTTGAACTGGGAGAACTGGGTGTAGCTCCAGTTATAGGGCCGCATGTCCGCGCTGTGCATCAGCGAGACGGTCAGGTCGTTGTTCCAGATCTGCAGGAAGGCTCGGTCATCTCGGGGCCTCTGTCCCCACCTTGCACATAACACCAGGGGCCTGTGCTGCAAGCCCCTCACCCAGCCAGTGTCCTGCCCAGAAGCCACCACTGGGAGGGGGTTCCTTGCCCCTGGCTGCCGGCGCACCTGAGGTGTGTGGGTCCACGGGATCGGGCTCCCGGCCCTCCCTCAGCAGTGAGGGCCACCCACCCAGCCTCCATCCTGCGAGCCCCAGGTCCTGGCCCCTCCCCAGCTGGCTGGGCTGCCCGGCCTGGCTCCTGCGGGCTGTGCTCACCTTCACCGTGCAGTCCTTGGAGCAGGAAGCAAACTGGTAGCCCGAGTGCGAGAAGCTAAGGTGCAGGACCTGGTCTGTGTGCTCCCTGAGCGTCTGCACTTCCACGCAGGGCACCGTGTCGTAGAGCCGCCGGAACTCTTCATACCAGGATGTAGCCGCTGGGGAGAGGGGCGGTCACTGCTGGGCCCCTGAGCCCCCCTTCCTACAGCACCCAGGCAGCACGGGGGCCAGCCCTGCTCTTGCAGGCCACTAGCCGCCTGCAGGGCTCTCCCCCCAACACCGGCCCTGTGCTCAGCCATGGCCTGGCTGTCCCCTGTCAAGGTGGGGGCCACACGGTGTCTTGACCACTGTGCAGATCTGGACAGTGGGGGACCAACGTAGTGGCTTCATGCTGTGGTGGCAGTGGGTGGGTGGCCCTGCCTCCCGCCCGGCCAGCCTAGTGGACCATGGAGCCACGTGCAGACCCTGACCTGGGTGCCGGGGCACGTCGCGGGCCACCTGGTAGTAGCGGTAGAACTGCTCCCTCCACAGGAACTCATCCCGGGACACAGCGTGCCATTGGCGACACACCAGACCAGCAGCAAGCACGTCCGCCGGGCCCAAGCTCAGGAAGATCTGGTAGATGAGGCTGTCAGGGAGCAGGGGTGCGCACCCCTCGTCCATTGTGACATTCTGGACGGCCAGCCCTGGAACCCACACGTGGTCCCCTCAGTTGCCAGTTGCACTGTGGGAAGGGGACCTGCCCCAAGGGACCTGGGGCTGCGCTGGGGCAACTGCCCTGCAGGGAACCCCACTGGACTGAGAGTGTGTGGACGGCCAGCTGGCCCTGCCCACGGGGCTAAGGATCCAACAGCTTCTCTAAGCCCCCCGACCCCACACTCCTGACCGGCCCCCTGCAAGTCCTAGTGATTCCCTGGAACAGGCAGCTTCTGGGAGGGCAGCAGACACCTCCCAGCACCTCCTGGCCCGGTCCAGCCGGAAGTGGGAGTGTGGGGCGGCCCTTCTGGGCCCCAGATCTGATCTCCCCTCAGAAGGGTCCTGGTCTGGGGGACTGGCTCTGACCTCCTCCCGCTCACGGGCCCAGACAGACATGTGGACGCCTAGGCTGGTGACTAATCCGAGGCCAAGAAAGGAAGAACCAGTGACCCGCACGCACTCCAGTCACTCTGACCTTGTAGACACAAGGCTTTGGAGCTGTCAGCTTGGGACAGAGGTCCTTCCAAAAAGAAGCTCGGGGCCGGCGGGACCCGGACCAGCCCACCCGCCCCAGACGCCGCCAGGGGCACCAGCCGGCCCTTGGCCTGTGCCTTGTGGTCGAAGGGAGCCCTGGCAGGCGGTCAGCGGGCCAGCGCGGCCACTGCCCGGCGAGCTGTGGGCGGGGCGTGGGCTGCCAACGCCCCCTCCCACCTTCCTTCCGAGGGGCTACCGGGGGCGGGGCCTCGGCTCGGCCAGGGTCCCCGCGGCGCCGAAGCCTCTGCGACGCGTTCGTCGGCAGAGGGCGCGACCGAGGCCGAGGGGCCGGAGACTGGGGGGATGGGGGGGCCAGGGAGCCGGGGGCCGGACGCGGCCGATTTGCGACGCTCCTTGGGACTGGGGAGACGGGGGCCGGGGGCAGAGGACGACGCTCCCCGGGGCCGGGCGCACTCACCGCGGCCGCCTCTGCCCGGCTGTGCAGCCCCCGGCGCGGCGCACGGCCTCGGCCGGCGGACCCGCTTCCGCCCCGCCGCTCCTGCCGCCGCGTCTCTATGATGGAGCCCGCCAGGCTGACGCCTCGAGCCCTGAAGCATCGATAGCCGCGGAGTGTCGAGCGCCTGGCACCCCGCCTCGGCTGTTGCTGCGCCTGCGCACACGGAGCTCTCTCGGAACAGCGCCCCCGGCGGCCGGGAGGGGCGGCGGCCTTGCTCGGGAGCTAGAGCGCGGGGCTGGGACCTACTCCGCTCACCCACAGCGCGGGTTCGAGACCTGGCGCTGCCGCTCGCTCGCCGCGGCTGCGGCCCTGGGTCGGGGGTCGTGGACAAAGAGCCAGAAGTTAACTAGGGCTCCTTAGGCAGGAGATGGCGCCAGAGCCCTCTCAGGAAGTGCAGAGTCGAGGAGGCCGGAGTGGACTCTTGCCGGGGGTGAGGGGAAGGGCAGGGTGCTCGGTTAGGCCGGAGGTGGACCGACGCGGACTTCCTGGGCCAGGCTTCCGGGTGACACCGGACAGTGGACTCTGACCCACGGCTCGGACACCCTGCCTCCGGCCTCGCTGTCTGGTGACTGCCACTGCCATGCTGAACCCCAGGACTGCCCTCCTCTTGACTGTGCTCCTGGCTGGGGGCTCCCTGAGCAGGCGGGCTCGCGGACCTCCTCGGCCCGCGTCCCCCATCAGCACTATCCAGCCGAAGGCCAGCTTCAATGCTCAGCAGGTAGAGGGGGCAGGTGGAGAGGCGGGCGCTCATGCAGCCTTTCAGGGGTCATCCCGTGTCCTCACGCGCTTGCCCCTAGTTTGCAGGGACGTGGCTCCTTGTGGCCGTGGCCTCCTCGTGCCGCTTCCTGCAGGAGCAGGGCCACCGGGCTGAGGCCACCTCACTGCACGTGGCTCCCCAGGGTGCAGACATGGCCGTCAGCACCTTCCGGAAGCTGTGAGTCCCCAGCCCAGACCCCTGACCCTGACGCCAGTCTTTCTGTGGCCTGGGCCAGAGTCCTGGGAGGCGCTGCCCAGGCTGGGGTCCCTAAGCCTGCCGTGCCAACCTCCACCCCCGCCCTCCCCAGGGATGGGATCTGCTGGCAGGTGCGGCAGCTCTACAGAGACACGGGAGTCGAGGGGCGTTTCCTGCTCCAAGGTGAGGGGAGGGCATGGGGGGGGGTGCAGGGCTGGGGGAGCTGGAAGCTGCCTCCGCTGACCCGGCCCTGCCCAGCCCGAGGTGCCCGTGGGCCAGTAGATGTGGTCGTCGGGGAGACAGACTACCGAGACTTCGCCATCCTGTACCTGGAGCGGGCGAGGCAGCTGTCGGTGAAGCTGTACGGTGCGTGCACGCGGAAGCCTGGGCTTTGCACACACTCAGGGCCATCCGTGGGGGGGGGGGGGGGGCCCAGACGGACACACAGCCCCTCCCTGCCTCCCTGTTTCCGCATTCTCTCCAGCTGAGCAGGGGTCCGGGGAGGAGCCCCCGCACACCGGCCCAGGTGTGGGGACAGAGGGGACGGGGAGGAGGGGTGGGTGTGTCCCAGGCACACGGGCCACACGCCCGGCACGCCCTGCCTGTGCCCTCACCACGTGCCCAGGAGCCCGATGTGCCCCACAGCCCGCTCACTGCCCCCAAGTGACTTGGCCCTGAGTGCATTCGAGCAGCGGATCCAGAGGGCCAACCTGACCGAGGACCACATCTTGTTCTTCCCCAAGTACGGTAAGCACCCCCCCCCCCCGCCTGCCTCACCCTCCCGCTGTGTGCCCTGCTCGTCACTCCTGACCCCCGCCCGGGCCCTCAGGTTTCTGCGAGTCTGCAGACCAGTTCCACGTCCTGGATGGTGAGTGGGCCGTGCCGGTGGGCGGTGAGTGAAGGCAGGGCACCCGCCACTCCCTCTCTGGCTGAGCCTGGTCTCTGTGCCCCAGAAGTGAGGAGGTGAATCCAGGTGGCAGCCCCGAACCCAGAAGGAGTGAAGACCCTGAAGGTGATGGCGTCCACTGCCCCACCCACTGAGCCCTGGCACCCCCTCGGGCCAGGGCCATCCTGGGGGGGGACTCGCTCCCAAGTGCATCCTGAAGCGGCCCCTGGCCCACGGGAACACGGGGAGGGGCACTGCTTTCATTAAACGCTGTCCAGCTTGGCCCCCGATTCCTTCCTTTCCGCACTGGACCTGGACCGGGGCCTCCATCTGCCCGTCGTCTCGTGGGCGCTGCGCCGAGCCCTCCTGTCCGTGCCCGGCTCTCCTCTGCATCGCGGGCCCAGCTGCCCTTCCCTGGTCCCTGCGTCTAAGCACGTGTGCCCTGCGGGTCTTCCTAGGCCACCCTGGGCGGGCCCCGTCCTGAGCCTGCCCCCTGCTCAGGCGTCAGGGTGCGTTTTCTAGAGGGCTGAGGAGCTCTGTCCACAGGTTCCCCTAGTCTTCTGCCGGCCCGGGGCTCCCTCCTGGGGACAGGCCATGCCCCCGGGGAGGGGCAGGCAGAGCCCCTCGCGGGTCCTGGATGTGGTGCCTGGGTCTGGGATGAGCTGGCATCCCTCTTAGTCGGGAGGCCAGGCTGGCCCCGTGGCTGCCCCTGCGGGCTGGTAAGCACTGATGGGGCACAGCACTGACCACCCAGGGCTGAGTCCAGTCCTGGCACCGGGCAGCCAGGCGCCCTGGGGGAGGTCATGAGGGTCATGAGGGTGGGCAGGCAGGGAGAATAAGGGGGGGGGCATCTACCCCAGAACGGAGGCAGCAGCCCAGCCTGGCTCATGCGCTAGGAGTGGGGTGGGCTCAGGAGCTTGGCGGACGAGGGAGGGAGCCCACACCCGGGGTCTGAGCGCAGTCACCAGGAACCAGGAGGCTAGGTTCTCTCTGCAGAGACCTTTCTGGAATGTGGGAACTCTGAGCCTAGTGGAAGATGCAGGTGGGGAGGGAGGGGCTGAAAATGGTGTAATGAGGTCTCCCCCCACACAGTGGCTGCCTGGAGGGGCCCTTCCAAAGGGTGCCCCCTGCTGGGGGGATGTGGAGCCCTGGGGAAGTCTGCCTTCCGCTGCCTCATCACTGCCCCGCAGGGTACATCGGGTGTCCTTTCCACACACTGGGGTCCCTCACTGGGCGTCCCCAGACAGTGGGGACCTCGCTGAAAGAGAAGAATCAGGACTGGGGAGAACCGACTCTAGAGGTCAGTCCAGGAAGCCACAGGGCACTCTTGAAAGAAAAGAAACAGAATTGAGTCATCCCGCATACCGCTCTCCGCGTGGGTCCGGACCCTGGGTTGGGGAGGTCCCACAGGGCTGGGGACAGCAGCCCAGCGGGCAGAGCCTGGACCCCGCTCCCGCCCCCGCTGCTGAGAACACTCTCCAGATCTTTACAACCGCATCCCCCCCCCCCCCCCCCCCCCCCCCCCCCCCCCCCCCCCCCCCCCAGTGTCGCTAACCCATCTTCTCCATTTGCTGGAGGGCACTGGCCAATTTCAGCAGCATAAATGGCTTGGGGGAGGGTGCTGTGCCCTAAGGGGTCTGGGGGCGCCCTGCTCCAGGACAGTGTGTCCGGCTCTGAGAACACCTCCTCCTCCGCGGGAGGCCAGCTCTCTCCTCCCCTCCGTGGCCTCCCTAAGCCTCACTGGGCAAGATCCAGGCCCACGTGGCTGTGAGTCAGCACCCTGGGGTGCTTCTGGCCATCCGTGCCTGGCACACACTTCCCATCCTGGAGAAATGTGTGTGCCTCACCCCCCCCCACTGTCCCCGGGGAACCAGGACAGCTTAGGGGGGTGGCCACCCCTCCAGCATTTGAGGGAGGGTCTGAGGGCAAATTATTGCCTCAGGCCGGGGCCAGACTGGGGCTGGAAGGTCAGGAAAATGGGCATTAACTTAGCCAAAGCTGGACCTGAAACCGGCCCCAAGCCCCGCTGTATTGGGACCCTCAAGGCACCCACCTGATGAGTGCTTCTGGCCCCGGGCACACGGGCCGGGGGGGATGCCCTGTCCCTGGAAGCTCGAAGTCCAGAACTCGCCACTGACTGATGGTGAGGCTCAGGGGCACCTGGGAGCTGGGCGCCCCTCCAGCCCCCATTTCCTCCCTCCCCTCCAGTGGCCTCCTTCCCTGGACCGCGGGGGGGTGGGGATGGGGACCACGCCATCCCAAGTGAGCCATAGGCCACAGAGCAGGAGGGACCACTGTCTGGTCCCATCTCTGCATGGCCACGTGGCCCGCTGGCGCAGGCCAGGCCAGGAGGGTGGGCAGTTGCTGGGAGGGGCCGGCAGCAGCCCTGTGGGGGCTCCATGTCTGCAGGGGGTGGGGACCATGTCCGACCCCACAGACGGGGGATGCCCACTCAATGTGTCTCGATGCTGGACTCCCAGGAAGACAGATATATGGGGCTGGGAGAAGAGGGGAAGGTGGGCAGCCCTGGTCCCCCAAGACTTTGAGGGAGAAGGGCCTCCCCGCAGGCCTCATATCCCAGAGTCCCACAGCAAAGAGCTGGATACAGGGCACATCACATGGGCCATAGCTCAGAGCTGGCATTGCCCCAGAGAGCACCTGCATGCGTCACCCCACATCCCCAGACAGAGAATGAGGGGCCCTGCTCTGCGGTCTGGGAGGGCTCGAAGGGAGGGATCCTTCTGGGAAGGCTGCATGTCCAGAGGGCGGCGCCAGAGGCCCTCCTGAGTGAGGGCAGGTCAGCAGCACCTGTCCCTCTGGGTCTCCGCCAGCAAGTCTGCAGGGGGTGCGGACAGGGGGTGATTTCAGTTGTCATGAACTTTATTTACAAAAGAAAAAAATGTTTCATGAACTCCAACTGTCACAAAGCACGTGAAATAATTGTAGTTCTAAGTGAATTATTTTTATGTAAATAATGTTAGTTTGTATTTTGCCCTTTAATTCTAACAGAGAATTTTTAATACCTTAGAAGAAAAAAAAAGTACCTTTAAAAAGCGTACACAAACTAACTGGCGGCCGTGGCTGGGGAGCTGGGGGGGGCGCTGTCCCGGGAGCCCACCCGGCGGAGTCCCGGGTCCCGGCGCCCGCGAGCCCACAGGCGGCGCACCGGTGGCCGGCGCTTGGCTCCGCTCCCGGGCCTCACGGGGGCTCCGGGGGCAGATGGGCCAGGACCCTGCCTGCGGGGGCGGCGGGGGGCACGCTCCCTGCGGAGGGGACCCTCCCCTCCCGCCAGCTCGCGGCGGGGCCTTCACGCGGGGCCGTTCCGCGCCCTGCTCCCGCCCCACCCCTGCCCGGGGTCAGGGCCTCGGGGACCCCCGGACTCCAGCCTCTCTCCCCGCCCGGGACCGCATCCTCGGGAAGGGCGAGCCCAGGGCACCACATCCGTGTTTTCGGGGGGAGAGGAAGGAACTGGGGAGCCGCTGGGGGCGCTTCCTGCCGCTGCTGTCCGGGTGGAGGAGCGGACGGGGGGGCGGGGGGCGGCGGGGGGGGCGGCGCGGGGGGGACCCCGCCGCCTCTCGGGGCCGGCTCCCGGGCCGTCGGGTCACCAGCCGCCGCGAGCGCACGGGCGCCCAGCTCCCCGCCCCCAAACAGCAGGCGGCCAGCGTCACGTGCGCGCCTTCGGCCAATCGCGTCGGAGGTGGGAGGAGCCTCGCCGAGGCCGCTCCGGGCGTCCTCCGCGCTGCCCCGGACCCGCCGCGCCGGTTGAGGGGGCGCCGGGCCTGCCCCTGGGTCGGGAGGAACGGGCGGGGGCCCGGGAGCGCCGGCCCAGGGCTTCCTCTCAGGCCTGGGGGGCCCGCCCGGCCTCCGCTGCGGCCGGCGCGTCGTGGCCAGAGACGGCCGGGTGGGGTCCCGGGTCGGACCGCCGCCCGCCGCTGCCCCGCCCCCAGGCTCCCCGGAGCGCGGGCGCAAAGCGCGCTGCTTTTGGGTGTTGGGGGGGGGGGGCGCTGAGACTTGGGCCGGGATCATCAGGGCGAGATCGGTGCCTGCCGCGGGGGAGGCAGCCGTCGGGGCTGCTGCGCCAGTTTCTGGTGGACGGTGATCGCTTTGGGAAGTTCAGGGGAAAACAGGTTACTTGCAACTTGTCTCCGTGTGGGCCCGTCTCCCCAAGTAGTTGGGCCATACTGAGCAGCGGGCTCACGGAAGGGGGGTGCTGCCCTGCAGGCCCGGATGCGCAGCCACCATCCCCCTGACCCTCCCCCTGGCCTGGGGCCCGCAGCTGGCCCACAGGGGCCTTGATCCACCCGGGGCGATGCGACTCGCTCCTGGAGGAGGAAGGGCCAGGGCTCACGCCCTTCCATGCAGAGGAGCCGTGAAGCACCCAGGCCTTGGGAGACGGGCGCTTTCTGCGTGACCTGTCCTGGGCTCCCCTCCTCAGGACAGGCTGCTGGAGGCCCAGGCGAGGGGAGGAGGGGGGGCCCAGGACACTGAGACCCGGGCTGGGGAGAAGGGGCTCACAGGCCAGGTACACACCCTTCCGAGCTGTGTCATAGACCCCAGCACCTCCGCACTGGGCTGCGTGTGTGGGATCGGCTGTCTTCTATCCAGGCCCCAGCTCCGAGGGTGGCCAGGTGGGCTACATGCCCAGAGCCTGGGCCCTCTTGCACCCAGGCTAGTGTGCGGGTACCCCACTCCCACTAGGCTGGGCTTCCTGCCCCCTGCCCTCCCTCTGGCAGAGGGGCCACTGCGATCCGCCCCTCCGTCACCTCAGTCTGGGTGCCCTGGCTGCCTGCCCCGCCACCCCCTCGTCTGGCCTCACTGGCCGGCCGCTGCCCCTGCACCCTCTTGACTGTAGGGCCCCTTGGCCCTGTTCCTGCCCCACACTGTGATTTCTGGGACATGTGGGGCAGCGTGGGGGGCGGCAGGCTGGGCTCCACACTGTGTTCCTGCAGCAGGAACGCCGCGCCCCTGACCTTCGGGACTAAAAAGGTCAAGCTCCCTGTGTGGGATGGAACATTCTGGCCTCCACCCGGTAGCAGGAATGCTGCTGGGTGGGACTAGGCTAGGGAAGCGCCTCCGGCCTCTGACCACCCCCACTTGCATGGGGCACCGGGAAGGGGTCACAGGAGGTGTGGAGCTGGGGGTCTCAGGGATCAGAAGGTGAGGTCCAGAGACGTCCCTGGGAGCTAGTGGACCCGCAAGCACCCCGAGCACCTCCCTTCCTGGGCTGGGACCCGGAAGCCCTCCATCTTTGGAGGGCAAGATCTGAAGATCTGAAGAGAGCCCACCCCCAAGCCCCCTGCGCCCACCTCTTCGGCCAGTCCTGAGCAGGAAGGGGCGGGGCACACACCCCTGGGGAGGGGCACCTGCCAGGTGGGCCCATAAAGAGGTGAGTATCTGAGACAGCAGCGGCGGCCACTGGCTTCTCCGTCCCTCCTGGGATGGGGCCCTGGTGTGCCCTGTGGGTGATGTTCGTCCTGCCGAAAGCCCTGAAGGGCCAGACCTCAAACACCCAGCCGGGCATGAGCTCCGTCTTACAGAGCTTCCAAGAAGACCAGGTCTGGGGGCCGGGTGGGAGGGGGAGAAAGTCAGCCAGGGTCCAAGTGCAGGGAGAAAGGAGGGCCCTGGTGGCCGGGAAGGCGCCGCGCAGGGAGCCCAGCCTGGCCACGGGCTCCTCCGTGGAGGGTCCTGACCTCTAGCAGAAAGAGACCCTGGACAGACCTTCCTGGGCAGCTCTTCCCTCCTGTGTCCCCCGCCAGTCCCTGTGAGGTGGGACATCTCAGTCCCTCCGCACAGATGCGGAAACGGGCTGAAAAGGCCAGCTGCCGGGCAAGGTCACCCTGTCCCTGCCAGGCCCTGGGAGGCCCCCGGCTTGGTGCAGGCGTAGCCACTGCCTGGCGAGGGTCTCAGGCTGCCGTGGGCTCTGCCGACCCCGGGTCCCCACAGTTCCAGGGGGAGTGGTTTGTGGTCGGCCTGGCGGGCAGCACCCACAGGAAGACAGACAGTTCCTTGCTGAACCCGTTCACTGCGACGTTCGAGCAGGATGAAAACAGCCGCCTTAAAGTGTCATATGCCATGACCCGGTGAGTGAGGGTCCCTGACCTGTGCCTCCAGAGGCCGGGGGCTTCATGGCTCAGGTCCGGCATGGGCCCGGGCGTGGTTCCCCCAAGGCCCTCTTCCTAAAGATCAGCTCAGGCTGCTAGTGCCCTAAGCCTTGTGGGCCACACACAGAGGGGGGCATTTACCGGATCACAGACTCAGAAGAGCCTTGGGCGCTGATAGATCTCAGGTACAGCTGGATCCAGGAGCTCAAACCGTGTGATCAGGGCCCATCACTTCCTCCCTCTCCGTCTCTCACCTCTGCTTGCCCTGCACTTCTGTTCAGGGAAATTCTCACCTTAGAAGGATAAAACAGCCTAGGCTGATGTCCTTCTCAGGGTTCTGATCCCAGAAAAGAGAGAGCATCCTGGTCGGCCTGGCAGTGGCCTCTGACTGGTTCTGGAGTCTCGGGCTCCTCCTGGACCAGCTGCTGCATCCAGGGTGACAGGTGCCCCAGTCGGTCCCCCTGGGCAAAGTGCCTGTGGACCCCCTGGTGGGGAGGAAGCGCCTGAAATGAGGTGGGGGTGGGGCAGTCCCCGTCTGGGGTACCGATGCCGCCTTGCCAAATCTCTCTCAGGCCTGGAAGCCCTGTGCGCCCACCTGCCTGGCTATGGGGGAGGAGAGAGCCCAGAAAGCTCCGCTCAGGGCTTTTGGTCTCCCAAGTTATATAAACAGGAGCCTGACGCAAGGTGGGCTTGTCCTGTCCACCAGGGCTCACCCTAGAAGCTGAGAGCCTCTGAGGGTCTCCACTCAGCCCCTGCCCCAGCCTGTCGGCCCCGTTGAAGCCACCCACTCCACCAGCCACCCCAGAACCCCCACTGCAGCGTCTCAGGCCCTTGGGTGCATCTGACTGGCCTGGTTCCTACTAGAGGTTGATTACTGGGTGCCGTGGGGGACAGAGAGCCCAGAGCAGGTACAGCCGGGCGGTCTCACCTCCCCCCGCCTGCAGCCCGGCCTGCTTCTCCAAACAAGTGCATTCGCCTGGAGAGGACCCTGCGCTGCTGGCCGGCTCCCTGAGGCCGGAGCCCATGCAGGGAGGGGTCCCAGGCCCGCACAGCAACGGCCGCCCACAGCCCCCACCTCTCCCCGCCTGGCCCGGCTCAGCGAAGTCCAGGGCTGCGGCCAAGGGCACCAGCCACAGTGCCCAGCTGAGCCCACTCAGTATTCCCAGAGGGGGCCCTGTGGCCCAGAAAACCCCTTTCTCTCACCGTTGCACGTACATGCACGTTTCAGGGCCTGTTCCCGGCTGAGGAGGAGCTGCCGGTGGGTGGGCTGGACAGAGGCTTCAAGGTGTCACCGGCTCACACCCCACTCCCCCAGGAGGGACACGGGGGCCCCCAAGGGGCATGGAGTGGAGACAGCTCTCCCTGGGGACAGCAGCAGTCTGCTGGGCCGTGCCCCTGGCTTCAGACAAAAGTCTCCTCCTAACAAACAGCTGTATTCTCTCAGGGGCCCACTTTGGGGCCAGCCCCTGGGAAAGGCTGGAAACCAGTGGTCCGGCCGGGTTCTAGAATCTTCCTCCTCTGTCCATCGCTGCTCTCACAGGGGCCACCGCTGTATGACCTGGTCTTACGTGCTGATTCCAGGGGCACATCCTGGGAGATTCTCCGTGGACAACACTGAGGGTGAGGGGGCGACAGGTGAGAGGGTGGCGTGGGGAGGGCACTGGTGGGCGTGCCCCTGATGCTGTGGCTGTTCCCCCTCAGCGCCCGGGCGAGACCCCGAGGAGATCCAGGTGTACGACACTGACTACAGCTCATTTGCCCTGATGCTGTCCAGACGACAGTCGAGCAGTCAGAGCATCGTCAGGGTCAGCCTGCTGTGTGAGTCCTGGCCAGCGGCCACAGCGGAGGCGGGGGATGGGGCGGGGGGCGGGGCGCCCCAGTTGCTAAGGGCTGTGCTGTGCTCATTGGGCCCCAGGCAGAATGTGGGTGATACAGAGCCACATGCTGGAGAAGTTTGTCATCCTGGTCCGAGCTCAGGGCCTCTCGGTTCACAACATCGTCTTCCCAGACTTGACAGGTTACAGGCTCTCAGGCCGGGGCAGGAGCCTGGACCCAGCGTAGGTAGCTGCCCGCGGGCCTCAGAAGCCCTGTGGGAGCCCCGCAGGTGAGTGTGGACTGCGTTCAAGGCCTACCTGTGGGGTCCCGGCAGCCCCAGAGGGTTCAGCCTGAGCCCAAAGTGGGGGGGGTGCCCTATTTGATCTCTGTCCCACCTGGGCACCCCCCAGCCTGGGCCACCTCCTCCGCATTCCAGGAACATTTCCCACCACACCCCTGCCTTCCCCCCTCTGGCCCTTTACAGGTGTGTGGCTGCATGAACACGTACTGGCAGACGTGTGCATAAAACACGCTTGGACATGCAGACGTCCGGACACGGTGCCCACACGTGACGTGTAGCCATGTAGACACCCACACACGTGCACCCACAGGCGCACACACACTGTGCACTGGCCTCACAAGCACGAGCGCTCACCTGCATGTCTTCATTGAGTCTGGGGGCCCGGGTGGGGGCAGGGTGGTACCCTGGAGGGCACGTCCCTCAGCCCCTGGCTGGCCTCCCCCTTCCCCAGCCCGGTCCTCCCTCGGCCCCCGTTCCTCTCCCCTCCCTGGAAGCCGCCAGCTCTCGTGCGTCTTGCCTCCTGCCCAGCTCTGGCCCGGCTCTCCTCCGTCCTCCGTCCATCCGTCCGAGGCTCCGGCTCCCCGGTCAGACCGGCCCCTGTTGAAGGTTGACGCAGCTCCCGCCCCGCCGAAGCCCGTCTCCCCGCCCAGCACTGCCCCCTTCTGCTCTCAGCACGAAATAAACGCTCTGTGCTGGGGTCCAGGCCTGCGATGCACCGTGACCTTGGGGTGGGTAGGGGAGGCCCGAAGTAGGGGTGTCAGCCCACTCATGGCCACCCCCAGCCCGCCAGGCCTGTCCTCCCCCTCCCGGCTCCCGGGGATGCGCGTGCGCGTGCGCGTGCCTGTGCGCCCGTGTGAGCATGTGGCTTTGCAGGGCCTTGTGGACTGCACAGCTTGGTCCCAGGACAAGGCCCCTCCATCCTCCCCACTCAGCCCTCCGCTGGGCAAATTCACAGACCCCACCTCCGCACCCACCCCCCGCCCCGAGCCCTGGAGCTGCCACTGGGGTGCAGCTGGGGGCCCAGAACACGAGCCGGCCTCGTACCCTGTCATCTGGAGGCCCTGGCCTGGGCGGGGTGCAGACGGTGGGCACGCGGGGACGTGCAGGGACAGCTTCCCCTGGCCTGACCACCACTGGGTGTAGGGGCTCTTCGAGTACCGAGAGCCACAGCCTGGGACCCCAACCCGGCTGCACACACTTGAGGAGCGGCTCACAGCTGCCCGACCCCCGGCAGAGCCAGCTCTCCTGAGTCGCCCCCATCTGGGCCCCACGGAGCTCCAAGAGGAGGGGCGCAGGCCAAGCCCAGGGCCTGAGTGGAGCTCCTCCCATCGCAGATCAAAGCCTATGTAGAGAGGCTTCTTGCTCTGGGCCTGCTCCTCCCTCAGGGCGGTGCTCCCCCACCTGGGCCTGCTCCTCCCTCAGGGCAGGGTCAGCAGGAGGGAATGGAAGCAGCCGGACTCTCCGTGACCCTCCAGCATTAACCCCCGGGGAGAGGGGACCGCCAAGCTCACACGAAGCTCCACGTGGTGACAATGGTATTGATGGGCTGCCCGGGGCCTCCCCTGCGCAGGGGGAGGCTGCTCTTGGGAGAACCTTCCAGGCCATATACGGTGGCGGGCTGTCGTCGTGCATGAACCCAGGGCCGAGGCCAGAGTAGCCACACACGTGCCAGCCGGGGAGGCCGCGGGCATCTGGGGCTCCCCCAGCCATAGCCCCCCCCAGGGGGGGCCCTCCCCCTCCCCCGGGCAGGCGCTCCGCCGTCACCCATTGGCAGGAGCCCGAGCATGGCCGGCGGGACCCTGAGGGCACAGAGCCGGGGCCGGGTGGACAGGGAGGGGGCGCAGCCGGGGAGGCGGCCACCCCTGCGCGAGACGGAGGTGCCCTGTTTCCTGGTCTGGAGTGCAGTTTATGACTCTGAGCTACGCAGGACCCCTGGGCACGACTTCTCCGGGTCCTCTGACCTGGCGGCCCTATGAGGGGCAGAGGGAGGAGGGTCCCCATCCCTCAGTGACTGGCAGGGCTCACTCCGCCCTGGGGGGTGTCCCCGACTCCCCCCGGCCCGCTCCCGGCCCCGTCATCTGAGGGCAGGGGTCCCGCCGCTTCTAGGGAGGGGTGCGGCGTGCGTCCCCGCAGGCCCAGGTGGCGTGACGTGGCTCCGCAGGGCCGGCGCGCCGCCTGCCGGCCTGAGTGTTGTGACAGCTGTCCCCCTGGCTGGCTGCCCGGGCGCCCCCTGGGCCCACACGCCCCCGGCAGCTTCTCTCTGAGCCTGCCGAGGGCAGGTGCGCTCTCCGGCCGGCCGGCCCTCCCCGCGGCATGGGCGCCCGGCGTCCGGCCCGGCCCTGGGGCCGCTCGGCGTTGCAGAACCTCTGACAAGCAGAAACCCTATGAAGGGGAAAAGGCTCGGATCCCGGGGCCGAGGACACAGGTGGGGCCAGCTGAGCCCCGGGCGCAGACTCCAGCTGCACCGGGTCCCCAGTCCACTCGGCCCCCTGGGGCAGGCGCTGCCCGCTGTTGCCGGCACCTGAGCCTTCGAGGCAGGAAGGTGTTGGAAGGCCGCCTGCAAGCCCATGCCCGCCTGCCCCCGGCCCCCCGGAAGCCTCCGGAAGCCATTTCTCTCCAGCAAGCCCTTCCTATAGGTCCAGGACTACAGTGGCCACGTGACAAGCAGGGCAGACGTGGGTGAGGAGCACGGATTGTGTCCCTCCCCCCAAGGTGGGCGTCCGGGCTGGGGTGGCCCTGCTCGAGCCTGGCCTGAGCCGTGGCCTTAGTGTTTGAGGGGACACTGTGTCCAGGAACTCACGGGCCCGCGGCGCTCTGTCCCCCAGCGGCCGGGGCCTCTGAGGGCAGGAAGTCGCACGGGAGGACAGGACTGTCGTCTGGGCGGCCGGAGGGACTGGCCTGTTGCAGGGGCGCCCTCCCCGCCCCGGGGGGACCGTTCCAGGGGGAGCGGCCCCCCGGGAGGGAGAGCCAGCAGAGCCCAGGGACCTTGGGGCCCCAGTTCTGCATCTGAGCCTGCTGGGGACTTGAGCACGCGTGGTGCGGACAAGCCAAGGCAGCAGGGCAGGACGGGCGGGGTGAGCCCTGGGACGGAGCGGCGCAGGCTCAGGCCCCTGTGGGTCCGGCCCGGGGCCGAGAGAGGCCAGGGCACCTGCAGGGCCGCGGAGGGCGGGGGGGCCTCATCTGACGACGGGCGCTCTCGCCCCACCTCTTGGACTAAGTAATTTCTTTACGGCATCATTTTCTCTCTTTATGAGCTGGTAAATATTGCTTTGTCGTGGTTGTTTTTTTAATGTTTTATTTATTTTTGAGGCAGAAACAGAGCATGAGTGGGGGAGGGTCAGAGAGAGGGAGACACAGAATCGGAAGCAGCTCCAGGCTCCAAGCTGCCAGCACAGAGCCCGATGCGGGGCTCGAACCCACGAACCGTGAGATCCTGACCTGAGCCGAAGTCGGACGCTCAACCGACTGAGCCCCCCAGGCGCCCCTGTGTTGTTGTTTAAAACCCTCTGTAAGTTTTCACTTCTGTGGCATCCGGCACATTCGCACTGTTGTGCAGCCTTTGTCACCCGGGTCCAGGACTCTCCCTCTTCCTAGACTGGATTCTGTCCCTTTACACACGGCCCCTCCCCCCCCCCAGCCTCCCGCTCTCTGTGTCTGTGACCCCGACTCCCCCAGGACCTCCTGGGAGTGTCCACTCCTACAGAGCGTGTCCCCCTGTGACGGGCTGACCTCACTCAGCACAGGGTCCTCCGGGCCATCCACGTGGTAGCCGGTGTCGGGATTTCCCTCCTGTTTAAGGCTACTGTTCCGTGGTGGCCGGAGCACGTTTGGCTCATCCATTCACCTGTCGGCCCCTTGGGTTTCTTCCACCCACGGCTGTTGCGAATAAGCCGCCATGATCCTGAGTGCTCACATCTCTCTTGAAGACTCTGCTTTCTTAGCCTTTTCACTGTTCTTTGTGAGTTAGCCTGGGGGTTATGAGCTCATCCTTGAGTTACTACGTTGAGTACAGATTCACGTGTTCGCCACCTTCTGGCTGGTGTAATTATTTACCACACTTTGGTTCCATTCACACCCTCTGAGATTTTGTTCCATCTTTGATATGTATTTTAATTCTAAATATATTTTACTCCCCTCAAGACGTATTGAGGGTGACCAAGACCGTGGTCCGAAGGGTCTGCCCGCGTCCAGCCTTTTCTCTGCTCTTCGACCCTCCTAACCACGGTGCTGCCACGCAAACGCTCTCCTTCTGGCTGAAGGGCATCCTTTAGTATTTTTTCCTTGCAGATCTGTTAGCGATGGATTCTCTGGGGTTTCATTTGTCTGAAAAAGCCGTTACTTAGTTTTCATTTCTAAAAGATGAGCTTCTATTTGACACACACTAAAATGGACATGATTTCATTGGACGCTTTGATGGCCTGTGTCAACACAACCCAAAAGAAGCTGCGGAACATTCCATCATCCCAGGAAGCTCCTTGGTGCCCATTTGCAACTGGTCCTCAGCAATCTCAGCCCCGACGACCACAGAACCAACCCCATCTCTGCGGAGGAGGCCGCATGACTTGGAATCGCTCAGTGTGGAGCCTCGATGTCCCTGCAGGCCCAGGGCCGCCCCGCCCCAGGTCACTGTGAGGTCGAGGGACAGCTGTGTTTACTTCGTGACCCCTGTTGTTAAAGCTAACTGAATACTTCTTAAAAGAAAAAGTGGATCAGAGGATTTTTTAAAGAATTCATCATATGTTGTTTTAGAAGACAAACATTTAAGACATGAGGCTAAGGAATGCTAGGTTATTTCAGAAGGAAGTAGAATCAATCCATCAAGAACACATAAGAATTTTCAATTTGTATGCGACTAATAATACGGCCTCAGAATAACCAAAGCAAAAAACAGGACCACAGGAGAGAGACAAACCTGCCGTTGATGAAGGGGAACTTCATATACTTCCCTCAGGAAACAACCGTCCCGCTGGGAACGTGAGAGCAGAGGGGGGCGGGGGACAGAGGCCCAGCTGCAGCGCAAGGGTGAAGGGGCATCACCAAGGAGAGGGCTTGGGAGCCGGGTAGGGGGGACAGGGCATCCCCAGGTGCCTCAGGGATGGGGGCCTTGCGGAGGGAAGACCAGGCAGGGCTTGTCCCGGAGTACTGGCCCAGACCGGGGTGGCTGTGGGACCTACTAGGGCTGCTGGCCCGATCCGGCAACTGGCCCCCACTTGGGATCCCGTGATGGCTGGGAGAGCCGTCGTCCTGCCCAGGAAGCCCTGTCACCATCTGGGCCTGCTGGGTCTGGGAGCAGCCCCTGGGGGCTTCCAGCGCTGACCCTGCGGGCTTCCTGGAGGACGAAGGGAGGGGAGCAGGTGGGCTGGCATAGTCCGTGCACCGGGAGGGGGTCTGAGTGGGCAGCCTGGGGCCTGTGGGTGCGGAGCTGGCTGGAGCCCACCACACCCCAGTCCTGCCCTGTACCCCTCTGTCTAATTTCTGAGGCCTCATGCCCACTCTGGGCCCTGGGGAAGCATCTTTTCCCAGCGACCCCCACACGGTGGGTAACCTGGGTCTGGTTCCCGATTCCCC